AATGCATCAACCAAAGTTTATTGTACAGCCAAAGAACCCAAAAGCAGCCCCCACCCTGTGGTACTTGAAATGAGTTACAGCTTCATGGTGCTCCACAAATTTTAAGGTATTAAGGCACGAAGATCATACGCGATGAACTGTGAGCTTACTTATGCGAGTGTAGGTGCAACATTGCAATTCAAACTATAAAACAATCGAAAAATAAATTTATTTTATGGTCCATGTTTTATTGCCCATGCTCACCACTGGATGATTCTCCTGAGCGTTGAGAGAAAAATTATTACCTGGAATCTGTCAAAATTAATGCATCACACCGAGTAATAAAAACATCTCCACCTTTTCCTCGGGAAGTACATACCATGCGTAGATCTATATATTTGGGAAGTAATCTGCACCCTCGTGTCACACAAATGCGGCTGAATTCTTGCTTCCCTTTATTTACTGCACTGACGAGCAATAACAAGTGCATAAGGTACATCATTCATAGAAGTTCAACTACTTTACACAAATATTTAATGGGATTTTAGTGATTGGTTTACAGTTTGAATTTTATACTGCAAATCACCATTCCTCGTAAAAATATAATCTTGGAATTTATTAAAGCGAAATTTAAATAAACCAGAAATCAGTTGAAAAAATAAAATTGGAAAAACAGGTGAAAATGAATGAAATCAAATGTCAAGCTGGCCTTAAATATTATATAACATCCAATTTGTTAGCAATCCAGCAGTTCTCGCTTTCCCTTTTACATAATCAAATGTCAAAACTCGACCAAATTTGTCGTGGTAGACAATAAAAGCGAAGACAGGGACTCTTCTATCAAACTCTAAAGGCACGTCAGAGGTATCAATTACAGTGACAGTTTTTTCTCAAAGGGGAATCAATCTGACAGAAAGGATCACGTTTCAATTAACTGGAGCAAGGTATGCATGCAGGGTAAAATTGAGCCTTCAGTTCACACCCGTCCCACACAACACTCATTCATACGCACACAGCAATCATGAGCTATCGTCTTATCCATCCACAACCGCAGTTTAAGAAACCCATGGAATCAAGTAGAAAAAAATAATTGATTGAATCCCTTCTTGCCGATGCGATGAGCAGTCAACAGACAAAGAAAGCAAATTGATTGGGCATTTCGTTAATTAGAAACCAAACCGGAATGGGATGATTATCTTGACAGGGCGGTTCTCGCTTGTTTTGACCAATTTCAACTGCTTAATGAGATAATGAGTCAAGTCAAAGAAAAAATGGTGAAAAGATATCCTTTCCATCTCCAAATATCAATCTGTTCCAAAGAAGGCCGCTAATTACAGGGCGGATTCAGTGAAATGCACCAACGCATATGTACATACGTACATAAATAAGTTCTTGTGTGTACCATTTTGCAGTATCATATTCCGCATTTTCCGTCAAAAAGGTACAGATTCATTTTATCGCCATTCCGAATATAGGTTGAAAGTCGTAGAAATTTAGCCGTGGACCACGTTGTCATCTCCTTTTATGTGGTTTAGTTATGGAACAAAAGCTATAAGTTTGTTAATATGTGTGTTTGTGAACAATGGTGACATTCGGCTGCTGCTACATTTGATTGGAGTTTCAGTTTGTGGGAAATGAAGGCATGGTGCCTGCCTATGTGCAATAATAATGAAACGGAAGAAATGGAAGGCTGTGGAAATAGCCTACCATAGGAGATTAGCTCTCTTAAAAGAAGAAGAGCAGATGAAGACGTAAAAGTCAAAGTTCAGGAAATATTTCAAGTCAGTTTGGATACAACGGGGAAGAATACAAGAGAATGTCATTATTGTCATCATAAACTTGCTAGTTACACAAGGAGGGGCAAAATTGCATCCAGCATCTTCTTTGTCTCACTGCCAACCAACCTTTTGCTGTTTCATACTATTTGCTGCACATATGTACATACATACACGCGCTCCAAATTACTTACAAGCGCCATTAAGTAATCAGCAATCGCGATTACATCCGATATTGTTGAAATTACTTGACTGGAGAGGAAACTTTTTTTTGTGCTCTGAAAATCAAAATTACTCCATGTTTCCAACAATTATTAACATTATTTTGCACGATGGGACATGAATGTATTCGTATGTAGAAAGAAAGAATGGGATCAAAAACATTCTGTGACTGAGGATACGATGAGCCGAATAAAAACCAGAGTTGAGACAAAAGGCCTGGGTTGTAATTGGCCCTGCTTAGGTCAGAAATTCAGAAGTTCTTGATTGCTACAACTGAAAATAGAGTAGACAAAGTAATTCTGGACAAAATATGTATGTATGTAGTGAGTGCATATATTTTAGGAAATTACTGGACATGCTAAATCATATATGCTTTGTACCAAAATTGATGTATGCTGATAGAAATAAGTTATGAAGTACAGTGTTCAATTAAAACATGGATATATTTCAAAAGCATCAAGCAAGAAATGTAGACTATCGTGCTCGTAAATGGACAAGATCTTACATTGTAATCCAATTTACAACCCTTGATTATAATCGCAATAAGCAAGAATCCATAAACCATTATTGATACTCGGCTGAGCACATTATTTTCCTAGGTTATGTACATACACGTACATAGCTAACTTGTTCTTAACAAAATCAACTCCAATCTATGGAGCTACATAAGCTAAAAATTGGTGTAAAATTTGAACTCAACAAAATGAAGCAAAGCTAATTTTTTGACTTTACTATAGAACTGTTGAAAAAAGGTGCAGGAAAGCAGTCAACTAAATAGACAACCTCTGGTAAATCACGATTTCATTATACAACTCACGGAGTTAGAAGTTTTACAGATAAACTGAAGAAGCTGCATGAAACAAAGGCGAAGGCAGAAGCTAACATGTTCATATTTAGTCATGTCCTGCGACAGGACTCCTGCCTACCTCGTTAATATCTGATATTTCTCAGTGAGTCGGAAAAACTATAAATACATACATTGTATTTGTATTTATATAGTATACATAAGTCTGTATGTAGAAGCTTATAATTACATACACATCAGGGTAGATTAAGATTATGCAAGAGTAAGAAAAAGTTTGTTACTTGAAATAAAAAAAAAATGAGTCACTTTCATACTTCATTATCGACTTGAAGTAAATAAACAATAAAATCATAATGGGGTGGTTTTACTTTCGACAACAGAAGGAGCATTATAAAAGTCTGAAAGTGTAAGTACAAGTACAAGTACAAGTGTCTGAAAGTACAAGTCTGACAAATATGAAAATCAAAATTTAAGTAGTTGCCGTCCATCATATAGTCAATCTCCGCTCGTAGATTCAGATATTATTTTAAATTTCGATGTCAGGGAGGAAAACAAATTTGATGTCAGCTCAGCCTATGTATCACAACGACAAAAGAAGAGACCAAAGGAACCTTGCCTCCAACGTCTACAAACTACCTTCTGGCATTATCATATCATAAAATTACATTATTGATATCGTAGGATTTCCGCACTAAAATTGTATTAGAATTTCATTGAATTTTTCCTCCGGAAAGATTTGCCTTGACTTGGATTTCATTTCTTTACCCAAAAAAGCTCTACGTTTCAGAGGGCCCGATTTTTCAATCTAATCTCGTGTGGCCGTCGTAACATGTTTAGACTTTATGTATGTTCTTCTTCAACTCACCATTTTCCTGCAAGTTTTTTTTCATATTTCGATGACGAACTCTCTGAACTGAACAACAACGCTTAACCTGAGCCTTCTTAACACCTGACCTTGATTTTCGCTCCAGGCCATGCAGCTCTATACTTTTGAAGTTGTTAAAAGTGGAAGGAGAGCACTTGAGATGCCCTGCTGCATAAAATTATGATCATCTTGCTTGAAGGGCTTGCTAGCTGGATGCCACTGAATAAAGAAATTGTATTTAAAAAAAAGTTAGGAACGATGCCGTATTGGGCAGAATACAATGATCTTAAAGGCATCATCATCATCAACCAGAGAGAGGAGAAACTGATGAAGAGTTGAATCTTCGATAGACTCGATCTCTTCCATGTACAAACAAAATGATACTTATTGTTAGTGTGTGTGTAAAAAGTGTTTTACGAGATGCAACAAATATACATACATACGGCTGAAGAAAACCACTACTTTCATGGTCCAGGATGGACTAAGATAATGCTACAATTTGGACTGCTCATCTTTACCGAAAGGTGCTTTCACAAGTTCTTTCTACCAACCAATTCCTGAACAGTGCACATACTACATAATCTTGACTGTATTGCCCAGCCGAAAATATGAAAAAATCATACTATTTTTATCAAAATATTTTCATATACCACCGGAACCACTCGATTTTAGGAACAAAATGGTTTCATGCTACACTTTTAAATAATATAAGAAAAACTCCATGTATTGTCATCCTATAATCCCAAAGGGTTTTCTTCTCATCCGTTGAATTATAATATTTTTTCCTACCTCATCTCTCTTCAACCACTAAACCTCTTCCCATATCCTTCTCGTCCATCCCTTATGCCTTCATGCTCGCCAGATCTCATCCGTTCTTGTTCCCGTGTTGTACTGGAAGGTACGACGCTCAGTGTAATATTGTGTTTTTAAAGTTCAAACTTGTAAATGTTGCTTTCCTGCACCTAATAACTAACAACCTCATGAAAAAATAATGCCCATCAACCCAGCAGTTGCAACTAGCAAACCAAAGCAACTCTGTGTGGTTGGATGTATGTTTCTTTTAGGTGGTTTGGAACAAGTTGTTGAAGATGTGCTGGCCACTACGGTATGTCGGTCGGTATACCTCGAACCAACTTTATTTCTATGAACAAAAAACTTGCCAGAGACGAAATCTTATGAGAAATCTTGCATGAAAAGAGCCCATAAGCACCAACCAAGAAATAAGAACCAACCCCAGCCAAGCAAAAGCAACCCTTATTCTTCTTGTCTTCCTGTTATATCCGCTCATCTTCTTTCGGAATCCCCCAACTTTACCTTCGTTCTTCCTTAAATCTCAATTCCCATGATCTCTGATCAGTTTTCTCCTAGCGGAGCCATGGACCATCATCTTTGGTCCACAGGGTGCTGCACATGGAATTGGATTGGAATTATAAGCCTACTTTTTAACCCAGCTATGTAGCTACCTTTGGCTTTGTGGGATGTGCGGTACTGTTTATTCCTTTTTTTGTGCACGTACCTAAACCCACCACCCATCAGGCAAAGTTGATATGTCAAAAAAGTTACCCTTCGCCCTTCATTCACAAGACCAAAGGGCTGTTGTTATTATCTACCTACACTGTTCCAAGGGAGTAAAGTTGGCGTGGCTTGGGGTTTGGCTGGATCGCGTAGGTTACGCTGACCTTAACCAAAAAATCTGAACTGAAATCTTCAGTCGGTTTCAAAGGAGCAAGAACGCTTCAATATAAGAAGAAGATCTTTGTGTCTCGGAATATTACGAAATATTTTGAAATTAATTCTTAACATCATCTCATTGGACCAGGTCGGTTGTGATTAAGAAGTCGGGAACATACAACTTATCGTGATCCTGATACAATTACCACGCATTTTTATTTTTTCATTGACTCATAAGAAATACTCGGTGGGGAACAATGGGTTGTGCCACTAGTGTCTCAGTTATATTGACACCGACCGATAAATAAACATGTCAAATTCATTCATTTTTGTTCTTCATCATAATATTTGATTTGTCTCACTCACCAACTGTACGTGGTGTAAATAATTGAATAAATCTCATCAAATTCTGACGTCCCATTCAGTCAAATGGAACACAAAAGCTCCCACACCATGTTCAGGAATGTGTAACTTCCGTAAATGTAAAGATAAGCAAACATCATGAAACTCCACAATTCACGATTTTATGACGCGTTTGACTACGGGGAAAGTGCAACCCTTGACTGAAGGGAAAATTCAAACGAAAGGAATTTGATTTGGATTTTCCACAACACAGCAAAATTCAAGAAGAAGTTTAAGTTCAAAGTGCAATTTAAATTAGTAATTGTTAATTGTCATTATCATTATCAGTAGTTAGCTGTATTATCTAAGCATGTGAGACAAGGAGCCAACTGAGAGAACCAGGGTTGGAGTGAGAAGTTAAATTACTTTGGGAGGCTGCTACTAAATTGTGAAATTGTTAATCAGAATTTGTGAATGTGAGTGAACTGCCATTTTTTGGTCACAGTTAAAAAGAACGGAATGAAAATCTTTGGATGGCAAGTGACCGTGTCAAACACAAACATTGCAGTCACTGTGGGAGCAGTACTTGGAGGAGGTAAGTTGCGCGTTGACTTCCTCTATTTCATTTAAATTGCATTGCTTATATTTCAATATTTCACAATTTGAATTTTCTACTCACTTCACTATTATAATAAAATTAATCGTAATTGCAATATAATTAGTCTGATACTTGCCTGAACTTTAACTTTTGTCCTTACTTAAGATGTTCTTTATTTTTCCTTTCGATATGTAGGTGCGTGCTATGCTATTGTCAAGTATTTGCTAGGTTCAAGCTCTCGGAGATCGAGAAGACCAAGACTCAAGGGCGGAGGCGACGGGGAGCCTGACCTCCACCTGATATCATATTTAGAACAAGAATACGGAAATTTCAGACAAGTTTGCTTGGAAGCTGATCCCATTGGGGCAAGCTATTTACATGAACTTCCTGACAATTTCTTCGCTTTTCCACAAAATTTTCTCAAATTTATTTCAAATTTCGTCTCTGAACACGTAATAAAATTCTTCTTAGCATCGAAACATAATTGATGATGATGATATTAATCCTATAAAATAAGTTCAGAGGTAATGTTATTTTGCTTATTATAATTTTCAGACTAAGCGATATCTACAAGCTCTAGTTGTGGGCAGTAGAACTGGATACCTGGTTTTCGCATTGGGAACCATTTTCGAAGAGGTCAAGGGCGTGGAAGCATCATTTTCTCAAGTTGTGACATGCTATCAATTCCAAAATTTTACGACCGTAACTCACAGTTTTCCAGCAGAAGGTGCATATAAAGAATTGCCAAGAACTTTCAAGTCTCCAATCACATCTACTGGTCCATTTCCTCTCAAACGGTCGGGGGATATACGGAAAAAGGTAAGCTACGCTTTAAACGAGCGGAGCTCTTATCCGCAATTATTCTCAACCCCACAATTCTCAGTCAGGCCGAATATTTCAACCCAAGTTTTATTTCAGAACAAAGAAAATATAGAATTTGACAATGTGGACTTGGATGAACAGACTTTGACTTACCTTGGAAAGTTTCAAGTTGTTGTTTTACAAAACTGTTTAGAAGACTTGGATGATCCTTTAACATTTATAGCATCCCTAAAAAATATTGTCCTTGAAGGTGGATTTCTTATAATATCGGCGGATTATAATTGGAATACAAAATTCGACAATGTAAGTGTAACATTTTTTATTCTAGAAGTAATTCTTTTAAAATTAATCAATCACTATCTATTTTTTCAGTCCCTGGACTTGTCGGATTCAAATAGCTTTGATCTTTTGAAACGCATTTTAAAGGACGAATTTGAGTTCAAGGAAGCAAAGAATATTCCAGAAATAATTTGTGAATCTACCAGATCGTGTCACATTCGCTACAATCATGTCACAGCGTGGATGCGAACTAGTTCCTGAATTAGTAGTAATAAACTAAGGGTTTTGTGGAAATAAACTCTAAATTATTATACGAACTGTGAAAACTAAAAATGTGACAATCTTCCTTAAAAAGTTAGTGAGTGCGTTGAGGTGCATCGTGTATAAAATAGATATCAAGATGGAAGGTCCTGCTCTAAAGCGACCAAAGCTTCAGTTGGCGGACTTGACGCCAAAAGACTGGAACTTGTGGTCACATAATTTAGAAATTTTACAACAACATCTTCCCAATGGATGTTTATGCAACGTTGGAATCCTAGAATTACAGCGACCTATATTTCCACCAAATGAACAAGTGGCATCAAGTTGTTCCGTAGATATTCGATTTCTTCGCGAGTAAGTAATTTTCTTGATATGATGGTTTAGACTTGACTTTGTATGATCATAAAGCATAATTTTATTATTTATTTATTTATTGTATTTTGTCTTGCAGTTACTCGTTGCAGTTTATCAGTACAATTCATATGTTAATTGACACAGCGCTCAAACAACAGTTTAACGGGTTTATTTGCAAGAAGATCCTAGACATGTCATCCGAACTATCCATGGATGAAGGGAGTTGGGAAATGCTAATAGGATGTCTTGATTCAACGGATAAATTTGTGACAGCTGCCACTTCCAAGTGTTTAGTTTCATTATTAATGTGGACACGACTTCCAAACTTAAATGAAATAATTGACGAGTTATTTAATAATGTTATGATTACAACGGATAATCCTTTAAAATTAACACATATACTTGACGTTATTAGAGGAGTAGTAGAGTACAAATATATTAGTGAACCACCTATATTTCTCCAAGAGAATGATGATGACTACAACAATTCTAATTCTTGTAATGCTGACGATGATGGAGGAAAAGGCAGCTTAAAGTCGTCGGATGTGACAATGACAGACGTATCACAATCAAAATCCACCACCTTTCCATCAGAGTCAACAAGTTCAGCAGCATTGCAAGCTTACCAATTACGTGCAAGTTGTCCTAAAGTAGAAGTTGATACCGAAATTATTGAGAATGAGGTGAAAACATTATGTGTCAAAGCCTTAGAGAACTGGTGGACAAGACTGTTAACTAAATTCCAAATTATGATGGCACATTTTGAACCTGCAAATGAATCTCCTATTGTAACCTTTTTGGAATTATGGCTTGGAATTATATCAGGAGATAATAGGTAAGCGGCCACAATTTAACAGATTAATTTAATTTTTAGTAACGCATGAAAGCTGATGAAATTATAATAATATCATGCTTTTTTTGTTTTGCAGCATAAGCGTAATTGATACAAAACATTACTATTTGCATTTGGAAGCATTTGTGCCCCTCTTAAATCCAAATTCACCTCCAATAATATGGTCGAAACTAACCGATGTTTTCAACGAAGTCCTGTGTTATGGCAGAACTCTTGCACTCCAAGATGTCCCAAGCGAAGAGCCATGCGATTTGGCTCATCTAATTATCCGTTGCGTCAGAAGTCGACAGTTTCTTCAGGGGATTCCATTCACGAGAGAATTTTCTGGGTTTGGTGGTAGTTCCTGTGTTGGACCTGTTGATTGGGAGTGCAAGAGTGAAAGTCATACAATTCGGGACAAAACATGTATAATACCCCCAGTATCTACAGCGTCTCTTCTTCTGCCACATCCATCTTCATCAATCCTTGATCACAACGGTATTCCATTATCATCCAAGTCCTTAGCAGAAACAGAACAATCGTCGTCGTCGCCGTCCTCCTCCTCCTCCTCCACTACTTCTTGTTCTACTTATACACCTGTATCATCTACCCTTGCTTCCTGTTCAACAACAGAAACTACAATTGTAAATCCTACGTCTTTCAGTCCCGTAGCATCATCAAGTAACAGCACAGCAACTCTACAGCAAAACCAAAGAATACCTTTAAAACCAAAACGAGCTTTGCCAATTTCTCAAACAATATATATCGGGCCATCAATAAATGCTGTTCAGCTTGACGAATCCTTTGATGCAACATTTGGGAATCGGCCGCTCTTACAAAAAGTGGTCCTACTCGTCCTAAAAAGTGTCGCAGTTACAGTTCAAGAAACCCGTGTTGATGATATTGACAGTGATGAAGAGGGAACGTCGTCGATGGATGAAACAATTCATTCGGGGTCAGAATCTGAAGTTAACGACATGGCATTTGTTGAAAATTCGATCCGTGATGTCTTTCGAGAGTTGGATTTATACGTAAAATCTGTCCAACCATTCCATCCTGCTGCCCCACTTGGAGAGTGGATCATCAAGCTTTTCGTCGATCAAGACGATGCGTTAATTGAAGCTATGATGTGCACATTGGACTCTTATCGTGGGTTCCATGAGAAAATGGAAATTCCTGCAGATTTTAAGGAATCTTTTCATCCTGTCAAAACTTTTGTAGCCCTGCTCGGTGAAATTTCAAATGACAATACAGTTATCTTGGATTGGTTAAGAGGAGCTGAGACTCCTCATTTTCTCACGTACTTTCTCTACTTTCTAAAATTTGTGTTCAAAAATTGGTCAGAATTTGTATCCAGTTGTGGTCGGGACTTGGAAAACACGATGAGTGTCCTTATTCGCCTCCGAATGAGTGTGGGTAGACTTACAGAAAGGGGTTTGTGGCCGTACAATATTAATCCAGTGCTCAGGTTATTAGAAAGGTGCGAAGGACTGTATGAGAATGATAGTAGTAATAGCAGTAGCTGAGTAGTAGCATCCTGTAGTGAAATCATTATATAGTGCAAAAATTGTATTTTCTGAGTATGAATAAATATATAATGTTTAGCAAATTAGTCTTACGCCATTACTTGCCTTCCTGAATAAATATGCTTTGTGCGTTGTATTATTCATACAGACTTACTATTAAGAATGAATTATTTGTGGTATGTAATGTGTAAACATTTTTTGTTACTTTTGATGATGTACCACTAATATTTAGACGAAATGACAAGTTATTCAATTTGCAGTTTATCGAGTGCATTGTTAAAAATATGTGTTACCGAACAATATTATTCCCTGTCTGTCATGTACTTGTTATTACTAAAAATAATTTAGCCTAAGTATTGATTCATTTTGTGTAACCGGTGTCATCAACCTTGAACCTACCTCATTTATCACCAATGATTGATGATTGGGTTTTCCAAATCATATTTTTGTATTGTTACTTGTTACGATGAAGAATTTAGAAAAAATGCAGACTGAAGAAATAAATAAGATTGGTCATTAATTTCTTCATAATTTTTTCACATACATTAGCACACGAAATCATTCATCATTATCATATTTAATAATGACCAAACGGACAATATTAAAATATTTGTGCATGGTGAATTCAGTGAGGAGAAAGTTGAAAAAATCATACGCTGAACTTTCTTCTGGAAAACAACTCGTTCTCATTGTGCATTGAGTCTGTGTGTTGTTTGGCTGGATCATCCAGGTGCGAAAACCGGGATCATGTATTGCATATTGCATCATATGCACGAGGTTTTGCACGTTTTGCTCATTTGACATTTTATTTCACTCTTCATTGTTTTAATTCAAATCATATTCACCTAAGTAATCATTGTTGAAACCTGTGACGAGTGAGGTTTGGCTATCTTCTTCGTTGATTGAATGAGCACTGGGGGATTAAATTTTAATAAACATAAAATATTATGGCGATGGATTGTTCAATTAACGCAACGTGTTTCTCAACCCAATCGTATCCATGCTTATCAATCGGTCCAGCATATCATTTCTGGAGAAGAGCGTAAGTTCTAAGAAGATATTTTAACAGAATAAACATACAATAAAAGTCAATCAAATCAGTTGACTCCTCAAATGTGACAGCATGACTTAAATTGATCAATAATCACAAGACATGTTATCGTTTATCGAGTCATCATTTGCTCTCAATTCGTAAATAACATGGTAATACAAAATTAGTATGTACGAATATTAATACGCACTGCATCAATGGAAAGAAAAAATGATACTCATTGTAATTGTAAGGGAATATGTGCCTTCTAATATTGAAATGCTTGTTTGTCAAACTTCAACCAAATAACTTTAACTAAAACCACGTTCAATCAGTATTTAGCAAGTCACAAGTCACTGTTTGTCTCTCGTTATTAATGTAAGAAAGCCAACTGGTTGGTTTAGTTTACGTCTTTATCTGCTCATGTAAATTGAGAATTTAAGCTCCTATCCAGTTGCAAGGATTTAGATTTGAGAAGGACTTGTTTTTAACTAACCCTCATATAATAATCATGTGATATCTGATATCTGCTTACACAAATATATTGATATACAACAGGAAGGTTGGCCTTGGACGTGGACAACAACCAGTTCTGGAAGTGTCAAAGAATACCAAGTCATTCGAGTTGCCTCCTCCTCCAAACTTGTCATCATCATCATCATCCTAGATCGTCTTATAATTGGCTGAATACCCGTTGGCTGAAAGAAATTTCCTTAAAAAGAAGACCTTATAATAATTCCAGATCAATTTCTAGCTATTCTACTTTCCAAACAGAATACTCGGCTGTAGACAACACAAAATACTACAAAGCGAAAATGTCTGCTCAGCTTATTTCCGGGACTGAAGTCTCAAAGTAAGCAAAATGTTTTTTTAAATTAGTATTTGCATGTTTTTGTTTGAGCCCCTGATAGTTTAGTAAAGAATTACCTTACGCAGGGAGATTCAACAACAACTAGCTGAAGAGGTGACGCGCATGAAAGAAATTGATCCCAACTTTCTTCCTGGTCTCGCAATTGTTCAAGTCGGTGGACGTGAGTTGCAAATAAAGTTTTAAATATAAATTTAACTTCACAAAAAAATTGCACACCAAAACAAAAATTTACAGTACAATGCATTTGAATTACTGACTTTATTTTTCAGGCGAAGATTCGAATGTCTACATAAGAATGAAGATTAAGGCTGGTGAGTTTAATGGTTTAATCTGTAACGCCTAGCCATATATTTGTTTAATGTTCCTTACTCAAATTGATTTTATCGTAAATTGTTTAGCTACAACAATTGGAATGAAGGCTGAACATGTAAAACTACCAAGGACTATAACCGAAATCGAGGTAAGTCAACGAATTTGAACAAATCTTAACCAAACTGGGTCATTGCATATATCTAACTAAAACCATGAATGCACATAAGTTAGACTAATCCTAAGAACGGTGCTTGCATTACGATTTTGTTGTGTAATGCAGTTACTGGAAGAGTTGGACAAACTTAACAAGGACCCCAATATTCATGGAATTATCGTGCAAATGCCATTGGATGCTGATAACCCAATTGACTCTCATCGCGTGACTGACGCTGTTGATGCATCTAAAGATGTTGATGGGTAAGATTTACACCTCCTTACCATCTTCGTGCATATATTGGTTGACTGTGCAGCTGGCATTATCGACCATTTAACTTGATATTACCATTTTGTATGTTTTTACAGTCTGTGTACTGTCAATGAGGGTCGTGTGGCTATTGGTGATCTGAAGTCTGGATTTATGCCGTGCACGCCTTACGGATGCATTGAATTGATCAAAAGGTATTTTTTATGGAAAGTTTTACCAAACCAAACTGAATTTCGTACATAAATACGTTGGATAACCAACGTACGCACCTATCTACACTACTTCATGGATAATTTTAGGACTGGCGTTCCTATCCAAGGCGCAAAAGCAGTTGTTCTTGGCCGTAGTAAAATTGTTGGCACTCCTGTAGCTGAATTGCTAAAGTGGCACGATGCAACTGTGACTGTTTGTCATTCTAAAACTAAAAATCTTGCTGACGAGGTAAATTTAACTTAATTCAATTAAGAGTTGAGAATTAATAAGTATTGTTTTCTAATTAAACAAACTATAGGTACGGCAAGCAGACATAGTGGTTGTTGGCATTGGGAAACCTGAATTGGTGAAAGGCAGGTGAGGTTGTCTAGATTAGATGCATACATAAGGTTGCGAATTGATAGTCGTATTACTTAAATAATTATAAATTTAAATGGCAAAAAGAAAGCAAAATCTCTCTAGTATGAACATATTTACATCTATGTATTGTATTGTAATACTGGACGAGGCGGAAGTACGAACAGAACGATTACATACGCTTTAGTTAAAATGACGCTGCTTCTGATCTCACATTTAATTCCGGCTGTTATGATAATATACTCAGATTTATTAATTTTTACTTGCAGTTGGGTGAAACCTGGAGCAGTTGTTATAGACTGTGGGATTAATTCAATTCCTGGTGAGCTATGGTTTGGAATTACTTATGACGGACTACAGTATGGTTATGCGTCACACTTTATGATTTTTAATTTCTCCATACAGATCCTACCAAAAAGTCAGGCCAACGATTAGTTGGGGATGTAGACTTTGCGGAAGTCAGTCAAGTAGCGGGATACATTACTCCTGTTCCAGGAGGCGTGGGACCAATGACGGTTTGCATGTTGATGAAAAACACTGTTATTTCGGGCAAGTGTGACGTATTATTAAATACTTTACTCGGCATTGCAAAGATTTGTATAAATAAATCTTAATCATTTTCAAGGGTTGTATTAATAGTAAAGGGTGACTCGTCTTACCTTTTATCTAATTTTTTGTGTTTTCGTTTCAGCTGGAAAGTCTTTAGCATTGCAAAAAGGGATCAAGTGGAATTTTTCACCAATTCCACTGAAAACAGCTACCCCCGTTCCGAGGTAACTTATACTTACCTTCAAAGCAGTTCTCGCCGGCTTGCTGTTGTAATTCGTTTGCCAATGTGGCTATCTCTTAAATAATCGTGTATTTCTGTCTCTCTCTGTATAAGTAAGTATGTAAAAGGTCTGACACACTCTGTGAACTTTTCATTCTCTCAGCCAACGGGTCTGTATTATTTAAAATTTGTATCTAGTATAATAAATTATTTTTGGCAATAAATAAAGCATGAAACTAAATTTCACACATATGCTGCTTCGTCAACTAATATTTCTAAGAATTATTCTTTATGCCATCATTATTGCAATATTGCATTGTCTCTGTCCAAACTGTATTGGAACATTTTGGGTACTTATTTTATTTTGGGTATTTCTACTTACCTTTGGCATAAAAGTGTTTTTTTTAAATTTTGTCACACTCTGTCTGGTCATAATTGCGTCATCAACCATTGAAAGTGTGTACTTTTAGTGACATCCAAATATCTCGAAGTCAAAGGCCCAAGAACATTACGGTATTAGCTTCTGAAATTGGCTTAAACCAAGACGAGCTGGAATTGTATGGGAATAAGAAAGCAAAGTTGTCCCTGAGCATTATCGAACGTCTCAAATCTGTCAAGGATGGGAAATACATTGTGGTTGCAGGGTAATTTTTAAATGATTCATTCATCAGGTTAAATAAGAACCTTAATCTAACGTGAATTCATGTATAAGGATAACTCCAACATCATATGGCGAAGGAAAGAGTACAACCACCGTTGGTCTGGTCCAAGCTCTTGGTTCACATTTGGGGAAAAATGTATTTGCCTGCCTACGCCAACCTTCTCAGGGACCAACATTTGGAATCAAGGGTACAATTGCATTACAACTTAATTAATTGCACCTTATTTTTGAAAGTCAAAGTCACACATGTAAGGACATTTCTGAAATGTTGTACATTAGGTGGGGCAGCCGGCGGAGGGTATTCGCAGGTGATTCCGATGGAAGATTTCAATTTACACTTGACCGGCGACATCCACGCTATTACTGCCGCAAACAACTTACTTGCGGCACAGATTGATGCACGAATGTTTCATGAGGCGACCCAATCCGACAAAGCGTTGTTCTCTCGGTTGGTGCCCCAAAAAGATTCCACCAGGATATTTTCCCAAATTCAGGTATGTACACACTTCAACAAATCAGTTTTGGATTTGTTAAATAGATACGATAGGCAGAGGTTTTATTAGCATTTCTTGGGTATGCAAATATGCAGCTTAAACGTTTGAATCGGTTGGGAATCACGAAAACGGATCCAAACAGCCTTACGGCGGATGAAATTACAAAATTTGTGAGGTTAAATATCGATCCAGAAACGGTAATTTCATACATTAGTAACACAATTACTTGCATAATGTAAGTTGCATGTTAATATCAGTATAACATAGTTGCATGTTTGCAGATTACATGGAATCGAGGTATCCTATAATTTAACCAAATTGCGAATAAATATTTAAACCTGACATTTTTGCAGTTATTGATACAAATGACCGATTTTTGCGCAAAATTACTATTGGACAGGTAATATTAATTAAGTACTATCGTATTTATTATAAAAGCGTAATAAAATTAGACCATGGAAGAGAGAAATCATAGTAGACAATATCCAACTATTTAATTTGTATGCTTAATACTGAAGGTAGTTAGAAGATACTTCAATCAAACGACGCCAAAAGCTCTTTTCGTATGATAAATGACGACTAAAAGTAAAGTTCTTTTTCAGTCTGCCACAGAAAATGGACATGACCGTGTAACCCAGTTTAATATTACCGTTGCCAGTGAGATCATGGCCGTCTTAGCGTTGACCACTAGTATGAGAGACATGCAGGAACGACTTGGAAAAATGGTCGTTGCATCTGACAAAGATGGGCATCCTGTTAGTGCTGATGATTTGGTAAATGATAACTGAAAACAAATATCTCTGAGAATATCCTGGCAGTAGCAATTACCAATATGTGTTATGTGCGTAGGGCATAACTGGTGGCCTGGCCGTTCTAATGAAGGACGCTATTCGACCGACGCTAATGCAAACATTAGAGGGAAATCCAGTCCTTGTGCATGGGGGGCCATTCGCCAACATAGGTTTTGCAAAACAAATAGCATATATCTAATCTATATAAATAAATAGCAGTATATTATTAAATAAATAGCTCATGGAAATAGCAGCATAATAGCTGACAAAATCGCTTTAAAGTTGGTTGGACCGGAAGGATATGTCGTCACTGAGGCTGGGTTTGGGGCTGATATTGGTAATTTTTTAAATTGATTACATCTTAAGTTAGATAATTGTGGTATGCATATTAATTTCAATAAATAAATTAACTGACTGATAGGGATGGAGAAATTCATGAACATCAAGTCTCGATATTCGGGATTAACACCATCTGCAGCAGTAATAGTAGCTACCGTGAGGGCATTAAAAATGCATGGGGGTGGTCCAACTGTAACGGCTGGAATGCAGATTCCCGAAGCATACAACAAGGTCGAATTAACTACATATTCTACCAATGCCTCATTTCGTGGCGTGGTTTCACGCTTAAATTGCTAATTCAGTAAATTAAACTTGCAGGAGTCTTTGGAATTGGTAGAAGCTGGATTTGCTAACCTCCAACAGCAAATTGAAAGTGCTAGGAAATTTGGAGTTCAAGTTGTAGTAGGCATCAATCGTTTCAAGTAAGTCTCACAGTAACAACATGGCAGCGTTTTCCAGTATGACCATGTCTTCTCAAGAAAATTATTTTGAAATGTTATTTTCTGAAAATAACATCTCAAAATGCTTTAAAAATTTGAATAGGACGGATACGGATGCGGAACTAAAATTGATACGAGATTTGTCCATTCGTTGTGGTGCGTTTGATGCTGTTGTTGCAGAACATTGGGCTAAAGGTGGAGCCGGAGCTGTAGACTTGGGAAATGCCATTATAAAGGCTTGTGGACAACCCGTCAATTTCAATTTTCTATACCCCCTTACCATGTCTTTGGAGGATAAAATCAGAACAATTGCTCAAGAGATTTATGGTGCGAAGGACATTGAATTATCGGAACTCGCCAAGAAACGGATTGAGACCTACACCCGGCAAGGGTTTGGACATTTGCCGATTTGCATGGCTAAAACTCATTTGAGCTTGAGTCACGACCCTAATCTTAAAGGAGCTCCGAAAGGGTTTATTTTGCCAATTCGAGATGTGTCGGCAAGTGTGGGGGCAGGCTTTATCATTCCAATTGTTGGACAGATGTCCATGATGCCAGGACTGCCAACGCGTCCATGTTTTTACGACGTCACTTTGGATCCCGAGACTGAATTGGTTGATGGGCTATTTTAACTCGTCCCCATTGATGGCATGTCACAAATTAGTATACTTGTAAATAATCAACTATATGTGTCTCCAATAAAATTGAAACAAAAAGTTTAATTTTTTACGAGGCATATGTAGAGCTCCTTGTTGAAACGCTTTCTTTATTATCGTTGCACACAAGTCTGACAACGTGTAGTGAACAAAACCCAAACTTATTTAATAACCTTATTTAATTAATAAATATTTAATTTTTAATTTAAGTTTTTCGGCGATTTTTGCTGCTGTTTTTATTTTCAACTTTTCTTCTCCAGTATCTTTTTGGCTGCTTGATGAATATGTTGCTCTAATTTATCTAAAAAACAAGTTTAAATATAAGAAATACTTTACATTTTCCACACTATTGTTAAAATTGTTGCCTACAAATTTTTAGTTTTCCATCCATGGGCAATTTTACAGAAAGCATTTGCGGGTTTGCTAGCACAAAAACATATGGATCTTCTACTTCTCCATTTGGATACAACTCGAGATACTCCTCTTGAGGGACACAATCAACCAAATCAACACATCCAACTAAACATCCCACTGGAAAGGTTTCCGGAAAATCAATATCTGAAATGAAATGGTACAGCCAAATTTATTAATACCAGATTAATAATCTAATTTTAGCACTCGAAGTTTTTATACACACCTTCTCCAACAATATTTCTGTAAACGGCTTTAACTTGATCAAGATGATCTTGAGTGGGAACTTTTTTAGTTGCATGAATCCATAGTCTTCCTCTTATTGGTGTGTACCACGTACGACCTTCAAATCTGAAATTAATTTTCATTAATTACATTGCATATATATTTTTTGATGACATAAAACTTGTATTTGATTTAAATTAAACTAACGATTTAATTCCTTCCACAATCAAGGAAGCAAACGGTTGAGAAACGGAAAGGCAGTTGCCAGAATCCACCATTTCTTGCAATTCTGAATCTTGAATGCGATAACTCCACAGTATTGGCGATTCTTTATTGCTCGATTTTTCAAGTGTACCCACAAACTGAAATAAAGTGAATATGTTTAATATCAATCAATTTCTCCTCTCGTTGAGTTTAATACGCTAATTACCTTTGGCTCAATTTTAATTTTTACATCGTCTTCATGTTCTGTATTCTTTGGTTCCTTCGTCTTGGTGGTTGATATTTTCATTGAGTCAAACTCGGGAATGCTAACTTCGGAAACTTGTTCAATAACTCGGCGACCTTTATAAGAAACAATCAAAAATAGTAATATGTAAAACTAAACCCATCAAATCAACCAAATGTAAATGATAGGGTATATATTTACCGGCTAAATCAATTGTTACTTGGACTCGTCTTTTAAGTCTGTTTTTGGAATCCATGTACGCTTGTTTTCTCTCAGTTAAAACTTGCTTTTCTTCTTCTGACAACCATGGACTTTCTACCGCAAAATAGTCAGATTGATCATCAATCACTCTAGTTCTCCGTACACTATTTCGATCATATTCTAAAAGCTTTTCTTTCTGCTCTTGTGCCAGTCTTTTTCTTTCTTCGTCCATAGGTTTTGGAAGTTTATTATATTTGTTCAGCAAATACTGAGCATCTTTTGAGCTTCCGGAAAGGACTTTTGCCCTCTCCGCTTTCCCCATCACCTGTTAACACGGACAGAAAATCTAAATTTAATCTTACTGACCCAACATTACGTGAGATGGAAGGTAAAGATTTAAACAATAATTACAATTTCCCCACAAAAGAAGCAGGGACCAGCACCTTCTTGAATACAGACTATCCTCCCACAAGATAAGCAATTATTAACCAGGGTATGCTTCACAGCTTGACACTCGCATCGTTCCCTGCCTACAAAAAATAAACAAATTGAACCATTCGACATATTATACATCGATCGATCTTCAAATAAGTTCTGTATTATTGATTAAGAATTATAATCAAAGCCGACCTTATCCAGTGCAAATTTTAAAGCATAATGTTATAATTTATAATTACCCGGTAACAATGGGTTTTCGCATCCCTTAGCACTTATGCTTACAAACTTTGTCTTCTTTGGAGGCATACTGTTTTTATGACGTGTGTTTTATCAAATGTTTTAAAATATGAAAATCGTTGACAGACGATTTACACACATGCAAATTTTACCCCTTCTTCTGGTTCCCTCGTGAACGGCACATGACCAAGTGTTGCTTGTGTTATTTTCAGAATTCTGAGAATACCACAAATAAAGCATTTGTTGGTGGTGATGTTAGCGTGAGTGAGTTGTCGAGCGCCTTAGATCCCTTCAGACTTTCTCCCCCGGTCTTCCCCATGCTCACCACGCTCCTACTTCTGCTCTCGTTTTAGCTGACTGTGCTGAAAAAAAGCCTGCACTTTGCTTGCTCCGCTCTCTCTCTCGCTGCTCGATGGTCACACGGTTTCGTCACTCATTCATCCTCCTTCCTCACACAACCATTATTTTACATTTAGCTAATTGCAGGACAGACAGGACATTAAATTTTTGCATAATTTTGATAACTAGTTAATTAGACTTTATTCGATTACTAACCTACTGAATTAGCATAAAACAGGTAGGATCTATTCTAAATATCTCGTTGTTTTTGATGGCCACCGCACGTCCTAGTATTAATTTTTAGAGATTTGCAATAAGATTTTAATGATTGATTGATGGACACGGAATTTTAAGAACTTAAGTAGTTAACTAATTAAATGTGAACGACCGACATACCACATAGTTTGTTGCTGTTAAATTGCTTGCTCAACGAAATTTTCAAGATAAAGTAAACATCCAAATTTTATTGGAGGGAGGATTCTCGATCAAATACTTTTGTGAATTATTTTTTGACTTAAACGACGTGCATTTATTAGCTAAATTTTGTACTTAATTTGTAATTTACTTAGATTTAGTTCGATATTCGTGTACTACAATTATTATTAATTGGAAAGTACTACGCGCAGTAGGACCTAGACAAGCTCATTCGATTTAACAGTGCAGTTTCAATTCGCAAATCGTAAAATCACTTGTTACTTAATAAAAATAACAACTAATTTTACTAAAGTTAAGGATAAGACTTAGATAATTAGGATTTATGAATAACTATAAACAACATAACGAATAACGATGAAATCATAATACGAAGGAACGGATTGAATATATTGAAATACAATTTATCAACTTATCAACGACCAGAAAATAATAGTAGTTTAATTGAGAAAATATACTCGGTTGTTCAGTCGATCAATTGGCGTTGATTATTATTACTGAGCTGTACCGCCGTTGAAACCATGCTGATTGTTAGTTAGACAAAAAGATAACGACAGTGGTAAGTTAATTTATTTAGATTTGCTTAGTTTAATTTGCTATTAGGTAAAGTTAATTGAACCCAACTTGTTTTTAAACATGAATTTCTGTTTGCAGTTCAATTTTTGCATATTGGTAATATTATTGGTGACTTGCTCCATGCGCCTACCAAATTCGCCAAACGTTCAACTTGAAACAGCTATTGTTACCCCAACGGAAAAATCAATCAGCATAAACATGGAGACTGATGGTGGATCAGGGGGATTTACCAGCTCGGGTATGACATCCGCAATAAGCACCGCCGGACCAAAGGAAATTGACTTGAAGCTGACCAAGGACTTGGAAGAGGCGCTGAAACCTCATGCAGTTTTCGAATCCGTAGAGGAGATGACACATAGGATGGAAATCCTCAGCAAGTTGGACTTTCTTGTCAAGAACTGGGTGCGTGACATTAGTGTCCAGAAAAACATTCCTCCTTCAGTCGCAGAACATGTAATTAAAGTTAAACAATTATATAAACTATTACCAATGTTTTATTACGATTGTTTTTACTTAATATGCATATCTGTTCTTCCAGCTTGGAGGAAAAATCTATACATTTGGGTCCTATCGCTTAGGCGTTCACAACAAAGTAAGTATTTTAACTTATTTTTGATATAAAAGTAAGGTCAACGAACTAACTTTTTTCCCCTCTTTTCTTTGTAAATTCTAGGGCGCTGATATTGACGCCCTTTGTGTTGTTCCACGCCACATTCAGAGGACGGATTATTTCACATCCTTTTTCGAATTACTGAAACAGCAATCAGAAGTGTCTGACCTACGAGCTGTCGAGGAAGCCTTTGTGCCAGGTACACATTTCTTCTTTATCAGTTATTAAATATATGCGTATAATTCCGTAATATGTAATGACCCACTAATTATTTTATTGTTTGTTGTTTGCAGTTATTAAAATGTCTTTTGATAATATTGAAATTGATATGTTGTTTGCTCGTCTGGCATCCAAAGAAGTTCCAGATGATATGGTATGTTTTTGTTTGTAATGTGCTATTATTCTTGTGCAGTACCGGAGAATATGATGCTTTATTTTATGCAGGAATTAATGGATGATAGTATTTTGAAAAATCTTGACCAAAAATGTGTTCGGAGTTTGAATGGGTGTCGAGTTACCGATGAAATCTTGCGCCTTGTTCCAAACATTGACAGTTTCAGACTTGCGTTGAGGGCAATTAAACTGTGGGCAAAAAGTAAGTCATTTCTTGAAATTAGATTATAGATAAATTTACATGCCTAGCGTATACATCACATTGACTTTTGTTTTTCTCCTTACCTGTAGAAAGTGGAATATACAGCAACGTTCTTGGATATCTTGGTGGCGTGTCTTGGGGTAAGAGCCAATTTTATTTATCAACCCACATTACAGTCTGCACTATTGCAAATTTATATACCCATCGCTATTCTCCATTAGTGTATTTTATCAATGATGTATGATTCTTAGTAATTGTAATTACTTATTTTCAGCTATGCTTGTCGCACGCACCTGTCAATTATATCCCAACGCTACAGCATCTACAGTGGTTCAAAAATTTTTCCTCGTATTCTCTCAATGGAAATGGCCACATCCTGTATTACTTAAACCAATGGAGCCTGCCAGTAGCAATGCGTTAGGATTTCCTGTCTGGGACCCTCGGGTCACCGTATCAGACCGCTATCACTTGATGCCCATAATAACTCCTGCGTACCCTCAACAGAATTCCACATTCAATACGTCCGAGTCCACCCGTCAGGTTATGGCTGATCAATTCAACAGAGGTGAATATTAAATATGACGACTTTAGATGAATTCGTTTATAGTTGATTGTACTCTTATTGTTATCATTGCAATGTTTGATTGTTGTGTAGGCCTTCAAGTCACAGAAGACATTCACCAAGGAAAGGCGACCTGGCAAAAGTTGTTTGAACCATGGCCATTCTTCAACAAATACAAGTAAGCTGCTTTTTAATTTTAGCCACCTTTTTCTAGGTTTGGTTCTGTTCGTCTCAATTAGCCTTAATTCTTTGTCTTTTTATCTTACAATTTTAGACATTACATCGCTTTGATTGCAAGCTCAAACTCTGAAGGCGAACAGCTCGAATGGTACGGCATGGTCGAATCAAAATTGAGACATTTGGTTGTCACGTTGGAACGAAATCCACATATCGAACTACCTCATATTTGGCCTACGTCGTACCCTTCAATCAGTGCTGAAGGCAAGCCAGTAACCCAGTGGTTTATTGGTCTCATATTTTCCAAAGTGGAAAACCTTAATGTGGATCTTACGTATGACATCCTAACATTCACAGAAACAGGTAAACTAAACAAGTTCCAAATGCAATACAATTTGTGTCCTCAATTTAACCATATTATAATATTCTTTTTATACGTTATTTTAGTAAAAAATCAGGCAGTCCACTTGAATTTATGGAAGGATGGAATGGAACTTGAAGCGAAGTATGTTAGACGAAAGGAATTAAACCAGTACTTGCCCCAATCCATTCTCAAAAAGAAAAAGGTATTCAAAGTTTTTTGTATTATAATGAAAACCGGATTCCTCGATTTACTAGAATCACCAAAATTTAACTCTCTAAAAATATTAGGAAGGAGAAGAGGGACAGAGAAAACGAAAAAAGTCCACGTCCGTAAGTGAAGACGCCAAGCGACAACGGTTAAATGATGATGTAATTTTTGCATTACCAATAATTAATGATATACTGCAAGTACTTGTATTTATTAAACAAATTAAAAACGTGTTTAATTTTATACCAGGCTAATGCCAGCGGAGTACAGGATTCAGATACGAGTATGAGTTTTTCACAAGAAAAGGAGACTGAAACATCAGCTTTGGTACAAACAAAGTTACATGCTTTTAGAACTAACGAGTTATTTATCAGAATTTTTTATTATTTTGATTAACAGTTAGAAGACTCGATTGCTGAAGCCGAAAATGGTAATCATACTGCTTCACCTCCCTCAACCGCTGCAACAGTTCGAAAAAATGGCGAGGTAATTAAGAATGTAAAGGAACATGCATTCATACATAAATTTATGAGTAGCAAGTTCCTTCGGTGAAATAAGAATATCAAATATCGGGACAGGTCCTCACCGTGTAAATATTGGCGAAAAGATGGTATGTCGACGTGATTTCTATAACTTAAGAATACTTCGCCTTCATTCAAGACGGGACGCTATCACTACTGATACATTCATCGTTATCCAGATGAAAGTGAAGTTTATATATAAAAAATGCACACTATTAACTACATCTAAATAACGATTTTTCGACGTGGGATTCTTTTCACAAGAAAATCAATGGTGCTTCTATCAACTGATAGTTTAACAACAGTTTGACAAAATGTCGAGTGAGTTTTTTCAGTTGATTGAATATCTTCTGCTAACGCATTGCTACTGGGTTTTTGCCAAAAGCGAAGAAACTGTTTATTCTTGAGTTATAAATGAATTATATGCAGTGACTGAAGCATGACCTATATTTATGTTTTTAAGTCACCTAAAAATGTTATAATTATCATTGAACGGTCAAAACAAAAAACATCAACGATAAAAAAGGCTGTATTAGTAGTATTCTCGTTTAATTTTTCCAATAGATTGTACTGCCTACCTTATAATTATATTTATGTTTGAAAATGAATGTGTACACCTAAATTGATTGCATTCCGATTTAAATGAGTGGGTTGCTACTTATGAATTCCCTTTGTTAATTTATGATATTACTGAACAACAATAATGGTGCGATAGTAATAATTTACTCTTGCTGTATATGTTATTGTTTAATTGACTCTAGTTTGTTGATTGTAGTTTGTATTATTTACTATTTGACTTGTATTATGTTTATTTATGTAGTTAATATCAGTGTACTTAAGTAAGAGCGTCCAACCAAACGAATGTATGAACTACGGTATGCCAGCTCTCGTCCTTAGTATATAAACCTAGAAGTATTCCAAAAATTTACAAAAACAAAAAACAAAACCCATAAAAACCAAAAAAAAAGAAGAAAACAATCATTGTGCAGTTACTGCAACAACTCCCATAACAGCTTTTAGCTGATAAGGTGAGAAGTATACATTTATATATTGTACCAACAAAGTCTTCTACCTGTTGATTAATTCTAAAATTTTCTTTAAATATCGTAATTAAAGGTGCATGCTGGACCGGAAATGTACCAGAAGAAGGAATGAAGGGATTGTCCCTCCTTGCTCCATAGAATGTATGGCATGAATCCGCAGCACTTGATGACGTTATAACTTTCCAGTACGAAATACTGCACACAACATGTTTATTACCATAAATATAAATTGCTAGTAAATTGTACGCGTTATGTATTTGGTCACTTTCAGTAACTGCTTGCGTGTGATGTTCAATTCCTGACGAAGTCAATGGTTTGGAAACATAGACCTGGACGTATGGAGTGGAGATGAAACGCAGCTATTAAATTAAGCGTATCCTTTCTTTTTAAAATGCAAACAAACTTTCTGAGACACGTTCTTTTGCTTCATACGGACAGCACAAATGTACAAGAGGATACACCACGGTTATGTTGTATATGGTATATTTTTTAAACTTACACAACAATTGACGTTATTTAATTTGAATTTGAGATGAATCGGTCTTTTAAATGAGGCTGATTCTAATCTAATTAAATTCCCGATGCTTGACTTTAATTTATTTATTGCTGCGGAACGATTTATAGATTGACTTAAATTAGAAATATTAACTAATCACATGTTATGTTGTTTAAAAGATACAGAAGCCAGGTAAGTAATGGAAAAGAAAAATAAAGAAATCCATTTTACATGCTTGACAAATTGTATCGAGTTTATTTATTCCATCCCCTTATTTGATCTTTCATTTCTTTCAAATAATAATATTAAAGCTCTTTGCATATTTTTTTATAAGTATGGAAAACCTGCATTTCAGACACATTGGCAACAAAATGTGAATGTTGATATGATGTCTATGATTTATCTAGAATAATTCAGACCCTTTCAACTTTGACGATAAAATTTAGAATAATTTCAAACACGCGAATAAATTTCCACCGGGAATGTGAAGAAAGTGGGCAGCAACATGTTGTAGAACGAGTTCACGCGAACCAGCCTGATCTCTCTTATTTAATGGAATGGCAGATGAGTTCGAATTCGCGATGACAACTATTTGATGGGGGATCCATTCATTGCACCTTCAGCTGCATGGTTTTGGACCGTTATGTGGACAAATAATGTAGAAGGAATCATCGGAGTGCCCTTCAGGGTGACGAGATGTACATGACGGTAACCTAAATTTAGACTTTTATTAGTACCACATTAGCATGTATGATGGGCGTTTCACCAATTTAATGGTGATGGAAAGGGGTTTAGAGAATCACTTTCTTGTAACATTGTTTAACATATCTAAAAAATTAAGCATCGTTACCGGTTCCATTTCCATAAAGCCCTCACTCGGGCTAATAATTCTTTTATGTGAGTAATGATTTAATTACTTCTTATTTCAATCTAACTTAATTTTTTGATAAGTGCATATTGAGATATGCACCGGTCTGCACCAGTCTCGACATTATTGAAGGCTCAAGGTAAAACAATACAATGAAAGAGAAAGCATCTCGCACTTATTTTGCAGAGTGGATTGGTATTGAGTTGTCGTCAGGGGAAAGCAAATGCTGTCTATTTGAGATGGAATGGAAAGAGGAGATGGTTAGCTTACCCGTGGTAATTGAGCCGAGGGGAGAGGCGAAGTGCGCCAAGTGCATATCAGTCCCACTGTTCGAATAGTCTTTGACTCGAAAGTACAGCATCGCCAGTTCCGGGCAGTATACTCGGAAATTGAACGTCTCATTCCACACCTAAATTTTAGGGGATGTTCAGATAGTACGTAACACAGTGCAGACGGGAGGGGTCAAGTCGGTCAAGCCGTTATTGAGCTACATGTTAAAATGGGGTGTAACCCGTTAGGGTAAGAGACCAAAAAATCGTGAAAATCGGGTCATACTCTGAAAGTCAGCGAAAGCTCCGCTTTCAATGAACAATATTCATATAGAAAATCATATATAACAATCGAGGGTCTGCTAAATGTCTAGTCTATCAAATTTTTTATGATTTCTTCGGGTCCATACATATTATGATATTGATCCTTACCGGGTTGAAACCATTATTGTTTACAACTTCAGTTTTCCTTAGTGCCCTATCTTGCTCGATGCCCAGGATCTGAGGGAGAAAGGCCAATTGAGTTAGATTAACATTCAAAGACGCTTTATGTGTGCATGAACGCAGGGAAAGAGAGTGCTAGTAGAAAGTGAGCTGAGACATTTCCCATGCTTTCCCCTTCAACCAATATAAAATGCAACTGATGCAACACGATGGACACACTTTAACTTCTTTCATATGTCCACTCGAATCTAACAGCTAGTCGAATTGAATTCGAGCTGTGTAGACAGCATATTTTGTACGTTACCTTCACTTCCACATAGGGGTCAACAACTTCACTGTTCCCTGGAGCTGTATCAAACATGTTTATCTGTACATGTATGTAACATCGTATGATCCAACATATATGTACGTATATACAATGTAATCGAACCTTTGGGGATGTGCTGGCCGCTGATAAGTCTCACTTTTAAAGTGAGCCCCCGATCCTTGGGCAATTTCGTTTTAGAGTCAAACTTTAGATTCGGATCACGGAGAATGGCTGGCTTCAAAACATAGCCGCACGAGCCGTTGTTCGTAAATAGGGCATAGTTGAAAAAATTTGGAATGTCTTCAGTCTGATAGTTTAGAGCCACTGGACAAGAGAAAGGACCCGTTCATTAAATTAATTATCTAATTGCACAAACCCTACTTGTCATATATAGACTCTGGAACCGGTGGTTTGGGATGCATGTAAATTTCAACCATCGACTAATCTGATTGGTTTTGGTGCCTCTTTGAATTGTACTTATAGATACTCCTGAAGAAGAAATCAGTGTAATTTCGAAAGCTCGAGAAGATTAAATAAATTGGCCATCATTCCATTAAAAATAACTTATAAATTGTCTCAATCTAGATACAGATAACTAGGTTAACAAGCAGATTTGTACTTCTGGCATCACATCGGGATTGATAAGTAAAACAATTTTTGTGCTCACCAATTTGGCATCCCACATTCCAATAGTCAATTGGATTGAAATTTGAAGAAGTTGTCCTTGATCCTGCAGGGTAGATTCGTGATAGCTGTCGCTTATTGTATTCCACTAAGGCTTCCCCAGAAGTAATAATAAAGTTATTAGTTTTGGCTTCTGAAAATGAACTCATTTCGTAACATTTTCGATGCTGCCTGCAATCCTCAAATGAATGAAATTTAACAGCTTGAATCAAGTTGACTAAAGATGAGAGGTCATTGGACACGGATTTCTGTTAAATTACATATAACATATTAACTTGTCATATAATCGTCTAAAAATTACAGAGTATGCAATAAAAGAAGGCACATTTGTAGCTAGTCTCAATGTAATCACCTTTTTGGTCACTCCAACACCATCAATGTAATCAATTGTTTCGTCCGCTTCGCTTTCATCTGAATCATCACCAAGACTTTCCATGCTAGCCTGTACAACAATTGAGAAACTGTGAGTAACCATGTTTTCAGCCACCGAGAACTTTAGCAGACCAACCCTGAGCCATTTAACCGAACTTAGGAGGGGAGGTTGTGTACTATCAACTCTCCGATCTCGATGCCCTTTGGATATGTGGTAGTGTCCCATGAATGAACAAGAACCCTGAAGTGGTTTAATGCCATGGCCACATTTGCGCCCGCCACACCCACTCAAAGGTGCCCAAAAATCGCTTTCACTCTAGCTTTCACTCATTCAAAATAACGCCAAAAATCCAATTTTACTCCGATTTTCAAATTTATTTCACCATTATACTCCCAGATAGTTGCTCTCTTATATACAGCATCAAACTCAACTTTTTTGATGATTATCTCGCAGAAATAATTTGTTTTGTTGATTTCCACAACAATGCTCATTCAGAATTTTAAATTTTAAAAATACTAAGAATTCTAAAAAGTTGAATTTGATGTTGTATATAAGAGAGCAACTATCTGGGAGTATAATGGTGAAATAAATTTGAAAATCGGAGTAAAATTGGATTTTTGGCGTTATTTTGAATGAGTGAAAGCTAGAGTGAAAGCGATTTTTGGGCACCTTTGAGTGGGTGTGGCGGGCGCAAATGTGGCCATGGCATTAAACCACTTCAGGGTTCTTGTTCATTTATGGGACACTACCACACATCCAAAGGGCATCGAGATCCGGGAGTTGATAGTACACAACCTCCCCTCCTTAGGAAAATAAAGATGCCAAAAGATTTCTCAAGGGACAAACTTTCCGATTCTCTTACGTCTGCATGCGAGTTCAAACAAATCTCTACAAGCTCTGACCAACAAATGCAACACATCATACGAACGTACATACAGTGAGTTCCGAGCACGTTCCAAGTTGTTTCAACCATTTCAACAACACGTTGCTTTCTACGGATTCAACCCAGTCGGGGAAGAATATTGTAAAATGAGCTTGACTTGGACGCAACCTGGACTGCTTTCACTTTTATGCAAGCTCATGGATACGCGGTGAGCAGCTACTCTACCAAAAGCTTGCTCGTTTTATTCCCTGTTCACAAAATTTTGTTCATGCCTCGTCATACCAATTTTCTCTACGTGTTCCCTGCTAAAAGCAGTAGTGAGTAATGAAATAATAGCGTCACAGACTGCAAAACCCAGGATTCCTTGCATACAATGAAATACAAACGGGTAAACCAGCAGGTGGTTTGCTTATGACTTTCTCCCATTCTTTCTCACGTGAAATGTCCCTTGTACAAATATTTGTCGGCTCAAGTTGAGTGAATGAAAACGCAGGGAAAGCATTGATCACCACATCGCAAATTCCAAAATCAGTTTTGTCCTATGCATACCATGCACATTCATAATGGGTCCGTACCACGAAGTGTGCAAGTAAGAGTACCAGCAGACATAGTGACAACCAGAGAAGAGGTTGGTGAATAGCGGCATTAATATATTATTATGTACCTTTGGAGGACCGGCCCAACCCTGAGACGACTTGGGAAGAAGGCCGTCGTCTACTCGAGGAATGGAATTAGCAGTAGTGTCGGAAGAAGTGTCTCCTTTGGGAAGAAAATCGATATCCCTGTTCTTACTTGGTGACTTGTTTTCTTCGTCCTTATCATCATCTAATGCAGGCGGAGGCGGGATCATGGTGTTGGGCAATGCCGGTTCCTTTACTTTTCGAGATGTTTTCTTTGCTTTCACCAAAATCTTCCCTTGCAGTTCTTCAGGCGATGGGAGAAACTCCATGTTTTCATCTGGATCAACCAAATAGAGCATATCACCCAGAATATTCTTCAAATGTTCGGCCATTTTCATTTGGTACTCTTCTGTGCAGTGATTTTCCAAGCTGGAAAACACACACAAGGTGGATTAATGGATTGAACAAGAGTTTCAACTCAGTCTCTGATTTTATGGTTACTAACACTCCTGCAACCCTACCTGAGAATTAAAGGGTATCTCGACGCTACGAAGGCATAAGGTTTAATTGCATCTGATAGAATCTCCTTGAATAGTATTTTGTTCGTTAACGTAAAGCCATGGTACACGATCGGCTAGATTCATGAAAATGTTGTTTATACGTAAGTACTGCATACTGCATTTAGCATTTGCGTGACAAACCTCGCCATTCTCGCCATCCCAACAGTCCAATTCACAGCATCGGCAGCCCCTTTTTAAAGCGTCGATATACCCCTCCACACTACTTGTGCCACTTAACTGGTTTCCAACAAGATATCTACACCATTATATGGAAGAAACCGTACAATTTTCATCATTCCGTAAATATATTTGTAAATCACTTACGTGTTGTGGGAAGAGGCGATAAAATAGTGAGACAGAGGGTGTTTCATCTCTTGATAGACAACCTTATGTCTCGCGTTGAAAATATCAAATTGTGGTGAAAGCAACATGTTCAGAAAACCCGAAACGCTCATCTCGCCTTTGCTCTTCATCTCTGCAACAGGCTCGTAAATTTTAATCATTTGCGCACAGTCCTCTTCCGTACATGATGTAAAATCGTCTCCTTGCTCTCTTTTAAGAAATTCACATATTTCACGAGCACCAACCGATCCCGAAGGTTCAGCGATGCTGAAATGTAAATAAATGACGTAAAGTTATAATTTAAACACACAATAATGCTTATGCATACATTCTAGTTCATTAAAACTTCTATAATGCCATAAAAATGTCTAGTCGTAAGCATTCTTTGAAATGAAAATGAAGCGTCCATTTTTCGAACGATTAAGATTGATTGAAAAAGCAATATCGTAATGAAGCATAATAAATTACTATGAATAACCAACCTGTCATAAAGATTCTCAAAATCAGGTCTTTTCAAAAGAGCAAAATACATTTTTATGAACTCGTCCTCGTCCAGGACTTCTGGGGTGCCAGGTTTTGATTTCCTTACGTTAGCCTCGCGGAATAATTTCTTCACATCAGACTCATCCATCTCAATATTCAGTTGTTTGAGAAGTCTCAATGTTTCTGGGAAGGAAAGACATTTGTTCTTGTCCATGTCTGCAGCAGTGAATTGTTTCCTTAACCAGCGTTCATATCCTTGTTTTTCTTCTCGAGATCGGTACAAAGAAAGTAAGTGATTGAGTGCACGAACCTGTCCAAACAATAGTGATACGATTCAAAATATTTTCCCATCCAAGTTCTTTCTCTCTTCCACTATAAAAAGTCTTATCTATCTATCTTGTTTCAATCAATTTAGGAAAATTGGAGAAAATTGATCTGTATAATTACTTATTGTTCCACTTGTGCGTTGGTTTTTCTTATCAATTATTTGCTTGCATGTACATAAATGCACTAGTGTTAGGTAATAGTACTAGGTTCTGTAGTTAATGTTAATTTCCAAACATCCAGGTGAAAGTGATTAGAAAGTACAAAATAAATGCCAGAAATAAAACATGTATTTTGGACTGTACAAAAAGTATGTATGTAAATTTGTGGGGGGGCAAGGCATCCTATCCTTCTCACGTTAATTATAAAATGGGGCATATATATATATAGGTCACATCAAGGGGCAGGAGTTAAAATTGTCCGAAAATCGATCATATACTTTATATATGGCCCCTCTACTATTGTGATGAAAGTATGGCCCTATAAATTCTAAAAATTCATCAAGAGTATGGTACCGATTTGCTTGTTTTTACTATTTTATCTCTTTTACAGTGTTTCAAAGTCAGAATTCAAGGGAATTGCATGGAGAAATTTGGCTCGGCGAAGGCCACACTTTTTTTTACATGAACTAGTAGTAAGGAAATGCGATACTTCTTGCAGCTAATTATCTGTAAATCGTAATCATTGTTAACCGAATTGCAATTATATTTCAAAATATAACCATGCAAAGTGCATGGTAGTGAATCTTAATGATCCTGAGTTAGTAAAATCGTCACGAATGGTAAAGTTAATGGATATTCTGTACTTTCCAATTTCTACCAAAAACGTGATTTGCTGTGAAAAATGGAACACGAAAATAGGATTTTATCATTTGACATTTGATTTTTGTGATATTTCAAACATTTGTTTGTGTCGTGTTCGATAAGCGAGGAGGCATATTATTATTTTATGGGAGGTTAACGAACTTTATCTTTCTCCGAAAGTACCTGCCCCGCCCGCCCAAGGCGGAGGACGGAGACGGGAATACCACCCAAGCATTCCTTGAATCAGCAAGGGAAGAGAAAGTCTGCTGCAGTTTGTGCTTTCACCTTCGCATGAACCGTGCAGGAAGAATTTTAAATTGCCCGAGATGATCATAAATAATATATCTATCTACCCAACTCTGGGAATTTGCTAGTAATGAGACCCAGTTCTACCAGCCTTATTTGTTCTTTTTTTGAAATAGTTAGCACAACATTTTTAGTGCTATCAGGGGGGATGTATATTCGTAAATGTACATGGGTTTAGATATTTAATGTATTTAATGCATGTAAAACACAGCACCGTACCCATTTTTCTGCAGTCTCTGATGTTGGGGCAATTAGGTCCCACGTATCTCTTCTGGTTCCATAAATGATAGAAAAGCATCTATTCTCATCTGTGCCCCGGTAATCCTGTTGAAAATAGTCATATCGATTATTATCCTCTGTATGCCCCCCCCCTCATCGTGTCCTGGTTAATTGCCATGCATATATTTGGCTTATGGTTACATATGTATATGAGATGAACATCTCAGATGATTTATGCAGAATAAACTGAGTCTTTAACTGTAAATGAACTTTAACTTGGTCAACTTCAGCACCTTCTTTTTCGATCTCTTTTTTGCTTCGGATGCCTCTATTTTGTTAAAAGTGTCTGTTTTCCACCCTTGTCGAATTTCCACAATTTCTCCCAGTTCAACTGAAAGTGAAAAATATTAAACTTTATATATACTCAACTTTGTATAAATAAACGAATAAAGTAATAAACAATAAGACATCTTTTGAACTTTTTTGTAGCTGCGACTTACTGTTTTGCTTGTGCTTCTTGTAACACGGGCTCTTTGAAGTGGGCTCATATTTCATGTGCATGTCTTTCAGATCCAGGGAGAACTTTCTGCGGAAAAACTTTGATGGACCCCGCACCTGGGATAACAGAGAAATATTTTGATAGGGATATAGGATATAGGCATCCTAATTTCATGACCTCAATCCAATTCGGTATAAAATGACATGGAAATACTAGTTATTTGTTGTTGTTGAATACCTTCCATAAGTGACTTCCATCCTCATTCAGATTTTTAATGGCTTCTTCAAACTCTTTCGAGTTTTCCAAAAGATCTAAATTGCCCAAAACCTTCCAGTTAGAAAACCGCATCTTAATAACTCTCGCTGAATTTGTCTTTAATGAACGATTGCTAAATTATTACAAACTTCACTACAACTTCACTGGAACATTCGTTCTTTTTGATTATTCTTAGTCGACTAGTTTAGTAATTCTGATTGCACCCGTCTATATTTGGTTGGATGAATGCTGATTATCCAAGGAGAGAAACTGGTTTGTAAAAATTGGAACTTGGTTGGATGCATGGAACTGCAGCTCGTGTGTATGCTGGAACTGGCTAATAAATAAATATGTATACAACGAGGCCAGTACTGGACTGACTTGATGAGATATGTCCAGAGTTGCATATATATTTTGCAAAATTCTCCATATTTAACCTTGACAAGCTGACAAAGGTGGAATTGTAAGTAATCATAAATGATACGAGTCTGTTGGTCTTCTAACCCAAACCTTTAACCAAGAACAACAACAAAACAAAAAAACTGGTGTTTGGGATTGAGAATCTCAATTTGAGACGAATACATATAACGAAACGTGAGGCTCGTGGATATAAATAAGCTCAGATCATGTAAAAGTCTTATCAGTCGTGTTTGTCTGAAATCTTACAGATATTTAGTTGCTTGAAACTTCAGCGTATGTATGTGCATATGTATGTATGCACATACATACATACATACATACATAGCCAGGGGAATTGCAATTAGCACATTTAGTTAAGAACAGACGACAGACGACCAGAATTTAGTACTTAATACAATTAAGTTTATTTGATATAAAGTCACTCTTGACTGACCAAACAGTTAATAAAAAACGAAAAAATGTATACATACATGGCGTGCGTGTGGAAATACTACACAGTTTATTTATATTTCGTGACAGTTTAATATGAACGGATAAAATTTATCTCGACTAAACGATTTACTTAACTGAACATTATAGGATGTGAATAAAGCTAATGTAATTTAGTCATAATTGGATACATCGGCCGAAGCAATCTATTTTTAACAGCATTACTCAAATATGGTTCATGTGCATATTTACATTACTATTGAAATTTGTAATTATGGTTTTGTAAAAATTTCAAAGATTTGTGCTATGTATTACTTCTGACTTGCTCGGATACGGGATTGCCAATGACGGTGTTACAGAATTTATCTACGGATGGTCCTTTAACAATTTCAGCCATTTTGTAACTTGGCTTGCATGTATAACTTAACTTGTGTTTATTTGCATGTATATTATTCACAAATCGTGATTTATGTTCTCTCACAATAAATTTATCAACAATTAACTTAATTTTTCACTGTTCAAGTTGACTGAGTGAACCAGCTACTACAAAAATGATGTGCTGTATGGTGTACTCTCTGAAAGAAACTAGCATGAATACTATTAGCTTGGTGTAATTGACGAAATATGACATCAGACAATTTGCTCATTATGCTCAGCTAATACTGACTCATCAACTATACACATAACGCTATGTGGCCGCAGGCAAAGAAAACAATTTTGGATTAACACAAAAAACTCATCAAATACGCTTTGTTAATCTTGCCAGCCTCATTTTCTAGCATGCATGTTGACTTGAATTTGTTAGTCAATTTGCAAATGAGGTCTTAAATTAAGTACTAGAAAACAAACCTAGAGTAGGAACACGAGGAAGGGATTTGAAAATACTTGTCTACGATTAGCAATGCCATTATAGTATTATGTATGTATTTATACATGTGGTAAATGTATACATATGTTTGTCAAGTAGTATTGAACTTCAATATTAGTGTTAATGACCAACAATACAATACATAGATATGTACATAAGCATATTTACAAACCTCGAATTGGGTCTTGACGAAAAACTGTGCCATGTGTATTATGGTCGTGATATCTATGAAGGAAGTTTCCTATGGGATTTTCCGGAATTGGCGAAACTTTGTTTCTTCGCGAATGAGCCATGTTATATGTGTCACAAAAGTTGCTTAAATTTTTGAATGCAAATTAGTTAAGTAACGAAACTGTCAGGTCAGAAACTTTTTCACAAAACGTCTTTTATGTTTTAGGAATATATTTGTACTAGTTGGAGTTGTTTGGAGTTATTACTTTGCATGCAATTAAATGAGCAGAAAACTGGAAGGTATTGATTTTAGCGTGTCCAGGCTTTGTGTACAGTACACAAGTTTAAAATTAATCGAAAGTGTTTAAAAGGAAAGCGACGACGACTATTTCCGTATTGTGGGCAGAAGCAATTACAATATGCTTGAGTCTGTGCCGAATTATATACACCTGGCTAAACCACGACAGCACAATAATCAACCATATTAATAAATGTTGACATTTGCCCGAATAATAACTTACTCGGGGAAACACTTGTGCATACCATTTAGAGCATGAAGTGAAACCTTAATTGTGTCCAACGTGACTGTGGATTCAATGTACCTGCACATGTCCCACTGCCTGATAAGCGTAATTAAATGCACCCAAATAAAGTAAGCTGATGCTGACGAATCCGAAACGAACAGCCTTATTTTCCAATGTAATCAAGGCTAGAGTTGTACTCCGATAACTGCTTATCTCTAGGACCTATATCCTTTACACGAGTCAATGCTTTGACTGGTTGAATTGTAGACTCATTGTTTGAATGATCCAGGTAATTAGCAATTGTTCAGATGATTCAATTAGGAGGATTGCAAATGGTGTGTCATTTGTTTCAAATGACGAACTATGCAAATTTATGTGTCACACATAAATTGCAACCTGCTTAAACTCCATTCACTGAAGTCACTCTACTACCTTTGACCTCGTTCTCTCGTGAGGGAGCATCCGAGCATCCGCTTACAAGATAAGCCTTGGAGTGGTTACAAGATAAGCATATACATACATCTGTACATATCCAATTGGAGGAAGAAAATCAGACTAATTAATAAATAAATTTTATTCATTTGCTTACAATTAATTAGTTATGCATTAGGATCCTAAAATGTTAAATCAGAAAAGAAAGTACAATATCATTGTTGCTATTCATTGTCAGATTAATTATGGGCGCAGGCTAAGTGTAGTAGAACTGAAAGTATTTCGATTTAGCGAATAGGTACAGTAGCTTATTTAAAATATACATAAATGTATCTAACTGATTTCATTTCCCTCATAAAACCAGCGATCACAATCGTTAACATCATTAACTCGCGTGCTGGCTGTCGTTTTGCATTCAACACAATATTTTAGAACATACATATGCATGTACGGTAGATTTAGGCATTTATATAGAAGTATTTTCTGGAGTAAACATTCTGCTGCTGCATGAATACTGCAGTTGGAAAATTATTTCCTCATTATCGAATTGCTCGGTTCATTTGTTTTCTTTGCCGTGTTTCAGACTCCATTTCCTCTTCATGGATCAGACCAGATCTTCATTCTGGAATAGTGTTCCTAGTTCCTGTGCCCTGTTCCTGTTCTTATATAAATACCCACGGTACATATATAGAGACCCACAGTTTATAAATACCCGGTATTTATATACATACCGTGGGTTCATAGCAAGTCATTAAATGAAATCAGTACAACAAATTTAAGAAACTATTCAGAACCGTGCTGCATGAACTACGACGCTACCAGAATTTTTCACCCAATCAAATTCTATGAACATGAACATAATGATGTTCCTCACCCCTTTATATCCTCAGTTAATATTTATACTGTAGATGGGTGGACAGTTATTTATAAATTATTAACAATAATAGGGCTGGATAACGATATGCAAAAATCTGGTTTTCTTAAAAAATGACATGAGACCAGATGTACTTTTTTTACTCAGAAAATCTTACATTGAACAGTGTTTACTTAGCTTGAGTCAGAGTCAAATTCTCAATTAATTAACTATTAATGCTACATCTACATAAATATTATAAACTATACGTAAATTAAGTGCACAGTGAGCTGATTGGATTTCATTATATTTAGGTTTTTATGAGACGTTTTTTTGTGAGAGCTGACCGAATAGGGTAGACTCTTATCCTTAGTAATGTGTACATGTTAATTGCTTTCGTTAGCTGAAAATGAAATGGGGCGCTGATGCTGGAAATATTAAAATTCTATGGAGTACACTAGAGAACAAATTTAGTAAATACTATTTACTGCACTCCTTGGTCTCATCTAAGATGTCTTTTTTGGGTTTAGTTTATTTAATGTTGAACACAATGTTCCACACAACATTCAATTACATCTCAAACTAAATAACCATGTATCAGTGAGTAAAACATCCGTATCTTCAGAACTGTACAAATCTGTCAAGAAAATTTAGAAAATTGATTGCACAACTCTAAATTTGTTATATTTATAACACATACATGATCTGAACTCTCGCAGGGAAATGGAGTACATAAAGATGCACTTAATACAAGTGAGTCTCAGTTTTCGCCTTAGAGAATCGCAAAATGATGAAACGAAGGAGACACCCTAATCCCGAAAAATACTGGAACTATAGGAAACGTAGTAGGAAGACATACACATATCGTCGTCATTCGTCCAGACTCTCTCCTGACCGAGAGTCCGTTATCCTCTTTATTGCTTCCGAAGTAATCCTTTCTCTTTCCTTGTCAGGTCAAATGAAATTTTGGGATTGTTGGTTTAGCCCCATTTCTCAGACGCGACCAGGCCCACTCGTTCCGTCGTATATACCTTCTCCGAAATCTTTCTCGTGTATACAGATAAGGATAATTTAATATAACTCATTGCCAAAGTAGGTGGGGGATTTGGGTGAGATTGAGAAAAAAAGAAGATAGAAAGTTACTAACAACCTTTATTGGCACTTTTGTAATGATTTTTGTACTCTCAGAGGGTTGAACTACATATGAAATGAGGTTGTTCTAGAACTTGAACACTTACTTCTGGAACTTTAATTCTCAGAACAAGCAAGAATGCTATTTCGTAACTCAATAAATTCCTTACTTTAATCTATTTAGCACAAGTAATAAGTATCTCATACCCGTAGTGTCCACGATCAAGGGCATCTTGAAATGTAAATCCGTTCTCACGTTGCCTTAAGTTCAGGTTCTTGAGTTAATATGAATTAGAGTTCACAGGTTTGTCTTTAACAAATTTGTATTGTACACACCATATTCACTCACACCAATGCAAAATAAATAGCTGATCTTCTTACATGCAACTTTTCTCAGCTGTGCGTGGATTATTAGATGATTACATAACACACACTGTCTTGTGTACGTACGTTACTTATGAGAATGCAGAAGGTCTGTTTTGTATACATCACAATTTCACAATAGATAAATAGTATTGGAAGCGGATTTTTTTCTGGAGGTCTCACTCGCAAGACGCCGATGGAGATTGGTACACAAGTGTTTCAGATTTTTTGTGCAAATCTCATCCCAAGTGTGACAGCTAGTAATAGTAAATTATGCATGGGTCGAGTGGAGTTCACCACCCAACTTCAATAATAGACCTGATGATTAATTTATGCATAGCACACGACGACCAGCTTCATAGATTATGAAACTTTAGTGTAGTGTCCTTGTCTATCGGTAATGTTTAAACAAAACCTGACATGGATGAGAATATTAAAATTTACTCGTAGTTATTTTTAAAAAAAGTTGTTATTCTGTGTGTATTGGTGAATTCATGTTTTTTATCATTTAAAATTTGTGTAAGAGTTTGAAGCGGCATGGATAAAATATTCAGATATCTAATATTTATTAATGTATGCTACAACTAGGTTATATATACTGTATAGTATGCATCACACGATGGAGCTTAAAGGTTTAAAGGAAAAATGGTGCAAGTTATACCATATTTGCATAAAACATGTACGTATCAAAATATTTTTTTGTTACTAAAGTATATTAAACTTCTAAAAAACGTGACAAATATGATTTACCTTATACTTTAACTAGAACATGCCACTTAGCACGAGTATAATTAAATAAGAGAATAAAGACCACACAGGTAAATAGAGATTAACATTGCGTATGTGTCTAACCACATGCTCAGTAAGAGCAAAAATGTATGTAGCTATTTAACTTATGGTGTAGGTCTCAGGTTTTAAAGTTCAACACTGCATGCAACTAACGCAGGCAAAATATCCAGGTACCAAGTCGTGTGGGAGCCGGCTTTATATTATTGCTAACCCAAGGCCAGCACATGAACCAAACCGATCCAATTCAGGTATTAAGTATGAAAACGATTTTGCTGATTACAAATTATTGCCAGCCCAGGGCGTTTGCAGGAATAATGACAATAATGCAATGTGGTTTATCAGATGGGAATGAAACGATGAGATGCGAAAAGATGAGTCTGTGGAATGTGATTGTATGTGAAATATGAAGGAATGGAAACTATTTTGGGAAAAATTTTTCTCGGAGAAAGGTGGACGTGTGTGTGAGTCCATCGGAAGCGAAAGAGGAGCTAAAGTGCAAACCCAGTTTTCCATGAGCCAAATTCTCATGGAATTGGACAAGAAGCAACAGAAAGGTTCTCGCAATAACAGAGCAAGTCCAGAGCATCCCACACTTCTATTACGTACACACCTCGGCATACTTACGTACGTACTTATCAGCGTCTGCTGCTGCTAGGGATACGTTTATTGCCACTATTCCACCACACTCGAGTTTCATTTTTTAAGAACAAGCTCCAACAATTGTCATACATCCTCCAGAGTTGGATGTGCTTTTGTTGGTGGCGAGTCACCTTTATTTCCGTCGCTGGCTGGTCGAGACGAGAACTGCTGAATGCCCAACAGCATTTTACAGGATGCAGCATCCCCCGCATTGCTGCTTCATTTCATTCCTCTTTATTATACGAACCATTTTTATAGGATGGCAAGGTCAAACTTGTACCTCCATCCAGCTAACTAATGGACAAAATGCTGGCGTTATAGCCACTCTTTGTTGTTTGAAGCAGACATTTTTTGCGCTATTTTGACATCATCCACAGAGTTTATTTACTCATTTAATGATATGATTATTTTAAGACTTGAAGTCACCATTGATAGCGCAACTGGAGTGAGACTCGATTACACAAATATAGTAAAGCTAAATCTGGGTGACTAATGGATGCACATTTTTTCCAAAAATTGGTAATTTTGTGGAAATGTGTCCTTTATAATAGCACCCCAGCCGTACCAGCCACACGGGAAGATTGATACCCACTGCAGTCATTGTCATTTTCTCTTTTCGAATGAGAATCGAATTATGGCATTGATCTTCCATCGGACGAATATTTTCAAAGATATTTCCAATTCCCCACGCGAAAAGAAATTATCATGATAATAGAATATGAAACAGTATATTATGTGTTGAGCACATAGGTCATGATCATTAAGAGACAATATTTTATAAATCTTGACGTCTACAAAAGATTTTAGAAATCTGGTGATAGCAATGGCTTGTCGTTAGTGATGGTTCTTTTTCTGACCGCTCCTGATAGAGATGAAAGGTTATCAAAGTTTCTCTAGTACGCGATAAAGTATTGCGAATGAATCGATAATGAAAGTGAGACGAGTCACAAATCCAAATGGGAGTTTGATGTGCATTCGTTTACCTCGTTTGTCATTGAACTCCTTTGTGTACATATATCCAAGTCAGATATTTATCCATTCCAAGCTTAAGAGGGTGGTCTATAAATATGTAATGATTACTCAAAGCAAAAAGTTCGTGATCATTTTGCTCTCTAATGGATTTGTCAGCCTTCATGATGGCATGGTAAGTACTTTTAGACTCCAATTTTCGTAAAAATGGAATTTTGAAAAGCGTGAAGGTCAACGATAAAAAATATGTAAAAAAAATCGCATTCGATGCGCTTGGCGAAAGTTTTATGCATTTTATATTTCAGTTGATCTTATATGATTTTAATGCAAAAGTGCATATGCAGATGAAATAGTACACTTCTTAGGAGACCTTCGATTGCTATACGGCATCCATGCCTCTCAGTTTTCTACGACAATTTTTAAAACCCAGTTGCTCGAGCATTTACAATATTTTTCGCCACACAGCCCAAACCCCCACTTGACCGATAGAACTAATTTTCGAACTTTTCCTTCATATTTAAAAAATATATTGGTCTAGTTCCATGCTTTTGACCATCTGGTACCGGGGACGAAGGGACACGACAATTACATTAGCCCCCTGTCAGCACGGCAAAAACGCCCATCGGTATTTCAGTACGGACGTATCAAAAATCGCATTGCGAGCCATCCGTACTTAACCGAAGTACAATCGCACTCCGTCCAAGTGCCAATGTATTCAAATTTAAGTACGGATGGCTCGCAATGCGATTTTTGATACGGCCGTACTGAAATACCGACGGGCGTTTTTGCCGTGAGGATACAACTACATATACTAATATTTGAAAATAGAAAACAATATTATTATACAAAAAAGGTCAGCGTAACCTGTGAATTGCGGTATAATTCAAGAGATTTAGCTCAAAAAGTACTTTCAACTGATCTCATGTGCGAAATATCATGTATGTAGAATCATGACTGTTGACTATGCGTTATGGCATGATTTTGTAGGCTGTTGAGTTAACCATAGCATTTATTCTATTCACAATTCTAAACCTGACATTGGCTTTCAGATTTTTCCAGGATAATTTGCAACTTTAGATACTATGAATTAATTTAACTAAAGTGAGTATTGGCGCAGGTTTACTAACAAATATATTGAAGTTTGATTCTTCTGCAAATATTTAACTCGGAAATCTCTCAAGCTTCATATCCGTCTGGCAGTGGATTTGTATGCGGATTGTGGAACAAGCTCCGCCTTCCATCCCCCCACGGAAATCGCTACCAGTCAAACAGGACATGTTGTTAATAATTAACAAAAATTATTATAATGCGAAAGTTCCTAAAAATTTACCTTGTTCCGAATTCGGAGATGATCATAAGCAACGAATGGTGGTCGTTCATCATGACCATGTTTCTTCATATCTAGGATCGTCTTGAAGGTCAAGATTCCAACGCACGGGATTGCTCCAAACAATGAAAATTTTTTCCACAAGTCCATCCCGCCTGCTAAGTGCGTTACAAAAATTTGCACGCATTTTACACACTGGTCGTGTCTCAAAGGTTATTAAAAAGAATTTATTTTCTTTCGTGCAACTTATTTACCTTCATGTTGAGTTGCAGCTTTGCTAGCAAATCGACGAACACAAACACCAACGATATGGTGCTTTCCAGTGAGAATCATTTTTTATGCAAGATATTAATGTATTATTGTTAACAAAATAAGAACCACCTTGATGGCTTGCTTACATATGTACAGTCTGGCTAAACTGAAGTAATACCAGAAAGCACTGTGTTACCTAATAGTTGGGATAAGCATTGATACTCAGAAGATGCGAATTTTCCTACTATTTGGTATGCATATATGTATCTGTATGTGATGGTTGGATTTAACTATGCATTATAACGATTACAATGTCACAGAAAGACAAAACGGGTGTATTGACTGTATGTAACATTCATGTATAGAATCAGTTTCGAATTAGAAGTTTTGTTTAATCCAAATTATACATGCAACAAGCGTATGTACGCTACTTGCAGCAATGATAGCTTCGAAATGTCGATTTTACCCGAAACTACTCGATACAGATTCCTATTATTAGCAAAATCCCAATGTACGCAGAATTTTATAGCAAAACAAAGGTTTGTTTCTCCTGTAATCAGTTTCATGGAGGGTATCCAAGTTTAAAGCGCTCTTAAACCCTAGCATGAGGTCGTACAGTATGTAATTTCCTCAAATATTTAAGATCATAGACGTAATCAATCAATAAAAGTTGCATGCATTAAGACATTTCGAAAAAGGATGCTCATCATTAAACTATCATCCAATGGTACGATTTTCATTTATCTGTATTTTAATTAATCTTCACTCGTCATGATTAATTTCATTAAAAGTTGGATGTATGTACGTAAATATGTTTTATGAAAGCGTTACCAATTATGACTCAGGTTTCTGATACATCAAATATGTATTGCATTTTGTTTCTCGTCAGTATCATCAGGCATTTTCAGTCTATAATTTACTTTATACAAATATACTAGATACAAATTTAACGCTTTCGTATCAGGTTAAAATCTCAATTGTCATTACTCGTTTGATATAAAGCTTTTAAGCTCGCGCATGTTTGTTTAATTTACAGTCTTGTCTTAAAGCGTTCCGGCCGGTTTTTTTCTGCGACTTTGGTGCATTATTATCCTTATAAAGAAGGTTATAGCACTATGAGACTTCTCTCGGAGAATTGAAAACTTACTCGACAACCTTGATTATTATAATACACGAAGGAGCTATGAATCAAGGAAAGGCCAATAAACCGTGCTCTGTACAATTACAAGGATACGTCCAACACAAGACAAATACTCATCTCATATAAAAGACACCTTCTTCGTAAACTCGGAGCTTTTTCAGTTTGGGATAATCCAACAGTGGTCACACATAGTCACAGCGTCACTGGGAATATTCAGCTCCGTAGTGAGCGGAATAAGCATAAATTACTTTGTCGTATTGCATAAAATTTAAATAAAAATATGAAGTTCATCAAAGTATTGCCCTTAATAGTGGGTGTTTTATCCGTGTTTGCCATTGTGGAAGCTACATTTATAACCGCTGCGGTAGGGACTGGCTTCATCGGCGGATTTGTAATGGGGAAAATTACGCTGGGAATGTTTCTTGCTGCAATGGCCTCACGTAAGTTATCAATTTAATTTCAACTCATCAGAAGCTTTCACGAATGTGCATTAAGAATCATTTTGCGTTTTCTTCTATTCGCAGTTAACCAAGCACCTGCATCTGGACAAGGATCCTCACCGACAAAAGTTGGAACCAGAGGCCAACTGGACATCCCAAGTGCTTTAGAAGTAGAAGTTCGAAATCGGTTCCTTCGTCAATTGGGCGAAATGGATCCACTGAACTGTTTGCCAAAGGTATATTTTGTTTTTAATTGACAGGTGCAAAGCTATATTTTACAATAAATATTATCTGTGCCAAAGGTATTTTGTGAAGTTAGTGCAGACCCGCAATCGGCGAAAGAAGTATTCGGGTACGACATTTTACTTTGATTGTAGTAATTATCACGCTTTTAGCTACTATGCATACGGGTTACGGTGTGATGTATGATATTCTCATTCTCACGCTGCCATATCCCTGTTATATATTTTAATTGCACATACGCTTAAGGTACTGCTATGTGGGTGGACTGTATTTCATGAAAATAGACTTTCAGACTATATTTACATATTGCATTTACTGCGTATTTAATTTTTTAAACCAGTCCGGACATCCGCTACATAGGGAGCTAAATATTTTTATTTGTGTCATGTTAATTAATTTATCCTGTGTTCCATTTCACACAGGGCAGATGCTACAAAACTCCTGTCTCATTCTTCCCTGTTCAATCCATCATCACCTAATAAGGACAATAACGATCAAGGAGATGATATCGGGGACAATGACGACTCTTCCCAATCCGATGAAGACGATAATGGTGACGAACCTGTCGCCGATGACGAGGAATCAAAAATACAGGCATATGAACAGAAAGAGAAGGAAATGATGAAAACCAAGGGGGAAGAACAGCTTCTTGATGACTATGAAGATCCCATAAGCTACTATTTTTATCTTAAGGAAAAAAAGAAGCCGATTCATCCAGGATTAATGACGTATATTAAAGAAGGTGAATTTGCCTCCCGTCGAAGTTTCGTCAAACAACCACCAAGCGTAGCCATGTTCCGCAAGAGAATTGATTCGCTGACAACAGCATCGACTCCAAGGATAACTAGTCCCACCACCAAAATGACAACCACAAACTCCCCACGTTCCGACCCCTTTGCAGACGACCCATTCTTTGAAGAGTTTTCCAGGAGCGTTCACCGACCGATCGTTGGGGGCGGAAGCGGTGGGGTAGTGAATGTAGGGTTGCTCAGAAGAAACCGACGCGATACCTTTGGATCATCTACTGAGGTGAGCGATTATTTTCAATTCAAATAATTTTGCAGAAACATGTAGCATACAAATTCTAGAGACAGATTTATTGATTAGTGGGCGTGTCAATGAATTAAATATTGTATTTTTTCTCATATATAGGACGATGTCACAATAAACAAGTATAAAATTGCAGCTGAAGTAGCAGAGACAAAAAATCCTGAAAAATGTAGAAAGGTGTTTAACCAATGTCCTTTCACTGCAAAGGAGGTGATGGACATGATCTCAAAGTTGAATGCAGAAGATGAAACGTCGGCTACAGGGAAAAAGAACAAAACAGCTAATGCTGATAGTGGGCTGATAAACTTAAAAAACACACTCTTCGCGATTGAAAAACTGAATGACGCCACATTTGTTGCAGAGGCATTGGGTCAGCCAGTCAATTACACGCAGGTTATGCAAAACGCCACGCGATTGAATTCAAAATCAACAGTGTCTCCTGGGTCTTCAAACATTTTAAAAGAATTTGATAACCTTGAAGAACAATTTACTGCCCCTCAACAAAACTCTTTGGAAGATGATGAGATTCAAGCAGCACTGCCTGCATTTCCCAAAGGAAAGTTGAAGCCAACTAAAAAGAAGACGAAGAATAAGCAAAAAGAATCAGTACGAAGACGAAGACACGATGACGACAAATCTCGAATTCGCATTCTTTCATATGAAGAAATGCGTAGTATCAGAGACAAAATTCGAAGCCCACGTGTTTCTGCAAAACAACAAAACGGGAAGCTAGCATTACCAGGAGACCGTGACGATGAATTTCTTGGAGAGTCAGGGGAACATCTAGTACCCGCAGTTGGTCGAGGACACAGATTTCAAGCCGATGAGGATTCTGAAGAGGATGACATTTCTCCAGAAATAAAACTTCCAAACGTATACATAGGACAGAGAAAGCCGGTGCAGCAGCAGTCCAAACCAATGAGAAGACCCCAAAGTAATGTTGCTGATTCAAGTTCCAAAAAGAAGGTACAAGTTTTGCACAGTGAACAAGAAGACGATGAATTTAACTCTCCAGAGTCGGAAGAAGTAACAACTGCCGCTGTACAAGTGCCTGGCCTGACATTCAGCCAAACATTTATTGACACCCTTGGAACGCCAAGTCTTCATAAACCAAAGCGAAAACCAGTTCACAAGGTGGTGAAAGTAAAACCTCAAGCTCTACGTGCAACTACAATTAAACCATCCTCAACAACTGCATACACAAAAAGACCTTCAAAAATAACCACCTCACTTCCAAAATTAAGACAAAAATACTCTGGAGAATCCGAAGATGATGAAGAAGACGCCATGAATACGGAAAAGAAGATTGATGTTTTGGTCTCTAAATATAAGCCACGTGAAAAGTCGCACTGATTATAATTCAATTTAATTTATGAATTACCTGACTTATTTATTATATATTAATTTAATGGCTGTCGCTGCAGTTGAACTTTATAGAACTGAGATTTAAATATTGAAAAAATCAAAAGTGAAACGAAAACCATTTTTATTTATATTTCCTTTAAAAAATTGTAATAGTTTGTTGTAAAGTTTGAATTATTATTAGTGAGGATTGATCATCAATAATTAATTAGTTTAATCATTATCTTTTTCGTCTGCCTTAAAATCTTGCTGCCAAATAAACTCTTGTTTATAACTTGGACCATCATCTGCACAATTTTTTTCGCACGTATAAACAGCTAATGTCCCCCAGTCTAAATCTCCCAAAATAGAGTCGTCCCCAACATAATTCAAAAGTTGTGGCATAATCTGAAACTCAAAAACTCGAGCCCCTTTACAATAAGGACAAGGTGGAACATCCTTAATCTCGATCGTTTTGTCAGCCGATACCCAGAGTGGACTTCCTTTTCTGTCATATCGCAAAACTTGATCTTGGTGGTAGGCGACGCGCTTCTTGAATTTGTTGAACGCCTTGTCGGATTTCAGAGACGCTGCTTCCAGCATGTCCGCAGTTTGTGCTGTGTCATCTACAGTCAGACGAAAATACATTTTTAGTTTAACTGGTAACGAGGTAAATTTCACACGTGTTATTATTAACTTGCATAATCAATTTGCTGAACTTACCAAGCGTGCCAGCTTGCCCTTCAGATACAAGTTTCTCAAAATCATCCAACCTTTCCTTTTCAGTTTTCTCTTTTTGCTTAGGAATAACCTCTGTATCAATCACTAGAGCATGTTCTTTGTAGCAAAATGTTTCCACTGGAGCAGCACTCAACGTTTCTGAATTGACAAAAATTAAGCAGACATTACTATCATATCCGATATGATATCGGCGATATCCAAATTACGTATGTAATTAATTATACGACAATCACAATATTTGCTCTTTTATACCATTAATAAATTGTAATTACCTTTATTTGCGCTCTCACATTTATCCTTGTGACCGCCACTCCAGTCCAACTTTTGATGATCTTTTCCACAATAGTAGATGATCCCACATTTGCTACAGCTTTGAGTCGATTTGATTCCACACACGTGACACATTGTGACCCCAAACGAAATCGGACTCAGCTCCCCTAACGTCTTATCCTTCTCATCCGGTGCTTGATCCGAGTAAAAGTCGTTCAGTTGACGAAGTTGTGACCTCAATACGACCAAATTCTTGTTAGAATTTCGTTCAACGCAGCACCGTTTGTTGGGACAAACGAAGAGGAACAATGTTCTGTGGAACGAGTCTTCCGTCTCCATTGGGGCGTAAACTTGGAGGAGAAATTTCCCCGGCTGGTCGCAAACTCCACACTTGACATCCGTCGCAGTTGGAATGTTTTTGAGGTCTAACCAGGCAGGAAGCCCACCAAATTTTGAGGGAAAAAATGCAGACCTTAATTTATAACTATGTGAAGGGTCGTCCTCTTCTAGAAACCCAAGCTCGATCGGAACCTCCTTCTCCTTCTTGTTCCTTGATGATTTAGGTTTCGACATAATGATGGTGATTTTTTTTTACAGATTTTATTTATTTTTTCGATAGAAAAATACTGGAATTTTATAAACTCCTCGATTTTCTCACTCACACTGTCACACTTGTCCGTGCCATGTGCTTTGTGCTTGAAACTAGATTGATATTTCGAGGGCGCGAATGAAGTTTTCTATGTGTGTTGAAAATTCTCGGACAATTCATATTGTTGTGAATTTGGAATGTGATTGAAAGAAAATAAAGAGAAATACATATTCTGAATTGGTTGAAAATTTTGACAATTTGCGCATTAAATCAAGCACCTAATCGGTTTGTTTTGATGAGGTGTCTCGTTTAGTTTGATAACTTGTTGGAAGGAACAGCTATTTTGTTAAGTTTTGATCATTTTATAAAGTTTCGCTGAGCTGCATCTTACAAAATAGTTACAATGATCACTGTACAACACATGTATAGGAAGATCTTGCCATCTTTATGTCAAAATATTCAGATATTAGGTCACAAAAACCGCTGTTTATCAACGAGCATAGTTTTAAGCCGGCGACGAAAGGTTATCAATTTTTAAGCTTTTTAACGGTCTATAACAAAGGTGAATGACTAACTTTAATTGTATGTAATTTGTATATATTTAATCTGTAGGATTATGAGGACGAATACATTGAAGTTGCACCACCACCCATGATGAACCCTGTGAAAAGAACATTAAACATTTTGAAACATGATGTCAGATCAATTTGGGACCCTGATCAGCCACCACTACTTAAATTCTCCTCACATGTCGATGTTCTCGTAATTGGTGGTGGAATAATGGGAACTGCAATTGCCTACTACTTGAAACAAAGAACGGGAAGAAGTTCTTTTTCCGTGTCGGTCATCGACAAGGATCCCACGGTGAGAAAATTCATTTACATACAATCTCCACCCACCCAACCTGGAGTTGGCTAATATTTAATGTTTATGTGTATTTACCAATGCAGTACACAAAGTCATCTACTGTGGTAAGCCAAAGGATTTCAGGTTTTTTTAATGGAAATGGACATTCAATTATAATTATTATACGATAACAATAGTAAGTACTACGCAAATAATATACCGTATGTGTGTGCAGCTTTCTCTGGGAGGACTTCGACAGCAGTTTTCTCTGTAAGAACATTTATATATAATTGTCACTCTCCCCAGTAATAATAAAAGTCCGTGAATTTTATTTATATTTTTTTTTGTACAATAGCAAAGAAAATATCCAAATGTCCATGTTTGGTGCGGACTTCTTACGACGATCTAGGGAGCTATTAGCCCTTGACGGAGTTCCTCCTGCTGATATTCAGTATCATCCTTATGGTTATTTATATCTTGCTGACGAAAAAGGAGCAGCACAGCTTCAAGAAAATTGGCTGCTACAAAAGTTTGTTGCTACTGAATATATAAGACATTAAATTTTATATCAGAATCGATACCAGTTAGTTGACAAAATATTTTCGTGCGTATTTACTTAGAGAGCTTGGCGCAGAAGTGGAATTACTTGGGAAGGAAAAGCTGAAAGAACGATTTCCGTGGATCAACACGGATGGTATTGAGGTTGCATGTCATGGAATGGAAAATGAAGGATGGTATATTTCGATAATATTAATTTATTTAAGAAACCCAAGTATACTAATGTTTGTTATGCATAGGTTTGATGCATGGGCTTTCCTTTTTGGGTTGAAGCGTAAGGCCTGTGAGCTTGGAACCGAATATGTAGAGTCTGAAGTCGTAGGGTTTAAGTTTGAGGAGGATGACGGAACGATTGTTGCTGGAATGGATCACGATGAAGAACATACAGCTATAAAAGCAGCAATTGTTAGGACACCTACAGGAGAGTTGAAAACAATTCATTTTGCATATTGCATTATCGCCGCAGGACACGAGTCCGGTAACATTGCAGCCATGGCTCGAATTGGTAGAGGTGAAGGCATGTTGAGTGTTCCATTGCCAGTTGAACCAAGGTAAGTTTAACCCTAAAATTAAACATAAACTACATGTATTTTTTATTATAAATATGTAGAATAACTGCGTACTTTTTATTGGCAAAATTACATCTTTCAGGAAACGCTATGTATTTTGCTATAATGCTCCACAAGGTCCTTCAGTCCCTGGCCTTGATTGTCCAATGGTGATTGATCCTAGCGGGACGTATTTCAGGTAGAAAGTAGCCATGGGTTTAATAATTGTTGTGTCATTACTAAATACTCGTGTTGTGGTACGTAAATGCAGGCGAGAAGGGTATGCAGGTCATTACGTTGCTGGACGGGCTCCACCATTAGAAGATGTCGAGCCAAACGTTGAAAATTTGGACGTTGACTACACATATTTTGATAAAACAGTATATCCTTCACTTATTAATCGTGTCCCTGGTTTTAAAAATTTGAAGGTATTCTATTCTTTACCGTGTACATATGCAATCAAGTGATCGTTCTAATATTTTCAAATTTACGATTATAGTTGAATTCGGGATGGGCTGGTTATTATGATTATAATACTTTTGATGAAAATGGAATTGTTGGACCTCATCCGTATTATCCAAATATATATTTTGCCTGTGGGTTCAGCGGATTTGGTAAGCCTGTTATACTTACTAAAATGTTGGCTGAAAGAGTAAATAACTATAAAACGAATTATTAAACAAATCATTGCTCAGGAATTCAACAAGCTCCAGGAGTAGCTCGGGCGACAATGGAAATGATCTTGGACGGCGAATTTAAGACTACAGATCTAACTAGATTTCATTTTGAAAGATTTCTTGTCGGAAAAGAGATTAGAGAGAAAAATGTGACATAATAATGAATGATAGAATATTAAAGTATTTCTAGTCAGGTTTTTTTATGAACAATAAAGTCCCACTTTCATAACCACAAATCTGTATCTTAACCTAACAATTATTTACATATTACATATTTGGCTCTTTATCAATGTTATCATATCTGCCTAACACTATTCATTACTCGGGATGTTGTAATTCATTTATCATAAAGCTGAAGGTGATGACTGAATGAGCTATCGTTGGTATCTCTCCGATGTCGCCAGTAGAACTGGTTTGTTAGCACGACCTTGAATGCAGTAGTTACGTAATAAAGCCATTCCTATATTTATCAACCGAAATTAAGCTATCATTTATATTAAGAAGTGTGATACCATGAGTTTGAAAGTATTCTCCCGTGTTATTCAACGGTTCAACCGGAAGTCTATCCTCGTAGCAGTTCATCCGGACAATAATGCAGTATGTAACTCTTGCTACTTAAATTCTTGTCTGATTAAAAGTTATTAATAATAACTTATTAATATTATCAAATCCCACTTTGTGAAAATGTAGGTTTCCAATCTTTCCACCAGCACTGATAAAAATATATTAAGTGATTCCAGCTCTTTGATTCCTTCAAAATGCGACGTATGCATTATTGGAGGAGGTATGCACACAATTAGTTAGACTCTGCCATGAATGCAACTAATTTACCCTAATCCTCATAATAAATTAATGGCGATAGTTATTACAATATTTGGTAAACAGGAGTGATGGGACTATCTACTGCTTATTGGTTGAAAAGGCATGAAGCTGGAAAAAACATGAAAGTTGTTGTTTTGGAAAGAGATTCAAAGGTGATGAATAAATAATATTCGTGTAAATGTGCACGTGGATGGAATATACATATGCAGAGGACAGAATAGTTTAATAATCTAAAGACATATTTTTCTACGTGTTCAGTACACAAAAGCATCTTCGGTATTATCCATGGGGGGAATTCGACAGCAGTTTTCCCTTCAAGAAAATATTGAGCTATCGCTATTTGGAGCAGATTTCTTGCGACGTGAGAGAGACAATAAATTATGTTGATTTTTACATGGTTCACAATTCAAAAATATTATATCTGCAATAGAATCGGACGAGTTTTTGGGGCTTGATCAACAAAATGCAGACGTTCAGTACCATCCTTGTGGCTATCTATTTTTGACCACCACCTCGGATGGAGCACAGCTCCTACATGATAATTATACACTGCAAAAGTAAAATTGCATGTGCATGTAACTATATATTTAGTTATGTATGATGACTATAATATTTATAATTATGTAGGAAATTAGGATCAAAGGTAGAATTGCTGTCAAGACAAAAGCTAAAGGAAAAGTTTCCGTTCTTCAATGTTGATGACATAGAATTGGGAAGTCTTGGACTAGATAATGAAGGATGGTATTAATTTCATGCAGTATTTCAGTATAATTGATGCATAGTAATGTGTCAATAAGTTAACTTTTTTTTCCTAAAACTTAGGTTTGACCCTTGGTCTTTACTCAATGGATTTAAACGAAAAGCAATTTCGCTGGGGGTGGAATATATCCAAGCTGATGTTTGCAAATTTGATTACAAATCGCAAACAGAAAATTCAACTGCAGGGCCAAATTCTGTCGTTATTCAAACTGCGGATGGAAAACTTAAAAGCTTGGAATTTTCACATTGCGTGATTGCTGCAGGTTATGAATCTGGGCGCGTTTCAGCATTAGCTGGAATAGGAAATGGGTCAGGATTATTAGGTCATTCGCTTCCAGTTGAGCCAAAGTAAGTAATTAGGTGTATCTACATAATTGATTATTTTGCACAGTCTGCATTGAATTAGAATTATATATACCCATTTTGGTTTTCTCTTGCAGAAAACGATACGTTTATTTTGTGCACGCACCGGATGCGCCAGACACTGGCTTTCCCATGTTAATTGATTCGACTGGCACTTATGCGAGACGGGAAGGAAGTGCAGGCCATTTTCTATGTGGACTTTCGCCAACTGAAGAGGAGGAACCACCTGTCGACAACTTGGACGTGGACTATGGATATTTCGATGCCCAAGTTTGGCCAAATCTAGCACATCGAGTAATGACTTTATGCTAATTAAATTATTTCGATATACAAAACAGCACACAAATTGCGCCCATTTTTTTCATATAAACTTTTTTTTAATTACTCAAGGTTCCATCCATGGGGAATCTTAAGGTAGGAATTATTATAAAATCCTATAAGGAACGAGATCTGCATACCAATCTTGATTTGATCTGATCTATATATGACAATGTTGTAGGTCAAATCTGGATGGGGAGGATATTACGATTACAATACATTCGATCAAAACGGAATAATTGGAACACATCCAGTGTTTCAAAATTTTCATTTTGCCACGGGGTTCAGCGGACACGGTAAGTAAGCCCATTTCACATTTAAAGAGTATTTTGTATGCTAATTAGTTATTTTCTTTTGCACACAGGAATTCAACAATCCCCTGCTGTAGGTCGTGCAATGATGGAGTTGATTCTGTATGGAAAATTCAAATCAATAGACTTGCAACGTTTCGGGTTTGAGAGATTTATTGACGGGAGGCAAGTTTTGGAACAAAATATCGTTTGAAGGGTCTCAGTAAAGACATGCGTGCGCTAATAAAATTATATTGCTGGTGCAAATGCATTACATGAAACAAAACAGGAAAGTGAAAGTTTATTTCGCAAAAAAAGCATATGTATAAGGTTCAGTTTAATAGGTTTCGGACAGATAGTATATTTTGTCAAGTTGTTGGTTTGACTGACTTAGTTGTTGTTGTTGTTATTGTTGCTGTTGCTGTATTGTTCTGCGAGGGGAACGACTTGGTCTCGAATTCGGAGAAGGTCTTCATACAGGGTGCTACCATCAATTCCCAAAGAGGACGCAATGTTGGAAGCGGAAACCTCCACATCATCCCCAGATTCCCCATGGTAGAATTCTTCTTGAGCAATGGCGACAAAGGCCAGAGCCAAGATCCCAAAGAGCACGAGGAGCATCTGAATTTTTCATAATCAACCGTTTTTGACTCTCGCTCAATGGAAAAAAATATGTGAATGGAAAATGACTGAAAATTCATACTCACCGAGTTTTGCATGATGACTAAAGTTTCTAAATAGTTTTCTGTATGTGTTACCTGTTGCAATTAGATATTCAAACTGAGAGTTTCAACAATGATTCAACTATTTATATCACCTCATTTAATTTCTTTCTGCACATACATTCGAGTCCATCACGATTCTGTTTGGAAATGCAGACATGAGAGTCATTATTTTCAAAGGATTGGGAACCTTTTGTTTTATTGTGACGAAGTAAAAGAGTTTCCCCAATTCACTTTTTCTTTGTTTGGTTGAGAAATGAAATCGAATCTTGGCTGCTACTACTACCGAACCATTAGGATTGGTATGTATTTAGTATACGAATTGCAGAGTAGAAGTTAGAACTCATCATTGCACACATAAAACGGTGGAATTAATTTCCTTCTCTTACATGACGTTTTCGCAATATGACGATGACGACGCGACACACGATATATTTGTGTGGGTGTAGTTTACTTTGAAAGTGCAGCATAGATATGTACATTTGTAAGATGATGTACATTACATACAACTAACTGCAATTGTGAATTTAGTAATAATCTCTCAAGTAGTTAGTGCCAACAAGTGTCTGTAAGTTTGCTGCTGGAAAATGCAAATGCATCCTTTGTATGTAGTTGTTGGTTCTTCATGCATTTTATAATACATATGCTCAGGCAATAGTACATCGATAATTAAATAATCACACAAGATTGTTATTTATTCATGATTTTTCAATTGCTTTAGAAAGACTAGATTGGTGAAATGCAAAACACTTCAAAGAATGCAGGAACATAATTCAAAATTGTTGGATGAGTGAGGTCTCCGTTGTCACTGATTACATGTCCGGTCTGTCGACGTCGACGATTAACGACGGCCATAGCCCCCTCCTCCGCCGCCCTTGCCTCCCCCACCACCACCTCCTTCTCCTCCCCCAATGTATCCACAGAAGTAAATTGGTCCAGCTGCTCCCCCGCCTGAACCCCCCTTGCCGCCACCGCCGCCGCCGCCGCCGCCTCCATGACCCCCTCCTCCTCCTCCTTTACCTCCACCACCTCCTCCACCTGGTTTATGAAATAATAATTAGATTCGCAACGATAAGGATAAACACAAATTTTACCATAGCCTCCACCCCCACCACCACCGCCTGGTTTAGGAAATTATTATTAGCTTCGCAACAATGAGGATAAATTTGTTTTACCGTAGCCACCCCCACCACCACGCTTCCCTCTGGTACTGGGAATAAAGGTTAAGGTCGCAGTGCAGACTTGGACCACGATGCTAAGAACCAAGACCCATGTCATCTGAAACCACCCAGATTTAAATCTGTTTTAACGCTGAAATGCACAAAAAAGTGAACGCATTGTAAAAACTTATTCTAGTACCATTTTGACCACGGTTGTATTCATGATGATTTCTAAATTTCTGATGATGGCAGATAAAAGTTTCTGTAATCCTTCTTCACGTGGACTTGGAATACAACTTAAGTTTCTGTTAAAAGTGCAGAACTATTTATAACAGTCCACTATTTCTACACTATGTCTACATCATGGAATGGCGTATCTTTTGTCTCAGCGTTTTAGAGGGGAGTAAAAATTGTTTGGAAATTCCAACAGATACATTGCCAAAATCTCTTGTTTTTTGAAAAGCATTATTTATTTTTCCATTGGGTGACGACGATGTGAAGAAATAAAATCTCTTATAGTAGTTTCGACATGTGTGAATGAATGAAGAGGATGACGATGATAATAGATTACTGTTGGGTGGGAAGTGCTCCTTCACACGTACGCAAGTGGAATTGCTTTATTGCTTAAATAACTGTCTCATGCGTTAATTTAGTTGCTTTTACAACAAAAGCATTATAATTTTGTCACCAAACTTTTTGGGTAAACGTGCAAAATTTTTATCAAGTCAGACCAATAAATTAGTTGATTCGAGTCATTTTAAAAGTTTTATTTATTTAGCATATTTATAATACATGGTACATATGTACATATGTCTGTAGGACCCACTAACATTTCATGCTTATTGGGAATTATTATATAATAATTTTACATTCATGTGCATAGGACAACTCATGTATTAGATATCTTGTATGAATAAAATTTAACACTGGCATTAATGTTTATACAACGTTTAATCAGTTTTAAAGGATTGCAATCCTCGAATAACTTCCGGATGGTGAACATGAGGAAATATTTTCTGGAATCGACAAAGAAAGTTTCTGTACCATTGATGACTTTGGTGATTCTTTTTTAAAATATCCTTGTCCAAGTTAAAGTCCACCCATCTCATGGTGCTGCATACCGTTGAAGACTCTTCCGGTAAGAAAGTTGTAAGAATTTCTTCAACGTTGGATGGGTTTGTGCCAGCGTCAGACTCGTCGTCAGAAATTGAATCGCCAGGGAGTAAACTCAAATATTTAATTTTTGGAAAGTCTTTTTCGTACGAAATATGTCCAGAAGGGAATCGTAGTTTCAGGTAAAGGTCTTCATCATCGACATATATAATAATTTCAAAAGATGTCAACCTAGGGAAACTTGGCAAATTGAGTACTATCTGGGAATCCTCTGTCCCACTTTCGGCAAATTTGAGACACAAAAATTCCAAAGTAGCGGAATGTTTGTTCAACATTTGCTCAAAAGCGGTGACTCCCAGAGCTGTCAAAGCTGGAATGTCATCTAATTGAAGTTTGTGCAATGTCTGTGGAAGGGTTTTAATGGTTGTGAATGATACAATTGGGTCCTCTGAATCGCCATACAGCTCGAATTCAGCAGAAATTTCTGTAAGGTTTTTCCACGTCTCCCGATTAGTTTGAAGATATTGTAAGAAATTTTGTAAGAGACCCGTTTTCACATTTATGCCTTGCAAATTTGGAAACAGTTTCGCAATCTCTGAAATTATATGGTTTTTCAAAGGATCTCTCATTTCGTCATCTCCTTCAACATCATGAACCCAGAGGGCCAGCCTTTTCACCGACGGAAGACATAATGCACTTCCCATGTTGGGATAAAATGATGTGTTAATGTCAATGCTCAAGTCTAAATTTTCAACGTTGACAAGCTGCGAAAAAATCCTCTTAAATCCACTCCCATCTCGATCATGAATCACTGACATGGAAAGAATCAAGTCTTTGATCACATGTCCCATGTTATTCAGAAGCCAAGTTATGTCTGAATAAAATTGCCTTGGAGTCCCAACTGGAGAGTTGTTTGTCACGTCAATCTCGAAGCTGGAAATATTGTACTTTTTGATTAGTGCTACTTTTTCCTGAAATGAGTCGCTCCACTTTACTTCCGACAGCGACAGGTGACGCGGATGATATGTAAATTCAAACTTTAGATGTGTAAGAGATACCATCCTGATGTCAGTTCTTGATTTCCAGAAACTATTCAATAACCGACAATTTTTCAAGTCTTTTAGTTTGAGATATCCTAAAATCTTATCCACAATCTGCAAAAAAAGCATTTAGTCGTTATCCATTAAATCCAACAACGATATAAATACACAACGAGATTGGTTATAACTTACCAAAACAATGTTCAAAGCAAATCCCATAGGATCATGATGGACATTTCCTACATTATTAGTGTTAACACTAATAGACCTCACTGACAGTTCTTCTTCTTCTGGGGGTTTAGCTAAAGTCTAATATAAAACCAAACAAAGTGTGATTGCTCACGTCATTACTATGCTCATACTACTAACTCACCCAGCTTTTTCATTGATACTATTACAAATCAATAATTTAAAAATCTTTACCTTCACTTTCATTATGTAATATTCTCTACTTGTCACATTAATTTGTGGATTTGTAGAATCGTGAGATATTCCCAGCCCCACAATATCACCATCGACAAGTTTATAGTTTGTCATTGGAGTAATTTTTTTCCCATTGACAAACGTCCCATGTTCACTCTATATGTAGAGTAAAATATACATATTTAAATTGGGTGTCAGAACCATTGGTAATTGGCACTATTTACTTACATTAAGGTCCTTGATCCATACAAAATCATTGGTGTGATTTGGACGCAGGAACTCGCAATGTGGAGAGCTGACAAGACTAGAAAAACTATCACAGTAATACGTGTGCAAGGCATCGGAACGTCGAGCTGTAGATGGAATTCTCCTTGAAGCCGAAAGAACATACTGCAAGAAACACAATATTTAATATCAAAACCAATACATTTCAAATGTCATACGCCAGTAATTACTAGCTCAATTCATGAGGCTTAGTCATTTACAGATTTGTCACATTCAAATCCAAAATCCAAACGTCCCCAGCACCGATCAATGTCCACGGTTTGTAAAGGTTGCGCCCTCACCCTCGGCTTGGTTATCGTGCGTGAGCGAAGACTCACAGTGTTTCCCAATGTATCACTCCTTCGATGATTGAGGAGATACATTCGATAGGCGAACATGGTGAAATCGCCAGTTCTATAGTTTCCACTAAAAGTGCGCAAACCCTCCCCACCAGATCGGTACTTTTTGACCATTTCCTGTTCAAGAAAGGCTTCCTCTTCAATTTCTAATGCATCGACGACACGTCTCCGTTTAGTGTTTAGTTCAACATCACTCCCTCCTGTGGAGTGATCCTTTCTTTTTTCGGCCATGTTTCTCAACCGTTCTAAAGAAAATACTGGGATGACCTGGACAAACAATGAACAAACAAAGATTATTATTTTATGTATGTATATCAAATATTCCATTCATTAGACATCAGAAGACGTCATGTAAAAGAGACAACTCCTTAAGTCCTTAGCAATCACGGCAAGTTCAAAGTTCAAGGCACAGCTAATACTTTAACGTTGAAAATGTTGAAATTCAAAGCCAATTAATAGTAACTCAAAATACAGCACAAGGCTTGTATTTTATACGAAACGTCGTCATTACCTTGAATACACCATTACCAATAAACAATTAAACTTTCAACTTTAACTAACAGCTTTAATTCCCTTTAATTAATTAGTCGATTTATTTAATGATGCCTGAGAGAAATGACTGAACTTGGAATTCGCCTGCTCGTCCTGTTCAAGTTATGATCTCGTGAAATGCATTTTGGGGGCATTCGGACATACTTTACTTTGTATCCACTGCTGCTGGCAACGCTATAAATTTTGCGAGTTTTATTTGACCCCCATTATTGACACCCCCTCGTTCGTTTCTCCTGGAAGTACAATTTGCTAAATTTAGAAATCTAGACCAGATAGTGCGACATAGAGTAAACAGTGGATTTGGCATCCAGTGTTTCGAATTAATTTTAAAATCGGTGTATGTATGCATGTAAAGTCTTTAGCCTGAAGATAAATAAAGTTGATGCGGCATCGGCATGTGAATTTAGTAAAATTATATTAGACTACTTTTCTACTGCTGACAATGCTTATCTGGTCCTTTTTTCTTGTAGTTTTCAATGTACGTGATTGCATTTTAAAAGTGCATATCAATCAAATGCCCAGTAAAAATTAAGATCAGAGTTGTTTTCAAGATTCGACGATAGACAAATCTCGCATATAGAAAAGTACGTATTGAAAGGTGATGGTGTGGCAGTGGGATGATTAGAATGATATCCGATGCATTAATCCCTTTGGGGTTGCGATGACTTATGTCCACAGTAAAAACGTAGGTAGCGACAAGAAGTGGGAAGGGAGGGGCCAGCATCACTTATTTATTCATTTCATTATTCAGTTTCTCTTTCTCAGAGTACATACATCGTTTGAATTACAACAACGAGAATGTGTTCATTGTGAGAATTGCTCTCAAAGTAATCAATTATGTGTTACATCAATTATTTTATCAGCTAAAACAGCTTTCTAGAAGCGGTTTGCGGTTTGCTAGCAGCACGAATAAGTCAAGTAGCCGGTGCGTGCCGTGGCAAAGGCGAAATGTAACAAAATAACCAATAGCAATAACTAATGTTACACATTAGATTAAAGCAATTTAGGCCAATACAGTCAACTTCTTCTTTTCTCAATAATATCAAAGTAAATCCAAGAGATTGGGATGAGATAAAAGGAGATTTATTCGATCCATGCCAGCTTGACACACGCAATTTGTATGTAAATAAACCTATTGTCTTTCTATGACTCAAGTTCAATTCGTTACCACCGATTATCATTGGATTAGTCTTGGACAAGCTTCCTTGATGATTATTCCCGTCATTAATTCCTTTTAAAACCACTAAATACCCTCATTTCCTGAAAGTTTTACTCCAAGCGTGACAAATTACAAAAGTGAGATTTGCCCCATTTATTTCCTCATCGTAGGATGCATACTTAAGTAAGTGGATTATGATGATTTCTTGAGGATGAATGAAAACGAATACTACGCTAAACAATGACATTGACATTGATAGTGGAAAAGGATCATCAAACTAATATACGTATGGGTATGTCGTGGTGACATCCGAATTAAAATGAGATTTAGGTTAAACTCTGCTACTTTTTTGGTAGAAACAGTGATCCAGTTTTTGGCAAAACTGTTTTTTCTGTAAATTGAAACAGAATTGCATATTTTGCTTCTAGCAGAATGCAAGGTATCAGGAACAGAAAAACCCATTCACATATCGGATTAACTAGTGAAACCAGTGATTTACTTATTTTTACATACATATATATGCATCATTTTTATGAACATTCCCACGCGGTTCTTGTTTTCATGTTATTGTAAACATTAATTTGGCGATTATTTATGTATTAATTTCCTTTCCACACGCATTAAACAAATTACAAATTTCTCACACTTAAATACATACATACATAAGTAAAAGTAAGAGATAATGATAATTTATATGTACATCAAAAAATTTCAAAAATGAGAAATCCTTGTTGGAATGACCTGGGCAGTGGCTGGGCTAATTCTAATTCTAAGATTAGTTCTTGAAATCGTTTTAGCACAAATAACAATTTTCTGTAAGTTACAGGCTTAACAGGAGTTAGCATAATTTAATTTCAGTTATTAAGAAAATTAGCATGAGCCCCCAATTGCAGACTAGTTATGTAGGTATTATTACCGCACCAGTCACTTATATTACCAAAAGTCCGGCCTAAATAATGTTGAAGTAATGTGGAATCGTCACAAAATTTGGCTCAGAGATGTTTACCGAATAATAAGATTGAGAGATTTAGGATTATGTGTACGCTAATATGTAAAGTCTCTTTAATTTGCAAAGGTCTTCGAATTTCAAATATGTACCACACGAACAAACAACGCAAGGATATGAACATACACACTGCCAACCTTATTGGCATTGTCTTTTATTAATTTTCTTGAAACTTGTTCTTGTTTTACATTCTAGTTTCGGGTTTTTATGTTTTTTTTTAATTTGTAATGGATCGAAGGTCGAATACATACGTACGCTAACGAAACAACTAAAATCCAAGTTTAGAGCACATGCAAGCGTAAGTGGTCCCAACTTACGATTAGGTTACCTTATTCTTTGTCGACTTTTTTAGTCATCATCAGTCAGGATTGGCATTTAAAGTTGAAGAAGACGAAGAATCGCGATGTAGTGCTGATATGGTTAGTGGTGGTGGTTGGTTCAGTTTTTTGGATCTTATTGCCACATATTAACTATGTAAGTATGTACGACTGCTGCATGCTGCCTACTGGGGTAGTACTCTACATTAGGACGACTGACGATATCAAAACTAGAGTCAAGTCATCTGAGAAGAAGACGCTTAAAAGTCATCATGAGTATTAGCCATTGAGGTATCGAGAACTGTCGTATCCTTGTCAAATCTCACCCTTCTGCTTTCTGGGTTAAATCGTGCTTTGTGCTTGTGGCTTTGATACGAGAAGGAAGCTCGTTCCATTTAATATCCCATAAACCTCATGAAAAGTGAAATACTTTCATAGTGCATAAGGCGTGTGGGTTTTTTATCAAAAACTCCTGAAAATCTGCAGGGTCTCATGTCTGCTCAAAAATGAATAAAAATAGCAATTTTCGAAATGTTCTTGAAACAACGACAGTGTTTTGGTTCTACGTAATACTGGTTTTATTAAGTGGGACAGTAAACACAATTGAAGGGGAACAATTGCCTCCGCCTTCGGCTAGAATTGTGCTTATCAATTCGGATTCTGGCCGAGCAGTAAGAGGAGTCACCGATAAAGTGAATCACGAAGTTATACTCACAGTGCCCACAGCTTATCGACAAGCTTACCTATTTGAGTGCAATGCATCATACCCTGTGGAATGGAACTATTTTGGAGAAGGGGTAAGTTAAGAAAGTGGAAATATGTACATATTTAGTTGTTTTTAACCCTGACCTGAGGAACAATATAGCAAACTTCAATCGCCAATTAATAAGTATACCCTCAAATGTATGTATATAAATGCATAGGCCCCAACAACAAATGCTGACGTCGGGCGACATTTTACGGACTTTTACAATGTGAATAGCTATACATATCAAGCAGTTCTGTTCTTGCCGTTCTTGGATGAATTGCAATCTGGACGCTATGTGTGCCGTGGAACTCATTCCGAGCAAGAAAAGCTACAAATCCATTACGATTTGTTTGTCCCAGGTTTTACATTTTTCTCATTAGCACAAATTTATTTTTCAATATCAATGCATGTGTAGCGTCGAGCGTGCTTTTAAGTGGCTAATGTGATGTATTCGTAAATAGTAAAACTGGTGAAATTGCAGGAAATGGGACGCACATGCTGATATCAAATGCAGAAAAGAAAGTATTTGTGGCAGAATCAAAGTTGATGACGTCACTTCCATGTGAAGTTACCGATCCTTCAGTCACCGTTAATCTGTTCAAGGAAAATGCTTGGGTACATATATAACTCATATGCATACGTATTATTCCATATGGAATGTACATATTTTGAACAAGTTAAAAAATCGATAACAAGTGTTGAATTTTCTGTAGGGAGCGTTTTTAAAACTGGAAATGAACGACTCCATCATCTTCCGACCTCGTAAAGGATTTATACTCAAGATGCACGAACTTCCCGATCCTTTCGGAACATACATGTGCATTACACCCGATAATAAACGTCGCAGAAAAATTCACTTGATTCCTGAGAGATTTCGTGAGAAATACGATGACGCGCACATCGTTGGTGGCGATGATAACCACAAAATTCACCTCTCATACGACTACGAGTACAACCGGATGCTCTGCTGCAACACTGCTGGAAACAATGCACTTGCACCAAAGCTTCAGTGGGCTGACTGCGGTTCAGTTTTGGATTGCAAAATAAAGAGCGTCTGCTTTGAGGAGGACCGGTGTGGGGATATTCGTCATAGGTGGGCGGATCCAGGCCCACTTCCAAGGGGCTGTGCAGGCTGGAAGCTGAATGATGGATCCGAAGGGGACCATGGAATTCTCAAATGTTCGACCCCTGCCGTTACGCAGTATCAACCCTTTTTGTTAAACAGGGGCAATATTTGTAAGTAAAATAAGTACTTATGTACATATGTGTAAATATGTAGGCGAATATATATGTCTATAAATTGTATATTGTTAAACATTGCAGTTGTGGATTTTGAAGCAGCTCCACCCTCAGAATCTATTCTGACTATGGCGAAATTTTCCCCTGACCAGATATATTTAGGCAGTGAAGTCGAATATCTATGCAACAGCACAAGGTTTTATTTTTCGTTCGGAATTCGTTGGGCTTTCAAACGTGGAAATGATGATATTGAGTTCATTGGAGAATGTATGTAACAAGTCTGTTTGAAAATGTATTCGGTTTGTACTTTCCTGGACATAAGATTCACTTATTTTAAAATATAACTTATTGTACAGCTTCGTCCTATATTGTGAAGGATGAGTACCCTGTGATGTCTCACATGCGGAGAACAAAGTTCAGGATCTTACACCCTGATATCAAAGCAATCATTTGCTTCGTTCCAACCACTTCTGCGACTGAATGGCGAACAGTATCACTACCAATTTCAATCAGAGGTAAATAAAATTTTATTTAATGCATCTATTTCCCATTTCGTGAAGTTCGGAAATTAAGCAACTCAATTTTGGCTTGGAATATGGATTAATTTTTTAAATTCCGGGATTGGATTAAGGGATTAACTAATCTGTATTAAGTGTGGGGTTTATTCGTGCATTAAGAATTACTGATTACTTATTTTAATTTTAAATGGCTGTCATAATAATTAATTTTTTAGTATGCAATATGAATTAATTAATCCCCACCCCATCAACTAGTCCTTAATCTGGATTACCAGTAAACATTTTATGAAATACATGACCATAAAAATATTTTTATTTATTATGTGTAGAGCCCTTCCAAGCGCCACCAATATCGCTCATTAATAGCATCCACACCCAGCGACCGTCTTTGGAATTTCTCAACAATCGAATCCCCTATCCCTCCGCCTCTCATCCTGGGTCTGTGATTGAGCCTTACAGCACAAGTAGACCAACCATACTTCACAAAAGTCATTACTCCATGGAAGTTGATCCCACACCTAGTATCGACATTGATGAAATCATGTCGTTAGGAGGAGATAAACCAATGGGACAAGATGTCTCAAAATTGGGCTCATTTTCTCCTCATCCTCTATACAGCAATAATGCAGAAAATAAGGAACATTCCCCACTAGCATATCCACCTCGACTGCCGTCAATTGACCATCCTCCATCTAAAACCATTTCACGCCAGCAACTAAACAGCCAAAGATATCCTCCACAGTCCACTCATAATCTTGCTCATACTAGATTTCCGCCTGTTCTCCTTCCTACTATAACTCCAGAACCTATAAAGGTCTCAAGCCCTTCTCAACCGGAAATAATAACTCTGGATAATATTAAAAACTACAAGACGGAAAAATATAACTTTCCCTCACAAGCGGAAATTCACGAGGCAAACATGCGGCATCGCTACAAGCTACAAATGCACCAAGAGGGGAATATCCCATACACAACAACGACTCAAAAGACGGTATGGACAACAACCACTCCGACAACCACTGTCGCCCCACTTTCTCGCTACCAAAGTATTGGTGCTCAAAAATATTCACAACCCTTTGACCCCTACTATGGGCACCATCATCATCGGTACGACTTTGACGAAAACAACAGCAAAAGGGATGAGATTCCCAGATATCAATCTGATTTCAACCAGCATAAAGAGTACAAGGTTTCCACAAAGTTGGATATGAGCCCCCAAACATCAAGCTCAATGGAAATGGAAAGAAGGCATTCTAATGGCGGAATAATTTCCCACTCTGGCGATGATGAATATCGAAATCTTTACAAGCACCATCACCACCAATCCCACTCAACGCCACGCACAACCCAACGACCTATCCACTACTTTAGTGACAATCTGCCGTCAACATCTGAAAACGAAAGTCTAGAAACTTTTGGAGCTCCGACCCCAGTGCACATACCTCAACACCAACGCCAGCCGGTTATTCACTTTGACTCTCGTGAAAAACAGTATGGTCTCAAGGATCCGCTTATCCCAAATTTTTCAAACAAGTTGAACATGAAGGGGAAAAAGTCATCGATTGAGACTGACCATTCTACCGAAGAGAATCATGCTCATGTTCATGCAGCAAATTACCAGCCCACGCCAACAACTTGGGATCGCAGTTACCACGCAAGTAGTGATGATTCGAAGCTATTAAAATCTCCGGGAGAAAGTCATCTGGGAATGGATGATCTCGATGATTCAGGTCAATATTCTTCGGATGATTATTATCTGAGTTCTTTAATGTCGAGACGAAAATCTCAGTCGCCCCATCATAAGAGCACAAATAAAGCTTATCGGAATAAGGGTAGTAGCAGTTCTAGTAGTAGTAGTAGTAATAGTCAGAAGGGAAGTAGGTCCAGTCTTCGGCAGAATGAGGAGCCCTTGGATCGAAGTAGATACTCATCAGGGTCAGATTATGAGGGGGAAAGGGATAAGTATTACTATCATAGATATGCTGATTCGAAGGGGGCAAAGAAAATTGATCCGGGTGCTCAGCAAGTGGTAACAAGTCATTCACTACCAACCACACTAATCGGACCTCAGCAACTGAATACATTTGGAGAATCGTCGAAAAGTGCAAGAAGAAGCGGATATCACTCAGAAACTGGGGATTTTGTGGAAATGAAATAGTATTTTAATATTTTATTTATTTATTTTTATAAAAGTACTACCAATATGTTCATTATTTGTAATAAAGGCATTGTACAAGGAACCACATAACAATTAACATGTATGTAAATATGGAAATGTTGAGATTACAATAGAAGTAAACACGTAATGAGTACGCCAAATGTCTATACATCTTCCAATAATAAATAAGTAGTAATACTGAAAAAAATGAGATTTTAGGTTACTTGTGATTTCATATCATAAGGGTAATTTTGAATTTTGTTTGTTAGGTCTTGATATTTGGTAGAGCCGCTGAATAATTTTATAATGAACCTCTCTTTGCTCGCTTGGGGGGCTTAATGTAAATCACCCCCACAGTGTAAGCCAATTCGTTCATAAATTTGTACACAATTATTAGCGAAAAAATCCTGTAGATTTTGAAGCAATCAAGTAATCCGTCAATTGGAGGGTAATATACTTGCAGCCAATATTTCAGAAACGATCCAGCCGTAACAAATGTTAAAATAAGTAATCGATAGTACAACCACTTTTTGCATTCTTTGTGAATTTTCTATAAAAAAAATACAAATTGAATCAGCATGAAGGATTTATACAGTCTGGTCCAGTGATCCTGAATTATTCAGCTAAACAGTATGCAATATTACCTCGGTGCTTCCTCTGCGTAGCGTCGAGAACAAGTAACCTTCCACTATAAAACCTCCAAAGACGATTAATATTAGCAGGGTGACGACGAATGCTAAAAAACAACCAGGCAAAATTATCAAATTTTTTCGTTAAGTAATTTTGATTGACTTACTATCAAAATCCAAATGGACGTAGTAATTGTTTAGGCCGGAGTAGTTGTAGAGCCAGGGACAGCTTTTTGGGTCTGAATTATTAGTGGCTATCTCGGAACAATTATTTCTCATTTCTTTGGTACTATCAAATGGCATCAATAAACCGATTGACACTCCGATTGACGCCGTCTCGCCAACGACATGAATTGCAGCTGTGAACTTTAGGTTGAAAATGTAATTTCACAAACTTATTTAATAAATCAAAAATATGAACTTATTACCATACCCCGGACAAATATTTTTTTATCCTACCCTACTCGTGTTGAGCTCAACATGAGTAGGGTAGGATAAAAAAATATTTGTCCGGGGTATGCTTATTACCAAGTCAAATGCAGCAATAGTATTAACAGTTCCGACCCATGAAGGTCCACAGCAATAACATTCGTCACACATTTTTTCCCAAAACTTGAACTTGACCAGCGAATTTCACTACCCTGAAGGCCTTAATACAGCAAGAAAATTATTAATTATTCAATTTCAGTGGTGAACTTAATACGAAATATAAAATGTTTTCATCGTCCACCCCTTTAAAAAAATAAATTGCACATGTACATAGCGCATGTACATGCGTAAACAATTCACGGTTTGACTTTAACTCCACAAATTCAACAACTGGACAATAATAATGCTATACGCTTTTAGTAAGGTATCAGGGCAAAACTATTGTCAGATATATGTATGAACTTCTGTGTAATGAAGCCAGAGTTAATTGACTTGTTTATCGAGTTTTATGTAATAGTTCGTATCTACTGTGTGTTAGTCACCCATTGTAAAGTGAAACCGTGGTGCATCATACAACTCGCCCATTAAATTAAATATTATACACCCTCCTCACATGCTTCATCATTAATATTTACCTTGAATTTACATGATGTCATATTGCAAACTAAGCAGCAAAGCAAAGCAGTCAGACGCAAAGTAATGCGAATGGAGGATTTTGGCGTTCCCATTCCATACTACATAGCTCGAGGATGTAATTAGTTTGCAATTCACTTTCAAGAGCCTTCACTACTAGTTGTACGTACTGATTTCTTGCGGTTTTGGTGTTGCTTTGCACCAGTTTAATACTTAAAGTATCGAATATGCATGGCAAAACTATGTGTAGCGTCAAAGCATGAAGATGCATCTTTTAAACGAATGTTACAGATAATACAAAGAATGTGTGGTCAAATCAACTACTATGCATACTTGTACGTATATATGACACAGGCTTATATATAGCTAATATTATGGGATACGGGTTACTTGTCGAATCCTATGTCGTCGAAAAGGTAAGTCGTCGAAATCAACTTGTCGAATGAAAAACTCGTCAGAAAGGCAAGTCGTCGAATTTAGGTGGCATGAAACTCGTCGAATTTCATGTAACATTATTACTGATTTTACCTATATGAGTTCACACGTATACACAATACATGTGCATCGTGGGACGAATATACACTGCGGACATTCCAAAATATTCAAAATATTACACAGCAGTAATTCGGATGATTGTTTTGTCCTTTTTACCCTTATATTTTAGACTAAAGATGTCAAATTACTGTTACGAACTGTAACGCAGCAAAGAGAAACTTAAATTTGAAGATAAGCTGTTCTGATGGATTTTGAACAAGCTGAGATAAAAGCTGTACACGACACGTTTCCAGACTCCGTACATCACGGGTGTCATTTTCACTATACTCAAGCGTTGTTTAGGCATTTGACACCCAATTTAAAGAACCAGTACAACCAAGACGTTAATAAATGGCATTATTAATAAATATTTGGTCTCGCATTTGTTCAGCCCGATGATTTAAGAGTGACATTCCGAGAATTGAAAGTATCGTTCAATTTTAATGGTCAAACTAAACTCGAACTGAATGAATTTTTTTAGTTATGTTCAAAAAACCTACATCGGTACAGTATACGATCCACTAATGTTTCCAATACTCTTCTGGAATGTGCACCAAAGTGTATTAGATAATATTTTCAGAACCAATAATGCAGTGGAGGCCTGGAACAGGCGGTTTGGCGTTCTTGCTGAGAGTTCTCATGTAAATGTTATTTTATAAAATTATAATTTATATTTAGAATCGTATTTTATTCAGAAAAATACTGTCGACAAGTATTATTTTCGACCACTTGCCCAAATGACGAGTTACCCTTCAGACGACTCGTCCTCGACGAGTTACTCTTTCGACGACCATGTTTTCGACGAGCTACCCTAGACCCAATATTATTAACCATAGGCTTATTTCAATATTTATTTGTATGATTGTGGGTACATAAATTGAATTACGATTTTGCCTTGTTGTAACGACAAGCGATAATACAATAAAATTATATTGCATTATCGCTGGTATCTTCTCTATCGGACCTTTTAAGAAAATGAGATATCAAAACATGCATATGAAATGGAATCAATGTGATGAATTGCAAAATTTACTGATTATTGAAATCAATAAGTCACAATTACACATTAGATACATGGGGCAGCCATGGACGCATAACTTATAACTTAAAATTATGACGTATAACTTAACTTATAATTATAAATATACGTCGCCTTATGGTGTTTCTATGACTTATAACTTATAAAATAAGTTATACGTCATAATTATAAGTTATAAGTTATATGTCCATGGCTGCCCCATGTATCTATTGTAAAGGCAATTTTTTATTAAGTTCAATCATTTCCATGAGCAGCCAAATATTATGCATCATGATCTGATCTGATCATATCATAGGGTTCATACTTCACTTCATATGCACATTGCGTTATTTAGATGCACAGTTGACAGTCGGTCTAGTCTACTCAGGATCAGCTGGCGGTAGTTGTTGTCAAAACACAAAAGGAAAAATTGATTTTAGAGTTGGACGCCAATCTGTCTGACATATTATTAAATCTCGATTCTTAACGATATTATTTAATTAAAAGCTGTTACTACTGCTAATTTCAAGTTAAGGATGGCTATTCTACCGGAAGATCCTCAGGATTTGATTGAGTTTTTCTCCAAGATTTTGATAAAAAACGAGATTTTGGATGAAATAAAGAACATCTCGAGGAAATCCTCCCAGGATGGGGACGGATTAGGGCATGGAGGAAAAGAGTTTGTAACGATCGAGTTTAAAGAGGAGGGGAAAATCCCATTAGAATTATTTCTCAAAAAGCGGCCACCCACTTCGACCGACGCCATACTTTTCGACAAGGAGGTCTTTTTCTACGCCGTTTTTCTCCCTGATGCACTCGCGTTTGTTGAACAAAAGGATGAATTCAAGTGAGTTTATTATTTAGTCTCCTCTCATTCACTAACAATAGTGTTTTTAATATATTTTTTTATATAATAACCATACACGGCTTGTTTTGTAGGGAGATACCGCTGGCTGAAATGTTTGCAAAATGTTATCATGCTGACACCGATATTATCTTGTTGGCGAATGTGCTTAAAAACGGATTCGTAATGACACCAGTTAATCGTCCTCACACATTCTACCAAGCAGAGTAAGATTCATGGCTTTCTATTAAATAAATATACGGAAAGTAATTACCATTATTAGATACATATCTGAAATTATTACAGGCAGGTGTTTGAGAAACTTGGCATGTTCCATGCGGTGACATATGTCATGATCAAGGATTTGGGAGTTGATGAATTTCGAAAGAAATATTCACCACTTGCTGAAGAAGCTGTATTCTTGCCAGAAAAAGCAAATGTTCATATTAAACATTGGGAAACCACGCTGGAAATGAGTTTAGCAGTATTAAATGTTAGTAGTATTATTGACAAAAATATTTGAATGAGAAAACCAGTTATTAGAGTTGAGTTTTAGTGAGGAATTTAGGAATTTTAAACTGTTTGGTGTTTATTAATAGGAAACGAAAACCCCAGTGGAGGGATTGGAGTATGCAGTAAATTTTTTAGAAAAATATAAAGGCAAAATTTTCGGAGAATTATGCGAACAAGTCAAGTCCAGAAATGAAGACATGTTGACTACACTAAATTTTGGAAATGTTTGGAATGGAAACATATTTGTTTTGAAAGATGAAGAAAAGAAATCTTATCCAGGTGCATTGCTTATTGATCCAAAGGTCAGCAGGACAGAAATTGACTCAGGTTTAAAAAAAAATGAAAATGAAATTATTTTATTGTTGCTTTATTTCTAGATGACCCGTATCGGTGAGTGATTTGAATTAAAATTACAAGTTACTGTTCCCTTTGTGGACAGTATGAAAATTTTAAAAATGAAAATCTCTGGGTATTGCTGAAACTATGAAGCTTTATGTATGTTATAATTTAATGTAGGATCTCCTCTTCTGGACGTCTCATGCTACATGTTTTCATGCGTGGCAGAACACGTTCGATTAACAAATTATAAATACTTGTTGGACGTATTTTATGAGTTTATTCGAGATAAATCAGAAGAATTAGGAGAGGAATTCGAAACTTTTGCTGTGCAGTTTGACGTACGATAAGACAAACTTTCCCAAACCTCTATAATGTTCTTAAAAATACTTAATTTCCGGTGTCTTCTTGTTGTAGGACTTGAAGGTGCTATATATAGGGAAATCGTTGTATGGAATCTTCTGTGCCATCAATTTTCTCCTTGAAAAGTGTTACCGCAAGCCACAAGGGATTGCGGAAGATGATTTTAATATGGAAAAATTTGTCAATTGGCTGCAGGAAAATCCAGAACTCAACGATACAATGGCGATTGAAATTTCTTCCAAAATCAATCAATATGAGCGTTATCTCCAAGAACTAACAGAACTAGAATGAAGCATACGCCAAAGATATTAAAACCAAATCCCTATTTCTCATTCTATGTATATATTACTAGTAGAGTAGCAGTAGTACCGTATTTATAGAATAGTATTCAAATTAAGGGTGCTTTGATGTCAACATAATGTGATTTAGTAACAATTACGAGATGGGAACAACCTCAACAAGTAAATACTCGCTTGCCAATGGGACCAAAGATTTATTTGCTCAATATTATCTATTATGAATTAATATGAGTATGTATGTATTCGTATTCCATATTTACTGGTTTTGTTCAACCACAAGTATTATTTTGTATTAACCTTTGTTAATTTTACAACCATAGTTTGGTTAACTGTGAGCAATTTTAGAACCGAAATGTAATAAATATTTAAGTGCTTAGCATTCTTATCACCTGCATTGTTGAATCTGAAAAAATTCATGAGACTGGTATTCAGCAATGAAGTACCATATCCATAGAATATAAAGACCATATCCAAACCTTTGGCATTTGTGTACTGTTCATTCAAAAGATGGCAACTATGGTACTCTTGCTTATTTGACGCCTTTTGTCGTGGTCTACGAATTCTAATGTAGGAATGAAGTTTCTTTTTTCCCTTTTCATCGCCACACACTCATTTGATTTCAGACCATTCAGTATAAGCAATGAAATAGCGATGCCGTATGAATCAGAGAAGATCAAATGTCAGCCATTGATATACAATATTCATTAAAGCCTTGACTCCTATGAGAAATTATTGTGCACAAAATTGTGTTGGCTTCAATATCAGAATATAATTTTAACTAGTAGCATGTAAACGTCGAGGAATTACTTATATGCATGAGTTACGTGCTCATGCTACTCGTATTTTATTTTATTCCTGCTCCTGTTGAACTTTGTTTAAATAACTCTGCCCACATTTATTTTTTGGATATGTGAACCCATTCCTGGTTCAGTTAGCCACCTGCTATTTCAATGTCAACAGCTAAAATACCTTAAATTCATTTGCAATAGAATTTTCAAAAATTCACTCATTCCTCAGTTAGTTCGTAATTCTTTGTGTTTCAATTTCCCGAAATCTCGCAAACCAGACTCAAAATGGTAGACTCTGTATATCGGACCCGAAGTTTGGGAATTGCGGCCGAAGGAATTCCAGGTTATTCAAAGTCATATTATAATTTAAAAGCATGCACGTGCGATGCGAGGTCATCCGTAACTTCAAAAGATAAAAATTTGGGTGCATATTAACCGAAGATTAACAGTTTTTACCAAATTTCCAAATTTAAGTGATTCTTCAGATAAGAGATATTACGATTCGTTTCTCCCATTGGCTGAAGAAAAGGGTGGTCATGCAATATATCTAATTCACGTGTAGTTTTTCCAGTTAAGTGCAGATTTTATGTCGCAAGTTTATTCGTACTGGTGATTGTGACGACATACATATGTACATATGTACATACGACATACATACATACTATATCTATGTGCATATGTTTTATCTGCCTTCCTCACTCTTTTCTTGCAGATCCATGCTAAGTAAAGGTTCAATTACGAAACAAAATCCTGTTTTATATTTTCAGATCAGTATGCTGACGGTCGTGCAGCCAAACTCTGGGAGATTTATGTCGGGGATAAGAATTCACGAACTGACCTTTACAAGCATTTCTTGATAAACTTGCTGCGAGAGAAAAAATGTCGAAATATTATCGACGTGGCGTGCGGAACTGGGTACGTACCTAGAAAAGAATACTGTCCATGCCCATCTTGGCAACTAAAATTACCACATGAATTGTAAAACTAGAGCTAAATATAATATCCAATTGAAGTTCGAGTGACAATTTTAGTTCCGCCTCTGCGTTGGTATAAGAATACCTATGGAAGAGGTTCATATTGCCATTATCCAAATATTACATAATATGTGGTATACATAAGTGCTTATATGTCCATGTATGTATATATATGTATATATTTATTATGTAAATATGTATGTATATGTATGAATCCATGTAAAATTCCCAACTTGCAATTTTCAAGTATTGCTATTTCCGTGTGGGATTTTCACTGTCAAATTGCAATTCCACTTTCGTTCGATTTGTGGACTTGACTGTTCAGGGAAATCATTATTTACGTCCTGGTAGTCACATACGCACAACTTGAGAACGCCTTGGAGAAAGCTTCCGAGTATTTTGCGCATGGATGGCTGCATTACATTTCCAGCCAATATTTGTTGAAAGGTTTCATTTTCCTAAAATGAATTTGTCAAGTAGATCGTTCTCGAAATGTTATCATGGATCTCTCATCATGAAACTATTTGCATAGTTTAGGTTTTCGGCCACAGGCACAATTCTTCGATTGTAGGCAGAAATGTGTGCCTGTGTCAATAACGAAACGGTAACATGAGGAATGTCACTTTGATGCATGCAGACTTCAAAATAATGAATCTAACCCTTTTCACGTGTTTTAGAGATGTAATAATTTAGTTATGCAAATATGTTTGCGGTGTGCATACTTCTGATTTTCATAATAATATTCGATTTACACAGTACGTATGTGTTCATATATAAAGTATGTGTAAGAGCAGCAACAGAGTTTTCTGCTGCGGGTCTGCTTTCAACTTTATGATGATTTGAATTAAAGGTTGCTGTTTTTGAAATTGTGTCGAAAACACGATTGTTTGATGTTGATGAGAGTCGCAATCAAAGTACACAAAATGAACGGAAACTAAATCATTTTGTTGCCTTGTTCGAAAGTGTTTGATGTGCTTTTAGATCGATGCGAGTTATTGATATGATATCATTTGCAACCTCGTTCAGCTTGATTTCAAAAACTTGTCCATAAAATATGAATCTTTTTTCATCGTTATTATTACATGCTTATTCGAGTGTCATCTATCATACGTCATATGTGCATACAATTGAAATAATTCGGAGACCGATTTTGTTGTTTAACCATTATTATAAAATGCATAAATCTTATATTTTCCAGCATCGATTCCGTCATGCTTGTGGAAGAAGGGTTCAATGTAAGTTGTTCTGATATAATAATCATAATTTTACCAAAATACTTACATAATTATGATATGCACATAGGTGACTTCTGTCGACGCATCGGACAAAATGTTAAAGTACGGTAAACTTCGTTAAATCTATTTTTTCTATTTCAATAACGCATGTTAAATAAGGTTCAGCCTCAACAAAATATCATAGTCCATTTTCTGTGCTTAAGTGTAAATATTATTTTATGAACGTTACTTTTAATGTCGTATGAAATAATTTTTTTACATTAGGTATGCCCTAAGGACCCGGTGGAATCGTCGAAAAGAACCTGCATTTGACAAGTGGGGTTAGTATTCATTCATTCATTTATCTGCTGGTCAAAACTGATATTTAATTGTTGAGTAATTTTTTTTAAACAAATGTGGTTTTATAAAGAGTATTTAGTTTGTCACCCATGTAGTCATTAAGTGTTTGGACAAGAATTAAGGTTGAGCCTTTGTTTCATTAGTTTGTGTATGGCTCGTATAATTTGTTAAACTGGTTGTGCTGTAATCTCTACAACTCTATAATAATAATACAAATGAAAATGTTCACTGTCTAAACAATAGTGACGTACTTTAACAAAAATCAAAATAAATAGAGTCCTGTTTTTGCCGGAACGACTTGTTAAATGGTGTTGAAGCTATACTAACCGACCGCCTGCTATATATTGCTCTGCTCCAATATGACAATTAATGCTTAACTTTGAACTTAAATGCAACTCGCAGACATGGAGATTATCTTTCGTGGTGCTTCCACGACAGTGAACAACGGAATTAAATCTAACTGTTTTATGTCACTCAGTGAGAAGCTCTCTTGATATTTGCTATGTAAATACAAATGTAAATCCGGTAGCAGTGAGATGATGAGGAAAAGGTGACAAGATGAAAGGTTTCTGATGGGATTGGTTGAAAGATCGTGACTTTACTCAATCTTTTTTATCATGACAAAATATACGAGGGAGCACTGAGATTAAGTCTTAAAAGAGCTTAGCCTAAAACATTCGTCAGAGTCGTTCGAGTTGAGATGCAATTTAATGAAAATATTGATTCTCCTGCCCGCATGTAGTTATCGAGGAAGCGAACTGGCTGACCCTCCCTCAGGACTTGGACGCCAGTGGGATTCTTTCAGAACGTTCCAACAATGCCAACGTTGGAGACTACGTAGTCAAAGACGGATTTGATGTGGCAATTGCGCTCGGAAATAGCTTTGCTCATTTGCCTGATTTCATTGGAGATCAAAGAGATCAAAGGTTAGCACAACCATCAGTACGTCAGTGTGTCGAGGTGCTTATAGCTATCGAAATTCGTGGCAGAAATATTCTAATGGTGTTACTTTTCCAGAATTGTCTTACACAAAAAATAAGCAAAAATTAATTATTAAACATTTGCCAGATTAATAGTTAATGTCAGAAATTAAATAGCTGGATAAATTTTGACATTTATGGTTAAGCAACAGATTGATGTCCTCAATCCTTATTTTGTACCTATTATTTTCAAAATTTTATGAAGTCTACTTGAATATGAACGCTTGGTAAGGTTGGAAATAATTGTACTTGTACACTTTCAGACAAGCCATTGCGAATTTCGCCAAGGTTTTGAAGCCTGGTGGGATGCTGATTATTGATCATCGAAATTACGACTACATTTTGGATTATGGGAAAACTCGTAGCACCAACATCTACTACAATGTTAGTGAATTTTAGCTATTTTTGATTATACGCATACCAATAAAAAAAACAGTAATTTAACCTAGCACATGCCCCCACACCATTGCAAAAAAGTTAGATTTGTTTCAGTAAGTCAGCCACCTACTTAATATGGCGTCTTTATGATTATGTTTTTACTCTGTTGGACGTACATAGATATCTTTGTCTCCCACGTTTTAATAATTTGTGACTAAATATGTTGACCATCTTCAAAATATTTTTGCTGTATTTTCATACCAAAAAAGCCAAGTAGTGATGACGTGTGTCTGCATATAGACTTACATATAATATTGAGTGTGTGTCTCACATTAGCACGTAATGCAGGAATCTATACGAGAAAGCTTGTACGAAACGGGAATATTTATGATATCCTGTGGTTTTATCTTTCAACAACTGCATGCTGTCGTCCTTGCGCACATATGCACATACATGGTTTAAAAGTTTAAATCATCAATACTCTTTGCATGAAACCCAAAAACATGATAATTCTGTCGCTTAAAATGTTTTGCTACATGTTGTATCGAATTGTTATGCAGACTTAACTTTTAATATGTTAAATATATGTTTATAACGGTTTTGTACATATCTAATTGTCGGCTTATCAATTTAATCTGCGATATAAATATGTATTAATTTGTCGATGTATTAATTTCAACAGAGCCAATGTGTTTCAAATATCCACACTTCGGTCTTGTGGAAAGAGTCCAAACCATCTTTGGTCACTTTGGATTATGAATTAGAGGTTCCAGCGGATTTTGACAATCGGGAAATGTTTGTTGCTGATCGCAGAAAGTAAGAAGAGTCATTGTTTTTATTGTTTAAAAAATTTTTATTTTAATGACTCATTTTCTTCCGATTGTGTCCCTCTGATATATTATCTGCTCATTTCTTGGCCAGTTTGTGGTTACTTACAACTTACAATTTGTTAGTATGCTTGGAACGACATTCACTATAGGTTCATGATATGAACCAAGACATGTAACAAACATGAAAATCAGCTAGACGATTTGCAAAGTGGACTCACCCCATGTCCACCAACCAGCAAAATGACCTCTACAACTCTACATATATGTAAACACATTATACGTTTGTATGCATACTGATCCGCTCTTATTCTTCTTGTACATCAACTTTACAACGTACGACACACCTACGCACCCAGCCAGATTTTTTTCGCACATCAAGTAACCTGTAATCTTCTCATAAAGAAGAACTTGAAGAAGTGTGCACAAAAGCGCTCTGTTTAATTACGCCTATCATTATCATCCGTCTTGCTATGCATATGTCCAGAGTTGATTAGTCCAATGGTGGTGGTATTTACTACGATTTAATGCGACAACCAGAAGAACAACGATCGATTGCATAGAACTTAAAAACTTGACACAAAATGACTTTAGCCATCTATTCAGAGATCAATCCAAATTAACTGCATTCAAGCATTATGAGTAACAACCACCGACCTACAATAATATATTGTAAGCCTTTTTTCTCGTGTGTGAATCACAAAATCCTTAATCTACACCCTTGGGCAGCACTGTGCATGACGGGTTATGATAAACTTTCAGAAAGAACGACAGAGAACCAATATAAGGTGAATATCATAAATACACATATTGTGCAACACCGTTGAATGCGAGGCTCATCGTCGTCGTCGAACAAAACGCTCGAGGAGTCGAAACGATACTTAAACACTTATTACTTACATCATCCTCACGCAATTTTGAATTTGATGACCTGTCAATTTATTCCAGCTGCTAACCGCTTTGAATTACGAGTGACGGGACGATACATACACGAGTAACTTAATCAAACTTTCAATCCTTTCCCAATTCTATACAGGATTTACGATCTACGTGAAGGGATTACTGTGACTAATTCACTTGACGTGATTAACCAGCTTGTCGTCAATTAATCCTCTTTGTTTCATTGAAAATGTACTTTAAAAAAGAAGGAGACTGATTTGTATCAAATAGCATTTATATGAATCACAGAGTTAAGTGGCAATGATGCCCAATGTGTATGCATATCTACTCCAAAGTCTGTCACTACAAGACCAAGCCTTAAAATGGTTTCATGATGATGCGTCTAAATTCAAAGCTCTGATTTTTGGTTCTGTTTCCTCATCAGCCATTTCCGTCTGTCGTACTACCCTCACCGCCTTGAGTCATTTTCTGCCTTATTGAAGGAAGCATTCGGACCAGGTGTCAAACATCAAGTAAGATATTTGCAATTTTACTCTTAAAATTAATTGTGAGGTTATGCAATGGACTAATAACACACAATCTTTTGAAATGTAGGTCTTTGGTGACTTTATGCCCTTAGACAAAACCAAGGACCCTGCGTTCTTCATTCACGTGATTCAGAAACCATAAGTTTTGCCAAACTTTGTAAAACTTGCCTGCTAGATTGTAAAATATTTAGACAGATTGTGACTATTCGAAATCATTAGCCAAATAGACAATAAAAACACATGTCATTCAGGGAGCACAATTACAACTACCTGTAGAGTTCACAGTTTTGTTATTTTTTGTGCATTTAGAGTGATCCAGACATTGTTGGCCGTTGGCTATGCATTTATAAAAATATTCCTTACTACACGAATCCATGTGGATATGTATGTAGGTGAGAGGGATGATTCACTCTTGGCAGAAAATGAAGACAACGGTTACCTTAGTTTGCCGTACCAAAGGTCAAGCAATGCACAGAACTGTGGCACCAAATGATGGTGTCATCTTTTATGTTTATGAGGTTGGGTGTTTGGGTATGTGTCAAAATCAAGTTATAAATTGGTTCCCGTGTGATGGGCCATTAAAATCAATTTGATTGGTACAGTCATTATATATCTTCACATACGTGATGCAAGTTGCGAATAAAAAATGACAATATAAAACATTATTTATTCCTTTCCCTGATTTCCTGACTCCTAATTATCTTGACAGTACCAGCTCGCACGTGTACATTTCATACATAAATACGCAATGTTGGTTGCTTTATGACACACACAAAGCTCGCTCATTGCTAATTTTATCAAGGGCAGTAGAGTGATTTTATTTAAGGCTCTCTCTTTTGCTCGATATATGATAACGATGCAGAGTAAGTAAACCACCTGACGAATGACTTACGATAGCTGTCCACTGCACCAAAAGGTACATTTAATTATGCAAATTAATGACAGTTTCTGCAACATAACGTTGTGTGTCTTGTTTGAGTAAAAGTGCACATTTGCATTTGTTGATTTTTGATTCATTAAATTCAACTTTTCTTAAAGATTTTATCTTTGGTACGCTAAGATATTTCAAAGACAAGTCATCCAATGAGTCATTTATTGCTATGCAAGACATAAAAATGGCGTAGTTACATATATTTGCAAACGGTAGCACGACTATTAATCATTTGAGCTACCTCATATTTTCTGAACATTCGTGCCAACGCACTTATCCGACAACTCATGAAATCCTGATGATAGGGAAAGATTTAATGTCTCATGTGAGACTTTTATTTTCAGTGTTTGATTATTTTGAATAATGAGGAATTTACGGGTTGTAATTTTTTTGCCAATTTGAGGAAACAGGGATATACATACATATAGTTGTTGCACTAGAAGTGATAATAGCAAACTATTAAATGTCAATAATAATTGAAGAATGTTGTTTCAAATGGCATCAGTATTGTTAACATTGTTTTTTGCGACATTCTCATTCACACCTCAGCGCTGGAAACGAGAAATTTTTGTAAAAGCATGCAAAAAATTCTGTTCTTCTGATTAAATCTGTCGTTTGTGTATTTGGTCACATTGATTAGCAAACCGAACGGCATAATATCTATATTTTCATTCAAGACTCCACAGTCTCACTACCTGCCAGAAAGACCAAGTCATCATCATCACCACCCCTCGAAGCTATTCCTACCTGCCTATTTCCTGCATTCGTCCAGTGCTCTAATAAGCATACCAAATTCTCCTGCTTGATCTCAAGACATTCTGTTCACCCTTTTCTTCTTCTTGGTCTTGCGTTTGCCTCTGCTTCTCTGCTGCCCACCACACAACAGGTAATAATAATGCATCCACGAACTAATCTGTACAAACCAAGTAACCACAACCCTACCTGTTGAGCCGTCTCACACTACCTCGACAAACCACATAAAATACGCCTCTGCCTCTTGGAAAAGTTATACATACGTACATATTTATTTACCTGCGTACCTACTCCGTGGTACCGTTCCTCATCTCTTCTTCTTGCCTTCGACGGCCTTCTTCTTGCTCGTCTTATCACTTGACTAACTCTCGCAGTTAGTTGTTAGTCACTCACCTGACTTACTACTTCTACAACTACAATAGAGAAAGAAAGGCAGTTGCTGTTGAGCATCATTGCGTGCTGCATTGTTGTGCAGTGTCTTTCCGTCTAATCCGACCCCACTCTGGCTTATTGGAAACCCTAATTGAATTCAATACGCCCAATTAAGTATGCATAATTCAGCAAAAGTTATAATCTCTGCAAATCTGATATAGTTGCAACATACCCCATTTTGTAAATAATAAAAGTGATCATCAGCCTAAAACGGGGCTTATTGAGACAGAAGCCGGTTCAGTTATTCAGTCTCACCGAAGAAATCTAATCGACCCCGACATCAAAGGAATTTTTACTTATCTGACTGAATTGCACAAGAGAAAGTGGGAATAAAATCGTGCTTTAGTGAACCTTCGGTGACAATTTCCAACCCTGCTACAAATATCTGCCCCAATTTACGTACATAAAGTGGAGAGAGAACCTGTGGGCATAAGAGAATTCAGTAAACAACTTCACACGGCTACTTTTTGTCCTGATTGAAATTCAGTACAAAAACCCAAACATTGGGAGCTCACTGGTGAATTATAAGTGTCCCTCTCGTCGTCGTCGTCAGATTTTTGATGAGACTGGGTCGTGTGACTTGTTCGTTAAGTCAACTTGTGACAGTTTCAACGAACAGATAAACCTTTGTATTCCAAACTCGTCGAGTTTAAAGCGCATGTTTCACATGTTCCTGAGAACGAGTAACAGAGAATCCGCAAGAGCATCATCCATTGCTTTGTAACCCTTCACTCTGGACAACGACCACCACTTCAAATGGTGAATTGAACAAACTTTGTATTCAGCAGAGCAAAGATTTTCACCCGCACATCCACGCCACCACAGTTTATTGATTTCAGCCATAAAAATATCTGGGTTGATCTAATGATGCAAAACTTTGGGAAATCAATAACAGAATAAAATAGCGGAATGATCTGCAAAGCTTTAAGATGAACCCGCAAAAAAGAGAGTGAACTTTGCTGCTGAGGCCAAGCCAGACATGTAATCAGACTTGCTACTCATAGTCTCAGACACCGAAATCTCACAAAACTTTGCGACAATCAAAACAATAAAGAATTTGTATCAGCGATCTGAAAGTTGGGTCCACAAAAAAAGCTGAATGTTGTCGTCTCAGACGCTGACAAGAAGGGCTTATTACTCATGAACATTTTCCTTCAACCGACATTGACAACTCGTGAATATTAAAACACAATAATCCATTGAGAAGACGGTTCGAACGACCGGCCCGTCATCTTCCTTCTCGTATTGCAGGGCTACATGATTTATAGTTGTCAAATTCTACAACTTCATCTCGATCTAAAAGATTTGATCACAGTTGAAAGTCACCGCAGAAGAGGATGAAAAGTCAAATGTTCGTTCTTCCTCCTTGCAAATGCCCAACCTGCAAAATTGTCCTCGAGTTTGCCACACTATGAAAATCTGCTCCACATTTGCTGACTTTTGCGAATAAAGTTAAACGGTGCTTTAAAATTTACAACGCAACAATAATGAAATAGTTTAAGAATCTAAATAAAAAGGATATGCTGCATTCATGTCCTTCTCATTCTCGTGATCCGTCCATTCATCCGTCCACTTCACGACACACCACACAGAGCATGTATGCATGTAGTTTCGTGAATTGAGCTTAAAAACCCCTGACGGACCACTTTGTGGATTATTACATTATTTCCATTGTTAACATTATTGCTCTCAACGGTCTGTTGGCTTAAAAGTTGAATCTCGTGTTGTCCGGCAGACGAACGACAATAAAGGAAACCATAAAATAAAGTAACGTGTTAAAGCTGCTGCTTCAAGACGCTTTTACATCAAAGTCACAAGAACTTAATAAAACGACGACACAAACAAACTTGTATCATTCTTTAATGAAACCGATGAAATTTAAGATCTGGAACTGGCAGTACATCATCAAGTGTCTACAAAATAACTCGAGATATGTCACAAAATTTGAATATTTCCAAAAATTGACAATTTAATATAAATGTGACGCATAAAAAGGAATAAAAAACTTTGGAGAACTGCATACTTTCTTTTCGTGTTGTACGCATGTACTCTCCGGCAGTTTGTGGTTTTATCCAACTTGAATTGAATTTTTGAGGGTGATCGGATCAAAAGGAAGAAATAACTAGAAAGTCGCGAATGAAGTAATCAATCAAGCGGCTGAAAGAAATCTTTAAGAAATCAAGCACTGTCTAATTCACAATATAACAGAGTACAATGAAGAAAAACTAATGAAGCACATTCCTCTCTCGTCTGAATACTGAGCGAGCAGCAGCAGACAAAGTTCAAGGATTCTATTTTTAATTAAGTACAAAAAGTTGGTGAAAAAAGTTTAATTCAGTGAAACACAAGAGTGAACTTTTCAAAGAGAAAGGAAATTGAAAATGCATGTACTCATGAGAACTGAGGAGGAAGGACTCGGGGAATAAATTGGCAGTTTGCATACAACATGAGTAAAATTATTTTTACTACTTCTCCCAACCAACCAACCAAGGATATTTTAAGGGCGGTGATGTGTGATTGAATTTCTATCAGTAGTAAAAATTCATAGTAGAAAGAAAGCAAAATGCCATCCTGCAAAGCTAAAAAGCGCCCTGCATCGCAAGTGGTAAAAACAAAGCCATCAAAGTCCAAGAAATCGGACAAAAATAATAATAGTAACAGTCAACAGGATCACATGATGGACACTGAAACATTAAAAAAATTGAAAAATTATGAAAAATATTCCCTTCGGCCCAGATCCATTCAAAATCGCATTGAAACCGAGAAACGGCAAAAACTGGAGCCAAAAAAGCAGCCCAAACCGAAACAGAAACCTCCCCCCTTGAGCAAATATCGAAGAAAGACGGCCAATGCGAGGGAACGAAACCGAATGAGAGAAATTAACACAGCATTTGACTGCTTACAGAAAGTAGTGCCTGCTTATCCCATCCTTCCGGTAAATGCTCAAGGTAAAACCTGTGAGAAACTGACAAAAATCACGACCTTGAGATTAGCGATGGATTACATTCAAACACTTAGCACTCTGCTCAATGATGATTCCGAGGAAATTCCTTCATCCTCCTCCGACTTGGACCTCTCCTTCCTCACGGCCGGGCTTCTAGGAAATGGCTCCGTCAGCAGTAGTGTGAGCAACTACAGTGAAAGCAGCATCAGTGGTGGTGGTGGAAGTCTCAGTTCTACCGAGTTTTCTCCAGCCTCGTCCTCCTCGTCCTCGTCCTACGCCCTCTCACCACTCTCCCCCGCAGGACCGGAGTGCTTCCAGACCGTGATGAGATCCTCCGCCCTCTCGCCCACAGCCACCAACGTCGGAACCACTGCAATGTGCTCCAACGCTGCCAATTTCTCTCAACAGTTGCAAATGTGTGCAAATCCTCTAAACAATTCCGTCATGCAGCAAACTGTGCTCCTTCCGGTTGTCCCATCATCAAGTATTCATGGACCCACAATAGCCACAAGTTCACCACCACCAGTGTTGTTGAAAGTTCATCACGACTCCTCATCACCTATTCTTCCGTCCTCTCAAAATTGTTCGTCAATCTCAATTTCCCCACCACTCACCTCAAATTGTTCCTCGAAACCAGGTTTTCCTTCAGCCATGATGTCTTTGTCTCTGTCTGCAAATGTCAATGCATTCTCTCACAAGACGTTTCAACTTCAAAGTCATGCAATGAAACTACCACCGATTTCCACCTCCTTGTCTTCAGCGCTAATTCGAAAGTCAATGTCAACTTTTGCAGCAGACTGCGCCCAACTTACGTCAGGATTTGGGGATTCTCTTTCCAACTTCTACATTACTTCGTCCTCGGGTTCAGGGAATCGAACAGGGTCTCTCAGTTCCCTTACGGAAAGTGACTTGAGCGAGTATGCGAGTGATTTGCTTTCTGATGAAGGGTCCACGTTCGACGACATCATTGGTGTTGGCGTAGGCACAGATTTGGAACTGTTGCTTCAGAATGACACTGTTGGAGAGGCTTTAAGCTTTTAGGTTCGTTTTCAAGAGTGATGGTGTAAAAAAAGAGTGACCTTGGGTGATATTATGTACTTATACATTTACGCTACTTACTACTGTCCCCTGTTTTAAATTGTCTTGATTTATTAATAATAATTACCCGTTAGCTTTAATCATCATCACAACTGTGAGTCGTGCTGCAGGTTGTGTCCGTCAGAATGGCGCACTACATACTTTGCAATTGTAATTAACTAGACAAGAAGCTTTAAGCAATTAAAAAATAAGCAAATTTATCCATCTAACTTTTTGCAGAAACCGGTGCATTCATCGTCAGTTTACTTGTTAACTCAGGGACCACGTTAAGTCATCTTTTCTATGATACTCTCCTTTGAACAAGTTGCCTCGTTCCCGTAATCTGATTTATTACCTCATCCGAGAAGGTCTACTCGAATTTTAGCGAACTTGATCCAGAATAAATTTAGATTAGAAGTGACATTTTTGTATATGCAAATATTTCTTGATGGGTCTGCTTCATCCGAAACTTGATTCACACTTGAGTTAAGAGATAATTCAATTAAAACTTTTAATATTTGGTTCAACTCCTGTTTTATAAATTAATTTTCTGAATTTATTTATTTTTGAGAGAAATTGTTAAAAACTTTTAAATCAAAGCAGTATGTTTTGTGCGGAGAACGGTTAAAAAATTGTGGATTCATTTGCTCATACTATTGGTGTCGGTCGGTGTTGCGACTATTTAGTAGCTGTAAAGTGAAAGATAAGTGGAGACACATGTAGAATCGTGAAACTTGTAATCACGAAACAAAGAGTGTGATTATAGGTTGATTACTTGGAAGAAGGTGTATCCCAGCAATCCCAAAACTCATTTCTGGGTGGAGGAACGCATTATCTCGCAAACTTGATTTGATTCAGCGTCTATTAAGCATTACAGAACGAGCCACTTTTTGTGCACTCTGCGGAACGTATAACATGTAAGCAGACCGTTGGCTTCTCTGCGTTATGACTGAAGTGGTAGTTTATTGTTTTCGTTTTTTAGACACTGGTTGAGTCAAAATTTAAGCTTTATTTGTGTAGTGCAAATATATATGTAGTGTCAATGTTTATTACAGTAATTTCGCCAATATATTACCGATACTCATTCATACATCTAAATATGTACTTAATTTTCTCTTACTGTTAAAAATTACTACTATCCAGTTATTATTGTGATCAAATATTCGTAGACCAAATTATTGAGTAGTTCCAGTCAGTTTCTCGCTGTATATTCCATGCCAAAGACAGGAAACATACGCCCATGTGGATTCGAATTAACACATATCGGATTTCATCATCATCGTCCTGCTACCACTTGTGTGGCTTTTGTATTCGTCTCAATTATTTAGGTAACCTACGATAAAGCTACTCCTCAGTGCTTCCTAAGATTATTTAGACTTAAGGTAAAAACCATGTAGTAAGTTATGGAATCAAGGGAAAACATCAAGTGTTGCTAGTACCTTGAAGTTGAATTCTCGTGTGCCAGTGAAACTATTGTGCAATATTTTGTATATAAGTTGTACTAAAAATATGCCAAATTCATAATATGTAATATGCAACTCTAATTATTTGTTACATATATTGAAAGTTGCTGTATTAATTAAATATCATAAGCTGTTCCATAACGGTTGTGTTCCTTGGATGAAATAAAAATTTGTAACAACATTTGCTTACAATAATCGAGTAAAATGAGAATTCGACTCTAATTTCTTTGGAAAAAGTAGCGAATCCGTCTGTTACATTGCCAATAAATTATTCTTCAGTTAAAGAAATCATACTCGCATTGGTCGCCATTTTTAAACCATTGAGCACAATACAATAATTTGGATGACATGCAAATATCCGGACGAAATCTTACATTATAGTTCATTAATGGGGTCATACAATAAAGAAAAACAAATGATGCACACTCATGAGACAACTTACTTAACTTGTAGTTCAGTTGGTTTGCAACTCTTGTGAACCAAAGGATGCAAAGTAATCTTTGCATGATGAGCAAACAGTATTATTTATTGAGTTTCTATTTTCGAATCCACATTCATACATACGTGGATCTTCACCTGAAGCATTACATATGCAGGTATGCCAATATGCCACCAACGACCCTAACAAACCTGCACATCCTTCCCCACCAACCAGCCTTCATTTCTGCTTTCGTCCCATTGTTAGTAATGGTACATAAAATATGAAAATGTAAAAACAACACATCACTTACTTATCCACTCACTTGTTGAAATTGTATAATGTACATTTGAGAGTGACGTTAACTGTCAGTTCGCCATTGCATTGCTGCAACTTATCAAAAAAATGATGGTTCTGTGGTAGTGTTTCATACGTATGGTGCCAATAAGTCAAGGTAATTTCTTCATACTTCGGACCTAAGAAAACGGCAATAATGCAATGCAACAATGACATGAGTCGTGTACGCAGTAAAAAATTTAACGGGTGATTGCATATTGTGTGGCTGCTCAGGCAGGTATAACAACGCGATTGTCAATAATCTTGCTTGAACTTTGTGATTACCATATAACAATCTATGAATATCCTTTCAACGTTTATTACGGGAGAAAATTGGACAATGCTCAATATTCCACAGTGAAACCGCAAAATCTTGTTTGTGTGTCGAGCTACGTGGTCTCTCTCCGCGTGTGTGTACGAAATGACGTGTGAGGTCTTTAAGGTCTTTAATACTTCAATCTCTGTAATTTGTGAGTGCACACTCACTCCACTCTTTGTTGACTTGGCTTTGCTCAAATTCGTGTTTACTTTGAAGGCAAAATATTGGAATCTCATGAGTATAAACTTGTCAACATAACACAGATTGTCAATGAGTGTGCTGGGTTTAGTAAGAATTACATAATACATGTACATACATAGGTTAATGTGTACTTAAAATGGTTTCGCATGAGTACACGCATGAGTATATATATATTCCCAAAAAGTATTATGACTACAGGAATATAAATAGTATTTGTGCATCCCGACAGACAATCTGTGTACAGCTGCTGGTGTAACTTATTTATATACAAATGTACCTGCTAGGAAAGTTTCAAGATAACAGTTTAATGGAATTTCTGAGCACGGTTTTAAAACAACAAGCGAAGAGTAAAAACTAATTTCACTCTTTTAATCAGGATCCCACAATAAGTTTGACTCGAGTTTGGAGAAAGTTGGTAAAGTTGCCGACAATTGTATTACACGAAAACCAGGTCGTACGTATAACCCCGTTAATTCATGAAAACTACACGTTCCTCCAATGCAAGCGGCTAATTGCTGTTTGCTCAATCTAGTTTTCAACGACTGTTAACTAAACATGTAGGCATCGTCGTCGCTCTGCTGCTTTGAGTTGCTACAATTTTTACATTTGTAATCACCCATTCCCCCAATTAGTAATCCAACTGCTCCTACCGAGTGTCGCCCCAGTTTTCTCGTCGGGTTAATAATTTATGCCATTTTAACAAGAACTCTTTTGCAAATGCATCACTTATTTCTCCCCTCGGCGCTGTTAATGGCAAAACTTTTGTCTGCTCCTCCTGCGTCTGGGTTGCATAGAAAATGCTACCAGTTTATATGCAGGTAAACTCGTTTCCTCCTGTCGAGTGACAGAAGAGAGGAGCTTTTGAGACAGATACAGACCTCATTTTTCTTGAATATGAAACATTTAACTCATATAACAAATCTCTGCAATACGATAACTGATAATTCCCAATCCAGCAAAAACTACATACATACATAGGGTGCAAATACATAAAGTGCAAATGTAGATAGGAAACAAATGAAGCGGACAGAACCAATAGATAAACAATTTAGTGTGGCTTGCCTTGCGTATAATTTGATTATGTGATCAGATCGTACCTGTGTCCAAATATCCAACACATGTACGCATGCATTCTACTCATTCATTCCCTGCTTCAATAATATCAGATTTATTCAAACGGGTTATGAAGGAATTTGTGCTATGTTTTGATGCCTGTGATATGATGATTTGAAAAATTAGAATGGTGCGATGAATTCTGAATAAGCATTAAGCAAGATGACAGAGATGATGTGTGCCTGATAATAATAATAATAATAGATGAGAGACTTTCTCTGATTGCTCTTCAGTCGATGTAGCTCATTTATTCCTCGTTTTGCTACCATTAAATAGTTGAAAACTATACCTTGTACTGTACATGACAAAATGCTTCACAATTTTAATCTAATTTCGACGATTACCGAGTTAATAACCGTATTTGCGACAATATTTAATCACTACAAAACGTGTGTCGCACGATATGCACAGACGTCTGATCACTATGTAACATTGCATTAGCATAAAAAATAAATGATAAGATGATGCATTTGATTTGATGATTGGATTAGAAGCAAGTAGCAACAACCTGTGTGCACCAAGAAGATGAAGGGTTAATCCTGTAGCCATTTAGATATCAGGAGGGCACGAATGTCTGTGTGGCTGAAGAATCGTCTTCTTGACTTGAAATGATCCCTCATGAAATCGTGTAAGCATTAATTCAAATAGTTATCACTTGCTTCACAGCATACAATTCAGCATTTAAAATCCTTTCCCTTCATATACAATGCAAATATATTAAATGCATTTAATAATAATATTGTGGCTTGTGCGAAAATAAATACAAGAATTTGCACAGGCATTCAAAAGTGCCATGCAAAATTGAACAGTCTCTTCCTCCTCTTAACTATGTGCAAAAAGCAGTGGAATGAAATGGTCACGGAGATGTAAAGTTTATTTTTCACACACGTTAAAAATTAAAATATCCTCTCGTGCACCAATGTAAACAGAGTCGCGTTGTGCATTTTATGTGAAAATTGGGATGAGCCCCTCATGCCACGTTCATGTCGAAGAGAGAAAACTATATAAATAAATACTCATCTTTTTTATTGCGGCATGGTGTCATGTCCGACTGGTGCTGGTTTTTGGCGGATGTCGACAAGGATAACACAGGCCTTGGAATGAAAGTAAAATACTTTTTTATTGTAAACACTTGACTACCAAGATCATGTAACACACTTAGAAGCAGTAACTCAATATTGGACAAGCGTGAAAATCCAGGCACACGATCAATAATGACAGCGGATGATGATGGTCAGTTATTATTATCGATGTCAACTGTCTTTCTTATCCATGTTTACAGAGTAAATTTAGACTTCCTTCCCAGCCAACTCCACGTAATTTTTGCTTTGTGTTTTCAAAGATGGATGTTGCAAAAGTAGTTGCTCCATCCATTGTTTAATTGTGCACGATGATTCACAGATTTTTATGCATCTTGCAAATGTACTTTTAAGACCTGTACCGTCATTGCAGGATTTGCAGTACTGGTAGCATTGGTAGTGTGTAGATAGATACGTAACTCTTGCCAGGTCATGGATGTGGAGAAATATTGACATATAAATATTGAGTTAAATGATAAAGGGGGAGATCATTACTTTCGTCTTCTATGTCAATCCTACTTGCATTCGTATGCTCATTTATCGCATGTATTTATTTAACTATGAGTTGAATGTTTACTTAAAGTTTCTGCTACTGACCGATTATTGAATATTGATTAGTGGTGTTCAATTCAAGAAATTGATTGATGCCTTTATTCTTTCTTGACGGATGCTCATTATGCCAAGAGTTGAATAACTTGAATTATTTGAATGACAATTCAACATCAATTTAATTAAGAGCGGTAATTGACCAGCGAGAAGTGTAACTTGACATCATTGAAATGAATGGATAATGATGCTTCTTCAATGGCACTTTTGTCGTAAGCAAAATTTTCCTATCTCGTCAATAAGTTGGGGCTAATGTATGACCACTTTTGCCAACAATTGAAACGTTTTGCAAGAATGCATGAAACATTTGTGAAAGAGTTGAATTCTCAAAACACAATTCATTCTGCAGTCGTTCTATTCGACGCTCTCGTGAACATACAGTATGTTATTTATTTATTATTGTTCCCGATAACCCTCGTGGCGCTGATCTGCTGGTTGAAGAAAAGGCTTCTGTATGTTTTAAAATGTTTTTCATAATGCGCCAAATGTTCATCATCAGCGTTATCCGCAGGAATACTAATGAGCTTCAGTGATTGAAGGTCTGCACATTTGCAACGAGGAAGGAACCATGCACGATACGGACTGGCTACAGAAAGTAAAAACCAAATATCAAAATGAAAAGTATTTATCAACGAAATATTTATAACATTAAAGACATTCCAGAAAAGCTGATACCTTGTTTTGTTTAGCACAACTATGCCACAAACGTACGTGCATGTCTTTGGGCATTATGCATATCAATATGAGTCTCACATTCGATAAGGTGAAAGGTCAGAAATTGATGAGATTAGGACCTGCATCAATTTGTAGGCCAGTGGTGGTAGCTTATTGCATTTATTTATTTAACAAGAGGAGATTCATGATCTTCAATTTTAACACAAAAGAAAAGGATTGCCTCATGGATGGACTCCCTATTGGAAAGAGTGGATGCGGGACTTTTATGAATTGAAATTGGTAATTGAGATTTTCAACTGATTGTCAAACAGATCCAACAAATAGATGTCCCACGAATACAGGCGAAGATGTTGATTTGGAGAATTAAATTATGTAAATTTACATTATTATATTTAAAGTGATGAGCATATGGCTTGGGATATAACAACACGTACGACACGAGATTCGATGAAATACAATGTGCAAATTATAAATTGAATTGCTACTCAACCGACTCTCGTCTTTTTGAAGTTGTCAGTCAGCTGCTTTTTGTCCAAATATTTCTAGAGCAAATATGTAACCAATGTGCAGTCAGAGAGATCTGTACAAAATAAACTCTTTGTAAATGTTGAGACCGCGATTTATCCAACTACCCGTTGGGACCCGTCTCGGAAAATTGGCTTATCCTGTCGTTATATGAAGTGACACAAGACTCGATGACTAGCTCACTTTAAACTGATTTTATTGTCCCAATTCCACCAACAAATATATAACATGAATCGGCTGACTTATCATTTAATAGTGACCACTAATCACGAAAATTAATTAAACTATTTATTAAATTGAGAAGAGATTAGAATAATTACACACGGCCATGCCTTCTCTCTCTCACGCACACACCAAAACTCTTTGCACTCTCATTCTGAAACGAAGCTCAAATTCTTACTCTATGCTAAACTAAAATGAGATTTAACATCGCTCCCACCTCTTTTGAGAATGCCTGAACAAAAGATTAAATAATACACATTTACATAACATCATTATTAACACTGTACTCATAATTCCAATATGAAAGTCGCGTTGGGCTCTTGATTTGTCTCCCAAAACGAGTATGCTTCACGTGGGGCACATCTTGAATGGGGCTAGAATCTTGACATTGGGGCTCGCTGACTTTTTCCCGAATTTTAGCCACCTCCACCTCTGGTAGATCCGTCGATGAAGAGATTTCCATTGGGTACAAGCGTTGGAGGGGTCTTGTCAACACGTGTCCCTTCTTCACCTTCGTCACTGTGTACTGGCCGGACTTCTCCGTCTTTAATTCATAGTCGTGGGCGGTTTGCACTTTGGCGACTCTGCAGTGACCGTCACGTCCTCTAATGATTTCCACAATACGTCCGATTGGCCACTCGTACCTCTTCTTGTTTTTTGCTCCTATTAGAACCACATCTCCAATCTTCAGATTAGCACCCTTGGTCTCATTCCCTCGTTGCACTAATTGAGCCAAGTACTCGGTCCTAAATCGTTGTTGGAGTTGACCTTGAACAACTTGCATCTTCTTATAATTCCCTTCAAGTCCACTTTGACAGACTATAACTCCTTCTGGGAAATGGGCACTCCTACTGGGATGAAGAAACATGGATGGAGTCAAAGGAATTAGGTCACCAGAATCTTCAGTTAACACGGTCAGCGGTCGGTCATTGATGGTTGCTTGAACTGCTGATAAACTGGTGCGCAGCTCTTCACACGTCAATTTAGCCTTTCCCAACATACGACGTAATTGATTCTTCATGGATCGCACCAGACGCTCCCACCATCCTCCCCACCACGGTGCAGAAGGAGGATTCAAAGTCCATTTGATCGCTGACACGTCACACTTCTGGAGAATTTCCTCCCAATCCAGCGTCTTCAGCAAATTTGCTACACCCACAAAATTAGTCCCATTGTCACTGCAGAAGGTTCGGGGACGTCCATAAATATTGATGAACCGCTGCATCGCTCCCATAAATGCTTCCGTACTTAGAGATGACACCACATCAAACGCAACGAACCGGTAGACGGAGCAAGTAAAAAGCACAATCCACATTTTGCTTCCGTCTTTCAGAATCACGGGGCCAGCCAGGTCTACTCCGGTTGTCTCGTACACTTCGCCGGGTGTCACACGATTAGTTGGGAGTGCAGAAGGTTCCACACATAAAGGTCTCACATCATGTCTACGACAATTTGGACATGCTCTAATAATTCTCTTCATTGCTTTCCTTCCTCCCAGGATCCAAAATCGCTCTCTTAATTTGCACAGCAGAAATTGCGCTCCAGGATGAGAATATAACTTATGCAAATCTGTTATCATCATCTTCACTAGATAATGGTCACTGGGGAGAATTACGGGCCATCGAAAGCAATCAGTGTCCTCCTTGTTTAGTAGTCGAGTCTTCACACAAAGTAATCCATTTTTCTCCACCACGGAAAGTTTCTTCTTTAATTCAGTGACATCAGAACGAAGACACTCTTTCTGAATACCGTGGAGAATCTGGTGCTCTGCAACTTTGAATTCACTGTGACTTAACCTTGATCCTTTCACGTGTTTGGTTTTGTCCTTGTTGCAGTTGGTCACGAATCTTAAAATCCATCCCATCACTCTAACAGTCTTGTGAAATGAGGAGAATTTGCAGTGGAACCAGGACTTTTCTCTGAATACTTGCATTATTGTCCTTTTCCGTCCTTTGCCTTCTTTTCGTACCTCATCTTCATCAACTTCACATTTGTTGGATGGCCATTCTTCTTCACGTCGCTTCAACCAGTTCACGCCCTCCCACCATTTCGACTCAAGTAATTCATTTGGAGGGCAACCACGCGACCGAAGATCTGCAGGGTTGAGTACGCCAGGGACATGCCTCCAATTTGAAACCGAGGTCGAACTTCTTATTTCCTTGACCCGATTCGCCACAAAAGTCCCCCACTCTTCCCCTCTCTGAATCCAGGCAAGAGCTGTAGTGGAGTCCGTCCAGTGAAACTCTCGATCAATTCGAATATCAAGAGAGTCACGCACCATATTCAATAACCGGACTCCAATTAAGCATCCCATCAACTCGAGCCTGGGAATTGTTCCTCCTTTCAAAGGAGCTACACGGGCTTTGGCTTGAACGAGTTGCACACTGACTTCCGGTCCTCGTTCACTTCGAATGTAGATAACTGCTGCATAGGCGTAGCTACTCGCGTCCGTGAATAAATGTAACTGAGTACCACTTGATTCAGCCCGCAGCATCATCCTCCTTGGAATCTTGATTTTTGACAAGAGATAAATTTCTTGGCACCACTTCATAAATTTTGAAACTTGTTCTTCCTCCACCTCATCGTCCCATCCCTTGTCGGTTCGCCACATCTCCTGTAGCATCAACTTTGGTTGAAGAGTGGCAGGGCACGTGAATCCTATGGGGTCGAACAATTTCGCCACGACAGATAATATTTTCCTCTTAGTAACTGGTCCATCGACAATAACAGGCTGCACGTCACAGGATAAAGTGTCATCATGTCGATCCCACACTAATCCTAGTACACCAGTTATTGCCTCTTGTTCAATATTGACACCGCTACATTCCCACTGACGAAGATCCATTTTCGCCTCGGCCAAAATATCTGTTGAAATCTTGCGAAAATCTTCGTACTCTTGCATAGTATTGAATGAGGTCACGCTGTTGTCCACGTACATTGATTGGAGCAGTTTTCGAGCCACAGCTTCATATTCTTGCTTCACATGGGACAAATGCAGCTCCAACACCGCTCCGAGAAGGAAAGGGCTGCAGGTCAATCCAAACACGACCCGCGTATGACGTAAGGGTTTCACAGTGTTCTGGACTTGATCCTCCCACCACAGGAATTTTTGATAGTCTCTGTCCTCCTCTCGCACCTCAATCATCTGGAAGGCTTTCCGGATGTCCGACACCACTCCAAATCTTCTTTCTCTGAATCTATGCAAAACGGATGGAATGAGCTCAATTAAGTTGGGACCTTTATATAAGCAGTCATTTAAAGACGGTTTCCCAACACTCTTGCAACTTGCATCAAAGACAGGACGAACAGGTGTCGTTTGACTCTCGGGCTTGAACACTGGGCGGTGCGGTAGGTAATGACCAGCTTGATCCTCTTTAAATTCAATCTTGACTGGTTCCACTATTTGCTCATCCTCCCACCCCCGGAACACACTGCTGTACATGTCCACTGCACTTTGATCTTTTAATTTCCTAGTTGTTGACTGAAGTCTCTTCTCAGCAACGAATTTATTGACAGGTAATTCAGGTCTGTTTTCGATCCAAGGTAATCCAACAGAATACCGCCCATCTTCATTTCTTGACACATTATTTTTGAAGTGGGTTTTGGCTTCTTCCTCTTCTTGGAGCTTTGTCTTCACTTGAATTGGATCCTGAATTCCCAAACTGTCCAATGACCACATATCTTGAACATTAAGTTGACTCTGGAACAGAGAAATCACGGTATTGGAGTGGTGTGACTTATTCGACTTGAGAGGTCCACCCAACGCCCATCCGAAGATCGTTTCCTCTGCATAGAGATCATCTCCCAAATTGCTTCGTCTTCCAGTCATAACTTGTCCTCGCAAATCTGAGCCAATGAGGATTTCAACGTCACACTGGTCGACATTAACTGTGTCCAAATCTGACAAAGTTATTCCTTTTGCTTTAAGCTGGTCCACCCATGGTCCTTTAGGAATTCTCGGCAGCGAAGTACACACAATTGGCTTTTCCCTTAGAATCCATGTCTTCTCGATGGTCCCCAGCATATTCTTCACAATCACTTCTCTCAAGCTTTCTTCATGTAGCTCCGTCACATATCCACCCAGTAAGATATTTTTGACATGTTCTGTGCCTTTTGATTTCGAACCCGTTATGTTCACCGTTCTGGATCCAATATAGCTGACTTGACTTCCTTCGTCAATTAGCATTCTCACACGACACGATCCACTCGGGCCGACAGCACGAACAACGACCACTTTCAATAGCACATCTTGACTCTTGGCGAAATTGTTATGACGAATAACTGAAAGGTTGAGTTCTTCTGGCGGAGGAGTCTCTTTCTTTTCTCCACCGCGACACATTAGTAAGTGATGATTCTTACCGCAACCAAAACATTTCACGGCTCCCTTGCACTTGTTAGCATTGTGACCAATTTTCAGGCACCGGAAGCAAGCTCTTTTCTCTTTTATTTTCTCTTCTTTCTGTTCCAATGATAGATTTCTTGCTTTAAAACAGTCCTGACTCGGGTGATTTGTCTTGTCACAAAATATGCAGCCATTCTTGTTTGCTGTGGAAGCCGTCAGTCCAGCAGAAGTAGGGGTGTCTTCCAATCCCATATTCTTAAATGATTCATGAACTGACTCTCCCTTGTCCTTGCTTCGATCCTTTTGCCCACTCCCTTTCTTTTTGGCAGTCTGATCCAATCCATTTTTCGCAAGGCACCTTTCCTCTTCATCTTCCACCTCCCTCTCCAGAAATGTCATCAAATTGTCGAGTTCTGATTCTCCTTGCTCCAACTTCTTATCTTTTAAGGGACTCCTCTGCCACGCAATGAGGACCTCGTTGGGTAAACAGGACTCGACCAGGGGATACAATAGCTCGTTGGGGTCTGTTAACTTCCCAAGTGACTCCAACGCCTTCAACTTCCCCTTTAATTGATCGTGCAGCATAGATAACCCCATCTTCTTATCTGAGTCTCTTGCTTTCAGTACCATGCCCAATAATTCACGGATGTAGAGCTGGCGAAGAATTTTCTCGTTCCCAAATCTCTTCTTAAGGGCAGCAATGACTAATGGGTAGTTATCGTCTGATCTCGGATAAATCTTGATGACTGCTTGCGCTTTACTTTCAGGGATGATGGCTTGCACAAGATATTGAAATTTCACATTGATTGGCATATTCTCATCTGAATGGATGCCGTTGAACTGAGCCCACCATCCGAGCCATTCCTTCACGTCTCCGCCGAATTTAGTCAGCTCAATTTTCGGTAGTTTGTAACTCGACCTGCCTTCAGCTGACGCCGCACTTCCGGCGACACTTGAGACAGGGCTTGAATTGGTGGAGAGGACTTCCTTGATTTCCATAATAGCGGTCGCTAGCTTTGCTTCATATTCTTCGATCGCCTTTTCCTCTTCATCCAATTCGTCCTGGGTGGAGTTGGCGTCTAACATGCCATCCCTCACCTTCTGATTCAACTCCGATAACTCTTCACTAAGGCTGTTCAGCTTCTGTAATTTGACTCGTAGATAGGTCTCATCATATTCTTCCTTTGCTAGTTCGGTTTCCACTTCTCCTACGATGCGTGTGGTCGCCGACCTCTTGGTAGTTCTCTGCTTCTTAATCTTGTCCATGATGAGAACCTCAAGGACACCAGCAAAAGAAAAGAATTAATAACAAATAAATGTCAACAAATCGTGGAACTCTCTCGACCTCAGCTGCTCCCGAATGCTCAGGATGGAGCCCTCAAAGAGGCAAAACAGAATGGTGACTCCTCTCCAAACACGTTCCTCCCTCGCCAGGTCAGCAGTGCTCTCGCTGGACACAAGGGCAGGTGTCAGTCCAATTCGACTTCTTCTTCTTCTTCTCCTCGCCGGGTCAGCAATGCTCTCGCCGGGCACCAGGATAGATGTCGAAACTATTCACTTCACTTCCTTAGCAGAACAAGATAAGCCCCATACCAGGCGCCAAAAATGTTGAGACCGCGATTTATCCAACTACCCGTTGGGACCCGTCTCGGAAAATTGGCTTATCCTGTCGTTATATGAAGTGACACAAGACTCGATGACTAGCTCACTTTAAACTGATTTTATTGTCCCAATTCCACCAACAAATATATAACATGAATCGGCTGACTTATCATTTAATAGTGACCACTAATCACGAAAATTAATTAAACTATTTATTAAATTGAGAAGAGATTAGAATAATTACACACGGCCATGCCTTCTCTCTCTCACGCACACACCAAAACTCTTTGCACTCTCATTCTGAAACGAAGCTCAAATTCTTACTCTATGCTAAACTAAAATGAGATTTAACAGTAAAACTGAAGCATTCCACGGTAAATTCAATAAACATCACATTAGACTCTGTAAATCTGCATAATAAATGCATCTATGTCTGAAAATGCCTTTCTGAGTGCATCTAGATTTTATGCGAGTTGATAACTTGAGCAAACAGAAAGGCGGTTGTTCTGACCAATTAGTGGAGTTAGTGACTAAGTGCTTTGGTGAAATCAAAAATTTCCAACCTCGTTGCTTCACATTTTGACCCTCTTCTTCGCATTGATGATGGGTTTGCGCAGGTAACAAAAGGTAACATCACGACAACGTAAAGCGTGTGCCTCGTCGGATATTTGCGTTTGTGTTTGACACCAAACGAAATCGGAAGCAGTGCAAAGGCGGCATTAAATATGTATATTATGCTATGATTTAGACAACTTATGTACGTGAGCCAACAAAATGTTATGCATGGAATTTCCTGAAATTTTGTACTTTCATACTTTAGCCCTTCGATGTTTTTGATGATTCGCTGTCATTTTGATGACATGTCATTTTTGTCAGTTGTGCCATTGCTAATAAAGTATTGATTTGCTGTCATGGACCTACTCATCATTGCACTGCATTAGACGTACGTATATACTTATCACACCCCCACGAACGAAGAGAGGCTGCCTGGTTGCAGTATTGATACGAAGAATTCCCATGATGATTGGCGGTGTGAAGCGATATCTCGCCGAGATATATGACTCTCGCACCTGGCTGTGCAATTCACGGTATGGTACCACCAGAAGAGAGATGATTTAACAATGGTGGGTTGTGAGGATTGATTGGATTCTTCTTGATTCTCAAATAAATGCGTGCAGAAGTGAGGACCGAAGAATGAAGTGTTGATGAAGGGTGAGGAAATTAGAAAAGCTAAGAATATTTATTATTATAAATGACTGAGTGATTGTGCTCTGACGTGACGTGATGTGAGTGAAGATGCGTTAAGGAGGTAAATTGGTTGCCCTTCTTATCTCTCCTCTCCGCCTTCATTGCTTGATTTCGCCTTCTTTTCCTCGTCAATAATCAGACTGTCCGAGGGTTGCATACCACCGCCGTAAACACCACGGCATAAGCAACGCCACCAAGCCTGTCGCTTTCTTCCGAATTCGATCCTTATCTCCAACTTTGAAGGCTGCTAAACACTCATTCAACACATCTCATCAGTGTACGAAATGTATTTTATACATGTACACTTATGCATGTATAAGAGCTGACCAGCAGGAATTCATGTTGTACTAGCTTTAAAATGCAATTTTAATGTGATTTGTTCAAAGCTCTTAGTACGCTCCGAAGGGTTAACGTTGTTACAAAGTATATTATTCTGTACATACATACGTTTTCAAGAATTATTATTATTATTAAACACAAAACATGCCCTGTCGGCGTTTCTACTTTAAAATTGTAAACATGCAATATATGATTTCAATTTGATTCAATTCAACACATGCCATGAATTTCGAAATGTGGGAACATTTACGCATTTGGTGAAGCTATTAAGTTTATGCCTCAGTAAAGACTAACTATGTATTTATGCATTACTAACAAATACCAACCATTCAGAAATTCCAGTAAAATCGTTTAATATAATAATCATACTATACTGCATTCGCAATTAAGAATTAAGAATGTGGTTCCAGAAAGATGGTGTCACAACTGGATAATCTCCACAATGGATTTGTTCATTAAATGTTCATAAATCCCTTTGAATAACATGGAAGGGAACGAATTGACGATGGACAGGGAAAGTGTCGCATGACCGTTAATTCCTGAGCAACAATGGTGTGCGGCGGTCAACTTTGTGCTTTTCATGGGAAAGCTTTGAAGCATTCTTCAACCTCATCCGTCTTCTTTATTGTTTGTCCTGGCCACCATACCCACGACATCCCAGCCAACAGTTAATTAACCTCACACTTATTCCGTCCAACCAACGAACGTCATACGTTACATTACGTGTGTAACTAGCTGGACGACCGGTGCATATGAACCTTGTCTTCACGATAATTGAATATTGGCACTTGGGACGAGATTTGCGACAAGGAATCGCCACTTACGTATTACAGAAAGTCAGAAACTACTTCATTAAATCCGACAAATACGGACTGTCGATTGATGTTACAATGATCGAGGATTGATTTATGAAATAAGTGGTTTGAGTGGGATTTAAATTTTATTCATTTCGCAAAGGTATAAAATTGTTTTGTCGCCTACACACTGCATTAACGATGAATGTTGCTCATATAATCCTAAGAGATTTTTTAATGGTCGAACAAATAAACCCCACTGGACATTTTACATTTACATATTCACACACCACCGAATATATAAATACATTTTTTGGCAGACCTTGCATCGTACTTCTTATGCCGTATTTTCACTAATAGTCAGATATACTATGCATATATTTACATGTGCAGAGCTACATATAGTTGTTGACTCCTCGACCGGCTGGGGACAAAATTTATGAAACCACAACAAAAGAGGGTTTATATTGTAAGTCGTATTCTTAGTAATTAAGGTCAGAAGAAGACAGGTGGTGAGTGGTCGGTCGGTTCATGTTGTAACAACGGGTCCAAGGATTGTGAAGGACAATTCTGCAATATTTCAAGATTCATGCGTATATTATGGGCTTAAAATCTGCCACAATAATTAATGACATTAGTTTTTTGGGGCTCATGACATACTGCTGCCACTTACATAGCAAATTATTTTATTATCAGCAAAATGATCTGAATCTGAATCCAGCATACGAATGAACTTTGCTGGTGCCAGTCAGCCAACCTGCACAGGACTGAGCCATTTGAAAACTACACACGTGCACGGCGTATCACATTCATCCAATTGTTCATTGAAAAGGGTGATGCCAGCAAACCGAGCTAACCACTTCTTTCTCATGATGGGTGGTACGTAGTTCCTCCTTATTAAAATTATAATAACAATCGACGGTGGCGCTAATGAATATGAATGCACAAAGGAGAAGACCATCTCGTAGGCATGGGACTATTGTGTGTAGGATGTGTGGCATGTGGGAGATTAAATGTACATAAGCTTGCTCATTACGTCATCTCGCCCTTTCTCGTCGTTCGAATGTCATGAGGTTCCACATACATTTTTGGAAATGATTTTAAACCAAATGATTTAAACAAGACTTATTACTCGCAACAGTTTATGTACGTTCCAAACAATTTGACAGGCTAACTGTACACAAGTGCAACGTGGTGCAGTTATTTGGCTTGCATAAATGTGCAAGTGTCCTTTTGTGGATAATAAAGACAATGTGTGTCGACTCTTCCATCCTTTCAGCCGTGTAAGCAGTAGGCACAATGTGTATGACTATAATACAAGTTTGGTCCGATGCATCAAATTTCCTTAAAAGTCAATGAACAGTAAAAACAGTGAATCAGTTGCATGTCCAAGAGCTGAAAGTGAACTTGAACATGCATCTTTCTCTCTATTCTCTCACAGTGATGTAACCGCTTGTGTATATAGACATGTATGTCTGTATGAACCTTTCGTACATATTTGGAGGATCAAAACATACTAAAACCTATTTAAGATATCGTCATTCAAAATCCCCCCTTTTACATATTCAACGACGATATGTATTAAAGGTTCAGCAATAAACGACACTTTCACGATAAGCTATCTATGCATACGTACATATTTATTTTGGAGGTCGTTAACAATGCAGTAAAATGCGTGCTAATTTAGAATCAAATATGGACAATCTTTCCGTTGATTTGGTCATGACTGAACTACTGACTTTTCCGAATAATATTATGGTCATTGTTTTGAGTTTGATAGCCATAAATGGGAAGGATGAGTAAGATGGTTCGGGCAGTTTGGACCTGCATATGTACATACGCTTCGATACTGACGTTCATATCTACACAGCTCTTGTTTTCATTTTGATGCAAGTTACACTTTTTAGGCACAGGACTTGACTCGCGTTCCTTATATAGAGACAAATATGGTTTGGTTAACAAGCCGTTGTTATTTGTTTTTGAAGATGAAATGAGCGACTCTGTCAGTCACTTGCTACTTGTTGAGATTGGTGCCACCAACTACAATTCAGGTTGAGGATGGTAAGGGTTCATGGAAAGTGCAATTTTGCAAAAAAATGTTACTACTTATTTTTTTGTTAAAATAACTTGAAATAAAACAGTATGGAATCTCGTTTTGCATCATTTATTGAACAGTTGATAGCTTTATTTGCGCCCTTATTATACTTTAGGTGCACAAAAAAGTGGTTCAGTTTCCAACAGAGAAAATTGAAAAGTAGATTGCACCCTGAGTCTCTTGGGCAC